TCCTTGAGTGTTGAATTTGACTGTAAAGTCACGAGAAAAAATACAGTTTGCAGCAAGTCAAAAATCAAAGATATGTGTAACACTATATCCCAATATGGAGACCGGGTTCTTGCTCGTTACCCTTGACTGCAAGGACACTAGAGAAACAAAAACAATTATAAGTAACGGCCCAATAACATTTTTATATCTGGAATTCTCGGCGGATACCAGATGATTGGTCGTTGGCCTTGACTTTAAGGGCAGTAGAAAATTAAAACCGACAGTAAGTAAAATCCCAAAGAGAAGTGTATACCTGTAACGCTGGACGGATATAGGATCCATGATGGCTGGCTTGGACTGTGAAGCCAGTATAGAAATAAAGCCAACAGTAACTAAAGGCCGAACTAGATGTATATACCTGTCGCACTGGAAGGAAAACAAATTTTTCATTGTGTAGCCGGATCGTAAACACACTAGGCCAATACGAAAGAAAGCATGTAAAGACAGAGAGAAAAGTGTGTACCCGTAACCTTGATTTGAAATCAGATCTTTGATATTTGAACTTTAAGGAAAAAAAAAACACTAGAAATATATAAATGACAGTAAGTAAAAGCTCAAGAAGCCTTGTTTACCTGTAGCCCAAATTTGAGTTTTGATCCTTGCTGTTTGGCCTGGAGAGTAAAAACAATAGTCATATATACTTCTAGGCTAGTAATGGCCAAGAACGACTTGTATACCCTCCATAATGGATGTATATTTGATCATCGTTCTTTGCCATCAAAAGAAAGTATAAATAAAGAGTACAGTTTGTTTTAAGTAAAGGTTTAAAGGAAACTTGGTTAGCTATAACAATTCATGAAAATCGGATCCCGATAATTGCCGTGGATGAGTAGACACTAGAAATATATAAAATCCAATGAGTAATTGCTCATCGAGTTTTTGTATACCTATAGCCACGGACTGAATCCGGATCCGTGAAGCATGATCTTGGTGGATTCAACACTAGAAATAAATAAAGCCGAGTGTGATTGCTCATCGATTTTTGTTATATCTATAACCATATAACGGGAGATCAGCACCTTGAAGCTCGACCTGGATGGCCGGAGACTAGAACTAGATTAAAATAATGAGTATATGCCCATAATGCTTTTTATACCTATACCCATGGCGGGGAGATCGGAATCTTGATGCTTGACCTGGATAGCTGGAGACTGGAGATATATTAAATCTAGTGAGTATATGCCCATAATGTTTTTTTATACCTATAACCATGGCGGGGAGATCGGAATCTTGATGCTTGATTTGGATAGCTGGAGACTGGAGATATATTAAATCTAGTGAGTATATGCCCATAATGTTTTTTTATACCTATAACTATGGCGGGGAGATCAGAACCTTGATGCTTGATCTGGAAGACTGAACACAAGAAGTATATTACAGCTAGTGAGTATATGCCCATAATGTTGTTTTATACTTATGACCATGGACGGGCGATCTGAACCTTGAGGCTTGACATGGATGGCTGAATACTAGAAATATATTAAATCTGGTGAGTATATGGGAATAACGTTTTTTTTACACTTATAACCATCGGCTGGCGATCGAAGCCTTGATGCTTGACCTGGATGACTGCATACTAGAAATATATTAAAGCTAGTGAGTATATGCCCATAATGTTGTTTTATACCGATAAACATAGAGGGGTGATCAGGTCCTTGACGCTTGATCTGAATGGCTGGAGGCTAGAAATAAATATCAAAACTAGTGAGTAAATGACAATAACGATTTGTTATACCTATAACCATGGACGGGTGATCGGGTCCTTGATGCTTGCCACGGATGGCTGAAGACCAGAAATAAATATAAAAACTAGTGAGTATAGGCCCATAATGTTTTTTTATACCTATAACCATTGACGGGCGATCGGAACCATGATGCTTGACCTGGATAGCTGAAAACTAGAAATATATTAAATCTAGTGAATATATGCCCATACCATTTTGTTATACCTATCACCATGCACGGGCGATCAGAATCTTGATGCTTGACCTGGATGGCTGGAGACTAGAACTAGATTAAAAAAATGAGTATATGCACATAATGCTTTTTGTACTTATAACCATGGGCGGGCGATAGGGTCCTTGATGCTTGACCTGGATAACTGAACACTAGAAAAATATTAAAGCTAGTGAGTATAGGCCGATAATGCTTTTTATACCTATAACCATGGACGGGCGATCGGAACCTTGATGCTCGACCTGGATGGCCCAACACTAGAGATATATTAAAACTAGTGAATATATGCCCATAACATTTTGTTATACCTGTCACCATTGACGGGCGAGTAGAACCTTGATGCTTGACCTGGATGGCTGGAGACTAGAACTAGATTAAAACTAGTGAGTATACGCCCATAATGTTGTTTTATACCTTTAACCATGGATTGGCGATCAGAACCTAGATGCTTGACCTGGATGACTGAACACTAGACATATATTAACGATAGTGAGTATATGTCCCTAATGTTTTTTACATCTATAACCATGGCAGGGAGATGGGAACCTGGACGCTTGACATGATTGGCGGAACACTAGAAATATATTTAAAATAATGAGTATATTGCCATAACGTTTTGTTATACCTATAACCATGGACGGGAGATCAGAATCCTGTTGATTGACCTGGATGACTGAACACTAAAAACATATTAAGACCAGTGAGTATATTTCCATAATGTTTTGTTATACCTATAACCTTGGCTGGAAGATCGCAACCTTGACGCCTGATATCGATGGCTGAACACTATAAATATATTATAACTAGTGAGTATATTCCCACAACGTTTTGTTATACCTATACCCATGGCCGGGCGATCGGGTCCTTGACACTTGACCTGGATGGCTGAACACTAGTAATAGATAAAAGCTAGTGAGTAAATGCGCATAACGTTCTGTTATACCTATAACCATAGCTGGTAGATCGGAACCTTGATGCTTGTCCTGGATGGCTGGAGACTTGAACTATAATAAAGCTAGTGAGTAAATGCGCATAATGTATTGTTATACCTATAACCATAGCTGGGAGATCGAAACCGTGATGCTTGTCCTGGATAACTGGAGACTAGAGATAGATAAAAGCTAGTGTGTATATGTCCCTAATGGTTTTTTTTTACCTATAACCATTGACGGTCGATCGGGTCCTTGCCGCTTCACATTGATGACTGGAGACTAGAAATAGATAAAAGCTAGTAAGTATTTACCCATAATGTTTTTATACCTATAACCATGGACGGGGGATCGGGTTCTTGATGCTTGACACGGATGGCTGGAGACTTAAATAAATATAAAAACTAATGAGTGTACGCTCATAATGTTTTTATACCTATAACCATGGACGGGCGATCGGGTCCTTGACGCTTGACACGGATGGCTGGAGTTCACAAATAAATATAAAAACTAGTCAATATATGCCTATAATGTTTTTTATACCTATAACCATGGGCGGGCAATCGGAACCTTGACACTTGACCTAGATGGCTGAACACTAGTAATAGATAAAAGCATGCGAGTAAATGCGCATAACGTTTTGTTATACCTGTAAACATGGTTGGGAGATCGGAACCTGGACGCTTGACATGGATAGCTAAACACTAGAAATATATTAAAACTAGTGAGTATATTCCCATAACGTTTTTTTATACCTATAACTATGGACGGGAGATCAGAATCCTGTTGATTGACCTGGATGACGGAACACTAAAAACATATTAAAACCAGTAAGTATATTTCCATATTGTTTTGATATACCTAGAACCATAGCTGGAAGATCGGAACCTTGACGCCTAACATCGATGGCTAAACATTATAAATATATTAAAACTAGTGAGTATATTCCCACAACGATTTGTTATACCTATAACCATGGACGGGAGATCAGAATCCTGTTGATTGACCTGGATGAGTGAACACTAAAAACATATTAAGACCAGTGAGTATATTTCCATAATGTTTTGTTATACCTATAACCTTGGCTGGAAGATCGCAACCTTGACGCCTGACATCGATGGCTGAACACTATAAATATATTATAACTAGTGAGTATATTCCCACAACGATTTGTTATACCTATACCCATTGCCGGGAAATCGGGTCCTTGACACTTGACCTGGATGGCTGAACACTAGTAATAGATAAAAGCTAGTGAGTAAATGCGCATAACGTTCTGTTATACCTATAACCATAGCTGGTAGATCGGAACATTGATGCTTTTCCTGGATGGATTGGATACTACAAATATACAAAAACAAGTGAGTAACTGCTCATCGAGTTTTGATATACCTGAAACCGTGGACCTCGATCTGAAAACCGTGGACCTTGACCTGAACCTTGAAGCTTGCCCTGGATGGAATAGATACTACAAATATATAAAAACAAGTGAGTAAATGCCCATCGAGTTTTGATATACCTGAAACGGTGGACCTTGACTTGAACCTTGAAGCTTGACCTGGATGGAATGGATACTAAAAATATACAAAAACAAGTGAGTAAATGCCCATCGAGTTTTGATATACCTGAAACCGTGGACCTTGATCTGAAAACCGTTGACCTTGACCTGAACCTTGAAGCTTGACCTGGATGGAATGGATACTAGAAATATACAAAAACAAGTGAGTAACTGCCCATCGAGTTTTGATATACCTGATAACCGTGGACTCTGATCGGATCCCTGATGCTTGACCTGGACGGAATGGATACTACAAATATACAAAAACAAGTGAGTAACTACTCATCTAGTTTTGATATACCTGAAACCGTGGACCTCGATCTGAAAACCGTGGACCTTGACGTGAACCTTGAAGCTTGACCTGGATGGAATAGATACTACAAATATACAAAAACAAGTGAGTAATTGCTCATCGAGTTTTGATATACCTGAAACCGTGGACCTTGACCTGGACCTTGAAGCTTGACCTGGATGGAATGGATACTAGAAATATACAAAAACAAGTGAGTAACTGCTCATCGAGTTTTGATATACCTGAAACCGTGGACCTCGACCTGAACCCGCTGACCTTGACCTGAACCTTGAAGCTTGCCCTGGATGGAATAGATACTACAAATATACAAAAACAAGTGAGTAATTGCTCATCGAGTTTTGATATACCTGAAACCGTGGACCTTGATCTGAAAACCGTGGACCTTGACCTGAACCTTGAAGCTTGACCTGGACGGAATGGATACTAAAAATATACAAAAACAAGTGAGTAATTGCTCATCGAGTTTTGATATACCTGAAACCGTGGACCTTGATCTGAAAACCGTTGACCTTGACCTGAACCTTGAAGCTTGACCTGGATGGAATGGATACTAGAAATATACAAAAACAAGTGAGTAACTGCTCATCGAGTTTTGATATACCTGAAACCGTGGACCTTGATCTGAAAACCGTGGACCTTGACCTGAACCTTGAAGCTTGACCTGGATGGAATGGATACTAGAAATATACAAAAACAAGTGAGTAACTGCTCATCGAGTTTTGATATACCTGAAAACCGTGGACCTTGACCTGGACCTTGAAGCTTGACCTGGATGGAATGGATACTAGAAATATACAAAAACAAGTGAGTAACTGCTCATCGAGTTTTGATATACCTGAAAACCGTGGACCTTGACCTGGACCTTGAAGCTTGACCTGGATGGAATGGATACTAGAAATATACAAAAACAAGTGAGTAAATGCCCATCGAGTTTTGATATACCTGAAACCGTGGACCTTGATCTGAAAACCGTTGACCTTGACCTGAACCTTGAAGCTTGACCTGGATGGAATGGATACTAGAAATATACAAAAACAAGTGAGTAACTGCTCATCGAGTTTTGATATACCTGAAAACCGTGGACCTTGACCTGAACCTTGAAGCTTGACCTGGATGGAATGGATACTAGAAATATAAAAAAACAAGTGAGTAACTGCTCATCGAGTTTTGATATACCTGAAAACCGTGGACCTTGACCTGGACCTTGAAGCTTGACCTGGATGGAATGGATACTAGAAATATACAAAAACAAGTGAGTAAATGCCCATCGAGTTTTGATATACCTGATAACCGTGGACTCTGATCGGATCCCTGATGCTTGACCTGGACGGAATGGATACTACAAATATACAAAAACAAGTGAGTAACTACTCATCTAGTTTTGATATACCTGAAACCGTGGACCTCGATCTGAAAACCGTGGACCTTGACGTGAACCTTGAAGCTTGACCTGGATGGAATGGATACTACAAATATACAAAAACAAGTGAGTAAATGCCCATCGAGTTTTGATATACCTGATAACCGTGGACTCTGATCGGATCCCTGATGCTTGACCTGGACGGAAGGCACTAGAAGCATACAAAAGACAATGAGCATATGCTCCTCGAGTCTTGGTGTACCTGTGGCCCTGGATGGAAACCTGTTCTTGATTGCTTGACTTTGCCTGAAAAGTCCCTAAAGAAATATCAAAGACAGTGAATGATTAATCAACGAGCCTTTATATACCTGTAGGCCTGGATGGAGATCTTATTTTTTATCGTTGACCTTGTTTGTCAAAAGACTAGACAAATATAATCTTCACAATGTGTGTCTTTGATAAATATCATATACTCCTTGAAATATAGTAAGTCCTGTCAGTTTATATCTTGTTTCTGAGCGTGAATAGGCTTTGGATGGATTGATGGTCAAACCAGTGTTGGACCTCAGTATTTCATTTTTGCTGTGTACTGGCTTTGACATGTTGTCTTATATCTTGCTACTGACTGTTTTACATATGATAAAAGCCTGAGATTTGACTAGCAAAATGGATTTGTATTGGTCATGATTCGTCTTTAACGTCTATGTTGATTAAAGCAGTTTGTGAGAGAGCAGTAAAGAAGTGTATAAAGTATTAATGGTATGTGGAAGAGAGTTGTTTTGACGCGTTCTGTTTGGATAGGTGTTTTTTTTTTATAAAACTCATGACGTCTCAATCATGAGTTGCTGTTCTTTTTTATTATTTTTATTATGATAGTTTGATAATATATTATAAAATTCGGTTTTTTTCTTATTCCTTTTTCGGTTTTCTTTTATCTTTTAGCCTTGACAGCATGTATATATTATTACTATTTTACTTCTTTATTTAATATCTATGCTTAAAATATGGGTTTTGGGTTTTAAAGAAGTATCACTTATATTCTGAAGGACGTGCTGTGCAGGCACTTGTTTTACTTTTTGTTTTTTTCTTTTGCCTCTTTTTTTGTTTTAGTTCTTTTTATGTCACATAAGGTCCGTGCTGTCCGTGCAGCATCACATGTGTCATGGGGCTTAGAGGAGCATAGTAGCAATAGTGGTCCAGACTTTACTTTAGCATGAAAACATTTAAATGATGTCTTCCGATTGGTGGACTATATGCATGTCAAATTATTCAGTTGCTATGGACCCCCATCCCCTTTTTTATTCTACTTTCTGTTGTGATTCTGTTAACAAGGCTTATGCTTTTGAACAGCCACTTGTCGAGACACTATATATGCCTCTGTGTTCATTTTAGCTGTACTACTGATATACAAAGTATTAATCGGCTAGACGTTAAACTACAATAAAGAAGTGTAAAGTTGTGTTGATTATAAAGCTTTAATTAAAGTCTTGTGTATATTTATTTGTTTGTTTTCTTGTTTGTTTGTTTCACATGCTGTGACTTTATTAGTTTAAGAAGCACCCCCGAAAAAAATTGCTGCTTATATCTTTTCTTTTCTTTCGTGTGAAAGACTTCCATTTTTCTTCTAGCTTTTTCACCAGTGTCTTGAGTTAATAAACACAAAGTGTAGGAATACTTTCTTGAAATAAAAGTACTTTCAGTGCTTCAGTATGAAGGGATTGACAGCCTGACTATTGAAAGTCGTTGGTACCTCAAGTTAAAGCATCGTTCTTAGAGTAAAATAAAAGTAAAAAGAAGAACAGGGTCTAGCCTAGTGTTTGTCAATCGACCTTGGTTTGTACTACTTTATAAACCAATCATAATCCAACTGAGAAATTAATACAGCATAACCCAACTGCCTGAAACACTTTACATTTATATGTGTTCAAATATACACCATTCTATCGATAATTATAATTATTTATATAAGTTACATTATACACCATGAAAAAGTAGTGGTGCTTGCAATTGTGCTAGCCTGGTCACAGATAGATCAAGCTAGTAAAATGGCTATTACATATATATAAATCACCTTTTAAAGGCTCTGCTTATTTACTATTTTTTTCTGTTATTGCTCAGACTGACTGACGGCACAATATGAAAGCAAAGAGACAATCTACTGCTACTGAACGTATAGGTTTTGTTTGGTTGGGAGCAAGACGCTATCGATTACTAATTATCGATTTATAGGATCTAGTGCTTTTGATATTTTGCGCTTGTATACCAAACTCAACTGGATGCACGAATAACCTAGAAATAATACTCTGTTGGATTAAAGGCTTTGATTTATAACTTTTGTTTTGTAATACAATATAATGCGCTACAGTACTGTATAGTATGATTCCACTTATTACTTTGAGGTTCATAGTCTAGCTTTGGTTCGCTTGAGACTATTTTAGTTTGAAGCACGGAGCCTTTGTATAAATGAACCTTTTCTATGGTCGATTAAATATGAGTGTACTGGAAATGATATTTTTTAAGATTTCTACAAGCATATGCAAATGCACACCAATGGTAATCATAGCTTTTCAATTATAGAAAATTAAAAATCGAATCAAATAAGCAATGTTTTTTTTTTGGCTTTAAGTAACCTGGTGAGACACATTGTGATCCACCTCTTCGAGGTTTATTATATTACAATTACTCGAATTTTGATCAAAATATCCGATTTTTTCACTCTCAAAAAGCATAGAACCCTGAAATTCGGGAAACTTGCACCACTTCAATAAGCTCTTTAAATGCCCAATAGCAAAAATACGAGTTGTTTCTAAAAGTACAATTTTTTTTTAGTTGAATACATAAACCAGACACTCCAAAAGGCATCAATTTGGAGTGTTCAAAAGTTAGAGATATTTTTTTTAAAGAAAAGAGAATATTATTTAGCATAAGAGACATTATAGAATAGCTATATATCTATATATGCTCTACATAACAGAATATCAGCTTGTATAAACGTTTATATGAAGAAAGCCGTCCTATATTCTGACATTACAAGCATACGCTGGAAGCAAAGAGTGGAGTACAAATAAAGCCACAATCTTTTTTCCAAAAAAAAAAGGCAATGACTTTGGCAGACACTCTTGAAATGGACGGCTGTGTAATATATGTCATGATATTTTATATTGCCCTTTAAGAGAAAAGAAAAATACATAGGATACTTTTTATGTGTTCCATTAAATAGCATACTTGAAGTCTTTGTTTCAGATTTATTAATTAAAATTATGATAGTAAATTGGTGTAAAGAAGTAAAAAAGAAAAAAAAAATGGGAAAATTTAAATTAATAAGGGCATTTTTTCTTTTTTTTTTGGGGGTTAAATACCTGTCTCCAAGGTGTATATGTGCAGTGTATACATCCCAGTCTTTCTTCACATATAGACGCACAAACCAGCTTGTCCACCGATATCTTGGCTGTACCATTATAAAATATAGAGTATAAGGTGGTTTGCTTTTTATGTCTTCTTGTAGACTGTGTAGAGGCTCATTGGTAAATTAGAGCCTACGACTTCCTACAAACAAAAGTCTTTTTTTTGTAAACTGATATTATCAATTTGTGGTGCAGACAGCCTTTGTGTACCCGATCGTAAAAGAACCATAGCAGAGCCCATCGACAGGGACACTGTTATCCATATGGAGGTTGAAATACCATTTAGTATTCACTCAAAACTATTCAGAGAGAAGTGTGTATTAAAATAACCTTTGCTGTACCACAACCAAAACAAAAAAATATATTTTTTTAACGATGGCTTGAATCTTCTTTCGACATTCCCAACATTCCGCCATCCCAGCTGAGGATCTTCATTCCTGTTGGGGATCGACATTCATATTGTATTGCAACTCAAAGTGGACCAAAAGCGACGCAATACAAAAAGGAAGCGCACTCTTTTTAAAAAAAAACCAAAATATTCTTTATTTTATTTTTTAGACGGCTGTCCATGGTATATACAAGTCGAGCAAAAAATAAGCCCTCGGTCATACCTTCGTGTCCCTATAAACTGCTCAACGCTTTAAAAACCGACACCAATAAATAAAAAAAAAATCTATTACGCCTAGCAACACCAGCTTCACAACGCTATCAAAATTGACATCAACAACCATAATATCCTTTTATTCTACTATCACTGAAAAATAAAAATTGAAATAATAGCCATATAATAAAACTTCAAAACTCAAAAGCTATACACTATATTCTTTTATATTTGAAGTGCTATATACCACTGTTCTCAGAACTACCTTCAAACTCTTGCACGCACATAACACTTGTATGCTTATGCTTCCAAGACTGTCTTCAGTGACAATGACCCCAGCCTATCATACATATTCTCCAAAGCTTCCGACTTTTACTATATCTTTAAATAACTGGTTCTAGACCAAACAGAAATCACCCATCACAAAGTCCTACCATAGTAATCTCTCTTTATAGGCGCACACAATAATCCTCAAGTCTATAATAATAATAAAATTGCTACACACCCTAATTCCCAAACTTGTCTTATATATAAAAAAAAATTCTTACACACTGCCTCCGTCTATCTCACTATTCCGCACTCTTTACACAATACAAATACTCTACTATCAAAACCTTCTCAATATTTTTAAAATAAAATCGCTGTTACAATTCACTCTCATTCTTCTTCAGCCTTTCACTTTAATCAATTCGACTCGGTCTCCACCTACCCTATTTATTTTACTATATTTAAATAGACACAACAAATAGAAGCTATAATGATTTATATATGTATTTGATTTAATTACAAGCATATTATTTATATATATATAGGTTTAAAAAGTATTATAAGAGATGTATATGTAGTTAAAATATGTGTAGTCGAGGTTTATGTGTGTGTGTGTGTGTGTGTAGGTGAGGTATGTGAGAAGGGGGGAGTGGGGTAGGGGGTGCGATAAAGAGTGGCTTAGGAAGATCGAGAGTGAAGGTCAGTGTATTCTTGAGAAAACCGCAAAACTATAAGTTTGCTCATTCTTTATAAACAATATTTGAAGCTAATGAGCTCTCTCTATAGAAGCAATCTAAGCGCACAACTTTCATATCCGTAGTGAAGTTATGAATTCTATATAAATAAACAGCAATGCCTTTGCGATGGACATGCGTTGAGTAACAGCTTTATTATAAAAAAAGGCGAAGCTATCTTCCTAAGTAAGTATGCTTCCCGTCTAAAACAAGTACACAATCATATAAAAGTCAAAATTAATTAACCAAAAATGGAACTCCAATGACTTTGACATTATACTCTATAGTTAATAACTTATACTCTTTGGCTTATATCTTTGTGCGTGCAGATAATGAGGCCTATCAAAATCTCATATTAATATATTAGTATATAAAATAAATTCTAAAATGCTTTATTTTATTACTGAAAAAGGCTGGTACTACAATATTCGGTAATTATCGAAGTAGTAGCTTGACGAAAATATATAGCTTGTATCATTAACTTCTCATCCGATTTCTCATATATACTCTCTTTTAGAAATATTTAAACAGTGAATTACAAAAGTACAGTGACCGCAACATTAAATTGCGGGTTTGTGAAAATTAAATTGCGGAAAAAAAAAATTCAAAGTGCGGCCTTTTCACAACTCAATTTGCGGTTTTCTGGAAAATCAAATTGCGTTTTTTCGTGAAATTAATTTGCAGTTTTCTGAGAAATTAAATTGCGGTAATGGCTGGACGAAGTATGAGACTTGTAATTAGAGGGGTTCTTTATTTTTGCACTTGTCAAACTGATTACAAGAGTGCTGTATGAAAGCTTTTAAATATTTAATAGGAACATCATTGCATGCATCCGCAATTCTTGTTTTGAGATCTTCTTCATCAGTAAAAACGCCTCTCTTGACTTTGTTTTTTACAACAGACCAAAATTGTTCAATTGGATTTAACTCGGCAGAATAAGGAGGAAGATGTATGCATCTATATCCTCTTGAAGCGATTAATTCATCAATAGTTTTACTCGCATGAATGGGCGCATTGTCTATGACAATATAAAAATTACTCATACAAGGATTTTTATCCATTTCATCAAGAGTTTTTCCAATGAATTTCAAGTAATGACCAGTTTTAGTTCCCTCTCGTCTTTTCTGGTTTGATGTCTGCTTTCTTTTTCGTCCTACACCATCAACTTTACGTTGCTTAGGCTTTTCTGTTACTCGAAGCTCAATATCAACAACCCCAATTGAACTTATGGCACCTAATATCGAATGAGAATCCCCTTTAGTCGACTTTGTTTCGACAATTGCTGGTGTACCAGCTTTAGACCAGGCTGAAGGTGGACGCATGTTTATATCAAAGCCACTTTCATCTACGAAAACGCAGTTGGAGAGGAAATCCATGTCAGTTGTTGTCCATTGCTCTACCCACTCGAATCGTTTTTGAAGAGTTTTTCCAGAGTTTCTTTCTTTTGTTTGTAATGTTGCTCTTTTGAATGACAGATTGCATTCATTTGTCATGAAGTTACGAACACTAGTTTCTTTCAAGCTGAAATTCGCAAACGAACGCTCCAGACTCACAACAACATCCTTCACACGTGTTTGAGGGTTTTTATCGAATAGATCGATAATAAACTCCTTATGCTCTTCTTGCAGCTGTCCTGTCTTTCGCTTATCCTTATTTGTTTGCTTTTCAAATATATTCCATTCAGGTTCATCTCTTATTCTTTTAGCCCACTGTTGACCAGTACGTTCGGATACACCAGAAAATCTGGCAGCTTTCGCAGCTTTAAACAACTTCACTTGTAAATAGTACAGAAAAAGCACCTTCTGGACAGGAGAATATACTTTATAACTTTTCTTCGTTACGTTATTATCTTCTTCATTCACCCTTAAATATACTTCGTTCATATTCTCGTCAAGTTCGCCTCTCATTTGCTCTTGCTCGGATGGCTGTGCCTGTTGGTATTCACGTAATGTGGTGAGGGTTTACAAATGAAAAGGATCAACTTCTTCAGACCATTCCATGGCATCATTGCCTTGTTCATCGTAGATCTTGCCTTGTCCATTTTCGTAAAAAAAGTATGTACTCATTGTAGTTCTAGATTGAAAGAGAAAGAAAATAAGAAAAAGAAAAGAAATGCTTGACCCGCAATTTAAATTTCTCAGAAAACTGCCAAATAAAAAAAGGCTATCCAAATAAAAAAAAAAGGCTATCCAGATTGCCAGCCAAAAAAAAAAAGGCTATCCAAATAAAAAAAAAGGCTATCCAAAGTACTAGCCAAAAAAAAAGATTCCTCAATTTGTCAGCCTCATCTAACGCAGTTTTTTTTAAAACAGATATCGTGAAATGAAAAAAGATTCATCTGAGGTATACTCTACTAGATTTTTTAATAATATTAATGGGTGTAATGGCTGCTACTTGCTTTTCTTTTGCGGTTGGCGTGGGTATCCATAATTAATGCTATTTCATTGTCGGAAAGTGTTGGCATGAGTGATGATTGCTGATTCGTTTTCTGGTCGACGCACAAGCTCCAGAAGGCTGAGGAAATTAATGTCAATTGGTCGGCTTGTGCGATAAAAAGTGGAAGTTCTTTTAAAGACATTGGCAATTGAATATGGGCAATTTCGACCATTGGGTATAGACCATTTCTTGTACCATCAGTCAAATAGAACGTCGCGTGATGTCCTTATTTAACATAGGGGTGATTAAAGAAAGAGTGTTAATATGTCTTTTTTGTATTCAAAATAAAAACAGAGATATTTACCAACGACAAGAAACGACAGAACAAATTTGCTACGATACGTATCAATTGCGTTTTTTGCTAAAAGCGCTAATCGTACCAAGTCTTTTCCAACCAGCTTGTGATTCAGCGCCTGGAGTGCTGGTTTTACTTCTCCAAAACCTACAGTCTGCCCGATCTCCGTGCCTATTATCATGCTGACCATAGAATCAGGTCTGGCCAGTAACAATGACATCTCACTGGATTTGCACTCGTCATTATCAACAGAAGTCCTAAAGTACGCGAAATTGCAAAAAAAAAATTAGCTTGCATTTGACTAAAATTGTTCTTTTCATACCAACGAAACATGACGTGCTTCATGAGGTTTTCCAACAGCGGATTAATAGCTGCAGTGACATATCTAGTAATCAACTCCGATTCATCAACTTTCTGACTGATTGGTTCCAAAGGTAATTGTTCAAGACTACGAACAGATGTTAATTGTCATATAATAAACACTATGACCTGCGTTCTTCACAATTCGCCCTTACAGATTTCGAAAGCAAAATAGTACTCTGTTATGGACATCATCGCTGGCAACCATAAGAGCCATCAATTTTTGAGAATCCTGAAAGTCTGTAGTCTTCTTCTTGATGCAAGTCTATATAATAACGGATAATTAAGCTCAGCCATTTTTTTACTCTCTTGATTATATACCTTCACGATTTGTTCAGCAGCAAGCCGAGTATATTGGTCAAATTCGCACGACTGAATACCATATTCTCCCAGCAAATATTCAATAAGGTCTTCGCATATTTCACGTCCTATAAACTTGTGAAGGTCACTGTTGGTGCGGGCTGGCTTTAACAAAAGGATTGAAGACAATGCCAAGACGTGCTGGACATGGGATTCATATGTCAAGAGACGCGGTTCGTCAATGACCGTTTTCACATAATTGCGGAAGTCGTAAAACCCCTTGGTAATATCGTTGTTCTGAAAGACAAGATCATTGTCTGGGCAACAAAAAATCCAGCCTAGCTTGGTGATATCGTCTGGTGCAGTGATAATTCTTAAACAAGTAAAATTTAGAAATCCAAATCATTGTCAGTCAAAATATTTCAAATACCCAATTTCAGGTTGAGATGTCACGACATGTTTCAAATCACAATGCTTTTCAAGTTCTTTTTTCATAACGAAGGCCTCTTTACAAGAGACACAGCCAAATTGAACCACGATGGTGTAGCCAAGTCGTTCATACTTTTGAACGTTCGTTTGATTGTACACACCAAAATTGCGGTTACCAGAGAAAAGACGTTCCACTTTTTTCTTATGAGTGGTAGCGATATGGTTCACGGCTTTTTGATTCGACTGATACGACTTGTCGCAATAAGGACATGTTTTTTTCAACAGAATAACAGTTTTTTCGCCCTCGTTAGAATTTTTAGTATCACTAGATGACATGGTTTTTTTTTTGTATTTCAGCGAAAGAAAAAGACTTTTTTTTGCTGGCAATCTGGATAGCCTTTTTTTTTATTTGGATAGCCTTTTTTTTTTGGCTGGTACTTTGGATAGCCTTTTTTTTATTGGCTGGCAATCTGGATAGCCTTTTTTTTTTTGGCTGGCAATCTGGATAGCCTTTTTTTTTATTTGGATAGCCTTTTTTTTTATTTGGATAGCCTTTTTTTTATTGGCTGGTACTTTGGATAGCCTTTTTTTTATTGGCTGGCAATCTGGATAGCCTTTTTTTTTATTTGGATAGCCTTTTTTTTGGTATCTCCTTATTTTATCCTACGGAGAGTTTGAATTTTGAAAATCCGTTGAGGTAGTGACAGGTTTTACTTTTGGTAAATTCAATTAGAATTGTATTTGTTTATATCAATCAGAAATATTTTTTCTTGTACTTTTAAGATCTTTTAATGATATATATTTATTATTTTTATTATTATCTCTGAGTATTCAAGTTTCTAAAATATGAAGGGTTCTCACTTCTATATTCATCCATCAACCTCACAGCATCTGCGAGTGCTCTTTTTATAAGATCTGCCTTTGTTTGATCTAAGCCAGGAATTGTCTTCAAAGTTTGAAGATCTTCAAAGCCGTGATGCATCGTTGCAGAATAAGCTGCAATTTCGTCAAAGACATATACACCTCTATCTTCAGCAGTACCTCCACTCTCTAATTCCTCCTCTACTTCTTCCTCAACTTCGTTCTCGTTTGCATTTACAGCGTCTTGTCGGTTCAATACCACTCCTGCTATCTCCCGTTGCTCGATGAAGCTGAATTTTGCCCCACAGTAACGCTTCAACAAATGTGAATGCTTGCATGGGATCTGGCGGGTCAGAAAGTTCGGGCAGGTGCAGCTTTGTATCAAGTCATTTGATATATTGACGGTATACCACTTATCTTCTGTTACGAAAGATCTTATTTGCCACTCACCATTATAATCATCCATGCTGTTACCAGTCTCACCCAAAGGGTTGAGAATCATGGAAGGGAGCATGTCATTTTGGATTTTTGAAGCAACAAAAGAATTTCTTGCTAACTCATTATCAATGGGACCCATCTTACCATTGTTGAAGTGAATACGCTCAACCTCTTGTTCAAAATAGAACTCCACATCATTTGTCAAGATAAAAATTAGTCGATCCAATCTTCTGATGCGTGCACGACCAAAGTAGATTGTCTTGAGTTGATTGTGCCATGATTCTACATAGTTGTTTGTCACATATCTCTGATGTTGTTGGCTAATGTACGGGCGCCCCCATCTTCGCAACAATTCTTCGTTCTCGGTCCATTTCTTCTCAAAATATTTCAAAAACTGAGGTTGATCCTGAACCATCAGTTTAAAATCTTCAATTGCTCTTAGGAACACGTCTTCGTTTGACTCGATGAGAATGTGTCTCAGGTAGTTCTTCAGTGCAGTCTTATAATTCCCAAGTTGTTCTGATGTATAAGAGGCATTAAGTTTAATCTTGCTGTCAAGGTTGTGCTGCCAAGCGCGAAGAACATGAAAATCACAGTAGTGAATTGTAGCATGAGGTAATGCTTCTTTGATTGCATTAACCTCCATAATGCTACAGTCAATGGTAATATTCATTGGTACGAAGCTGCTCTTGATGCGAAGGTGGTCAAGCCAAAGTTTGATGGGTATGGCTGTCTGGTTGTTTGTCACCATGTATGCAACAGGGAATCCCTTTCCTGTTTGAGGATGGCGAGTGACCAAAGTATATAATACTTCGTCGCTTCTGGACGAAATGGAATGGGTGGCATCGAGACAAAAAGATTGCGAGATTCTCATGATTGAAACTTGCATTGGTGATTGAAATCCAAAGGCAAATTGTTTTTTACCATCATTATAAACAGAAAGATTGATTTCAAAAATGCAATAGTTTTGTTCTGCTAGCTTTACATTTAACCAGATGGAAATAGATGCATTTTCATCAGAAGCAAACATATATAACAAAGTAGTCATCTATTTTATATACGAGTATTTATTTGATATATAAATATTAATTTAATACGAAAGCTCTGTTATATTCATTGACAAACCTTTCTCATTCTGTTGTAAATTTCTTCATAATTAGGCTTTCTAACGCCAACTCCCCAACTATCAATCTGTCTAAGAACTGAAATTCTTGTACTTCTACAGCTGCTGCCACTTTTCAACTGATCTTCAATAATCTTTATGGCTTCAGAAGGCAAAGGAAGAGTTCTGACTTCGTCCCAGTCTCCAGGAACATGGTTTACATGTGCCCTTGTTTGGCAAAATGTAACAACATTGGGGTTGTCGAGATGCTGTATGATTTTTAAGGCAGCTGTACAAGAGCATGCCTTCGTATCTTTCTGGGCAAGACGTAATTGGCGGTTTGTTATATATTGGCCAGCACGGTGGCATTTTTTAGTCTCTCCAAAAACTAAACCTTTTCCAGAATATTTATGCTTTTTATTCCATTTTGTTGAGCATAAGACATTGATTCGCTCCAGACACTTTTCCCATTCACTAGCTTTTACTAATATTGTCGAATTCAAAGGAAGCATCTTGATTCCTTCCAAAGGCGAGTTGATCAAGACTTGTTGAATGGTGGAAATATCATAAATAGTGTTGTTTATATTGTTGTTAGACATAATTGAAGTTTGTTTTTAAGAAAGAGGGAAGTGATTATTTGTTAAAAAAAAAATGCCATGTGTGGGATGCAAAAGCCACTGTCTGCCATTAAAGTTAGAAAGCCACAGGACTAAATTAAATACTAATTCAAACTCTCCGTAGGATAAAATAAGGAGATACGGTTCTTGCTCGTTACCCTTGACTGCAAGGACACTAGAGAAACAAAAACAATTATAAGTAACGGCCCAATAACATTTTTATATCTGTAATTCTCGGCGGATACCAGATGATTGGTCGTTGGCCTTGACTTTAAGGGCAGTAAAAAATTAAAACCGACAGTATTTCAACCTTTGTATGGGTGGTAGTGTCACTGTGGATTGGCCTGCTATGTTTCTTTCTCTTATGGGTACACATAGGCTGTTTGCACCACAAATTGATAATGTCAGTCTACAAAGACTTTTGTAAGCCGTAGACTCTAATTTATCAGTGAGTATCTACACAGTCTACAAGAAGACATACAAAGCAAACCACCTTATACTCTATATTTTATTATGGCACAGCCAAGGTATTGGCAGACAAGCTGGTGTGTGCGTCTTTATATAAAGAAAGACTGGGATTTATACATTACACTTATACACCTTGGAGACAGGTATTTAACCCAAAAAAGAAAAAAATGCCCTGATGAATTTAAATTTTCCCATTTTTTTCAATTTTTTCATTTTTTTACTTCTTTACACCAATTTACTCTCATACTTTTAATAAATAGATTTGAAACAAAGACTTCAAGTATGCTATTTAAGAGAACACATAAAAATTATCCTATGTATTTTTCTTTTTTTTAAAGCCTAATATAGAATATTATAACATATATTGCACAGCCATCCATTTTAAGAGTGTCTGTCAATATCACTACCATTTTTCTTTTTCTTTACTTTCTATATGCTTTGAGCTTTATGTTGATGCTTTAATCACTACACAAGTCTAGTCTATTGAAAAACATATATTAGCCTTTAATTACATTATTTGATATTTAAACCACAAAATATCACACAAAACACAGGTTCATACCAAGGATTATAGAACCTGCTACTCACAGTCAAATTAAATTTTGGTACACACATTTTTCTGTAGAAATAGTCGAAATATCAATATTAATGGGAGTGGAAATTTAGGGTAAAGATAATTGATTTTTTCGTTAATATTTGAGCAATCAATGTTAGATAATCTTTAAATTGTGGATCTTTATGTGTCGCACCATATTACTTACACATTTAAAAAGACTTTGCTTAACCGATTTAGATATATGGTTGATTTTCTGTATTTAATTTGGCATTTTAATCAAAATGATTTTATTTATTAAGCTTTTTTTTATATCTCAGTTGTAAATTCAACGATCTTCAAAATATATAATAGGTATCTGTTTAAATTATGCTTTTTCAGTTATGATGCTGCTAAGGAAGGGCAGATAGCTAATCTAGTATGTGGATAGTTAGAGAGACTTGTGGCTTTGATTTATTTGGTGTGGTATATATATATAATGGAACTTTCAGTAAGTTGGTGTGGACAGACCAAAAGCTCCAGAAAAAAGGCAAAAGAAGGGCAAAAATTGTAAACGTCTCTTATTGGCTAGTCTTCTTGCATTGTCACTAGGATTGAGAAGAAGAGCATTTTTTTATGGAAACGATGTGCTGTAGGCTGCAAGGCCTAGAAAAACTTACAATAAAAGATTTTCACTTAATGGAAGGCATGGTATTATAAGCGCAATTTTACCTAATATGTACTTGAATTAATTTTGAACTTTTAGTCTGTCCGTACCAATTATTCGCAAACGAATATTATTAGCTAAAATAAATGTTTACCTCTTTTTCGATTACCACCTATTCTTCACAAATGATGACTCTTTATTATGAACAACACCATTCAAAAAACATTAATTTCATATTATGAGGACGCCAAAGTATCTTATATATATATAAATAATAGTTTTTGCTGTACTTTGTAAAATGATGTATTGTAAACGGCTTATTAATCTTGAAATATTTAGATAATTACAAGGCAAGTCGTCTGAACGTTAACAAAGATTTTATCTCAAAACTTAATCCCACTGCCTGAACATTATTTTCCTTTTGTGCAAAAAAAACTGGGGTTGTCTTAGTCTCACGTAAGAAACACTATCTTTTATTTCTACAGATTTACACTGCTTTTATTCATCCAATCTTAATCCTCTAGTTCAATTGACTGTACATCTCGCAAAATACCTCACAAAGACCAAATCTCATAAATCACCAATAAAACCCCCAAAAGATAGAGCCGTGTTAATTACAGAAATGATGTATACAACATATATATATTGAAGTGATATAAGCCATATTTTCTCTGGCAATACAATAAGGAATAAATTATGATGGAAAATAAAAAAAAATAAAAAATACACTCTCGTGGTTTTGATGAATGTGGAAATATTGATAGCTAATATAGAAGTAATAAAATGAAATGCATAGAGAAACTACATATACATATATGCCCTTTATGCAAAGAAATGCATGATTTTTAGGTACCAGGGTTTGGCACCTTCTTTTTGTTCTTCTTCGTCATCTTCCTCTGTGCGATCAACGCGTCCAGTGTCAAAATCTGTTGACAGAAAAATGAGTTTAGTCAAAAGAAACCAAATAATCCTTTGATAAAATGTCATGCCCACTTACCAACTTCATCCAAAGGTACAACTTTGGTTTTTCGGATAAACTTGTAAATTACATAACAGAAAATGACAGGAAGGATTCCGATGTAATTAATGACAAACTGAGTGCCATCAAACTTGGGCGTGAATGCAGTGTAGCCTATTGAATGGCAAGAATGTATATAAGTTGAGGCCATTTCTTCTTCTTCTTTTTTGCTTTTCTCTTTTTGTGTAGTAATTACCTTGGCCTAGGATAATTAAGAGACAGAGAACGCCCGAGAAGATTGGAGAGAAAGGATATAACCAGCAACGGTAAGGAAGGTCTGCAATATCACGGCCTTGCTTGACATAAGCCATTCTGAAACGGAGCTGTACAAAGGAGATACCGCACCAGCCGATGAAACCAGTAACAGCAGTGATACTCAAGAACCAGAGAAATGCGGCCGAGGCACTGTAGATTGATGCAAAGACACATGCAAATCCAATGATAGAAGATATAAAGACAGCATAATGGGGAGCGCCATATCTGTTCGTGCGAGCAAGGAACAAAGGTGCATGGCCGTCACGGGCAAGAGCCATGAGTGTACGAGCACAGGTGTATAGAGAAGAGTTTGCAGCAGAGAGCACACTTGACAGGACAATGGCGTTAATAACATGAGCACCTGCATCAATACCACCGAGAATAAAAACCAGAGTAAATGAAGCAGTGGCGGGGTCGTCGGCATCGTTAATAAGGTTGGGATCGTTGTTGGGAATACAGAGACCAAGAAGGAAGATAGTGACGATGTAGAAGAAAATGATACGCCAGAAAGTGTTGCGAATAGCTTTTGGGACAGTCTTTGAAGGATTCTTAGCCTCAGCAGCAGTGACACCAACTGTAATATGATGTGAGATGCAAGTTATAAATAAAAGTAATAAAAAAAATAAAAAGGTAATTTACCGATTTCAGTTCCGAGGAAAGAGAAACCAGCCGACAACAGGACGGAAATGGTTCCGACTCCACCATCGACAAAGGCTCCAGGATCCTTCCAGTACCTTTATATTGAATTGAATTGAGTTTGATTGAATGTTGTGGTTCGGTTGAATGTCTTGTAATAGATAGCTTTTAAAAGGGATTACATACGAGAAGCCAATGACTTTATCACCGAGACCGCCAGATGTCACACATATAGCTACACACGTACACAAAGAAAAATTATATGAGTACAGAAAGCATAATTTGAGGCCAAGCAAAATATCTTACCAATGATAACAAACACAAATACAATCAAGATCTTTAACAAGGCAAACCAATATTCAAGTTCGCCATAAACTCTGTGTAATATATGAATTCCATTAGTGACATAATTTAATTTTTTGTTTGTTTGTTTGTTTGTCTATAGATATTTTACCTTACACCGACCAGGTTAATAGCAACAATCATTACAAGAAAGATAACTGACCAGGCAGCATCAGGCATAATTGGTTTCCACCAGTTAATAATTGTGGCGGATGCAGAAAGCTCTGTAGAAAAGGCACAAGAATAAGTAAGAGAATATTATAAACACACACACACACACACACATATATATATATATATATATTTACATACCAGTAGCAATTGTTACACCCTAATGAAATTAAATGGGATTACAAAGTATGTTTAGTTCTTATGATATTATTTTATTTAATTCGCCATTTTTTTTTATTACTTACCCACTAATGTATATAAGAAACAAGAGAAGCAGAAGATCCAAAGGATTGGAGTAAGTCACCATCGTTTCATAAGTAAAAATCTAATTAAGCTTACCGAAAACCTACAAATAAAGCTATTAGAATACAGCTTTTATACATATATAAAATATATATTGATATTTACCAATAGTTCCATCCCAGTGCAAATCCCAGTGCCGGATCCACAAATCGGCTAGCGTAATGATTAAAGGATCCAGATACTGCTTTAAATTAGTATACCATTCATTCTGTTTTTTTTTCTGATTTGATTTATATATATATATATATATATACCTGGTAAGAATGTGGCCATTTCTCCTAGACATGTCATGATACAAAAAACCTACAGCAGCCAGCCAGAGTTTAGTAACAAAAAAAATGCTTCATTCGATGATATATTTGTTTACCATGAATCCGACTACACAATAAGCAATAAGGGCCCCAGCAGGTCCAGCCTATAAAAGAATATATGTATATATATATAAGCATTTAGAAAGAGATACAAAAAATTTATGTGTGCTGTGCTGTGCTGTGCTGTGCTGTGCTGTGCTGTGTTGTATTGTATTGTATTGCGTAAAGTGAAGTGATCGTATTACCGCTGCAATGTTTTGTCCAGAATTCAAGAATAAACCTGTACTGTAGAAATTGTTAACTTGATGGCTCAGGTAGGCTTAGATTTTTTTTTAAAAAAAACAAAGATATGCTATAGTTAATATTTACCCAATAGCACCTCCAAGAGAAATCATCTGGATGTGTCTAGCATCTAGGCCACGTTTCAAGGGTTCAAATTCTACAACACTGTCATCCCTTCCTGACGTAAAAGAAGGGTCGATGGGGCCAGAGTAGCTATCTGTCTTTTCATTTGTGTAGGACGGACGTTTGGAGCCCTCCTCTAGTCGATTGAGCTTTTCGTTTATCATCAGAAGTTAAGCTCTTTCGTCTTTGGATTGGATTATAACAAGAAGTATAAAAGTGAAGTAAAGAAGAAGGAAAAGAAAGAAGAAGAAGAAAAAAATTGGCAATGGATCTGATTCGTTTATAGATTTTTTTTCTAATATTTTTTTCGATACTTTCCCTTTTACTGAACAACAACAAAATAAAATAAAATCAAGTCCGCCATGGAGCTTCAATATGAAAAAAAAAAGTACTCACATCCTTCACTCCTATCTACCCACCCCTCTATTTTTCTTGGCTGCTGCTTTTTATACTCAAGGTCAAGAGAAGGACCAATACTTGTGGAATGCTGCAGTCTACTGAACAGCTCTTCATTATATATCTATATATAAAATTTCTACATTTCCTTTTCGGTGAATTGCATTGAATCGCATATGTCCAAATCTATAGATATGTCCATGTATATGTATATGTCGATGTCTATATACAGGTACTGTATAAAAAAGTAAATTAACTATAAATATATACGTGTATCTTTAAAAAAGACCGGCACGAATTAGCTTATCTCCTGTACTGGTCATCGACCAATAAAGCAAATCTGTAGCAGTTGCTCACGTGAGCCAAATAAGCACAATTTCTTAGAACAGAGACCAAAGAAGAGGTATTTTTGAACCTCCACAGAATGGGTAAACTGCTTTTCCAAGAAGTATCTTTACTTTATCACAGCATTTAATCACTGTCTTCAATAATAAGAATACCAACAATAATACATCTACTATCACTCTCTACACTCTCTACACTCTGGGCACCTCTACTAAAATAATGATAATAAAGAAAATAAAATAAAAAGCATAATTAACCGTGCGACCTATCTTGGAAAACCTCAAACCCACTCCGCCTCTTATTTACCATGTATCATGAATATTTGTATAGTTGGCTTTCAAAAACAAATAAATAATAATAATAATTTACGGTAATCTATATTATCTTGAAAAAACCTATTTGAATAGCCCAACATCCACTCAAGACACCCTTTTTTAGATAGCCCATGATTCATTTGTGCTATATGCGTGCACATTTGTGTGCGTGTGTACCTTAGATAATTATATATGACACAAAGTCGATAAGGTTCTATTTTCATCGTAAAATGAGGTACAAAAGCAAGAACAATGAGATAAGCCACCTGTCATATCCGTCAATTGATAATCGGAATACCCCGGGGTTCATGTGCAGGTTTTTATATACATATATAAGAATTCGGTTTTCTATATGTATGGCTAACCCATTTTCAGAATATGCTTAATGTAATGGGTGCAGGCAATTACATTCAAGTATTGCTTTGCGAGCATAAAACAACCTAACGATAATAATAAATAATAAATAATAAAGAAAAAATATGAGTTTCGCACGGTCAGCTTCTTAGGATTCTGCCAAAACTCAAGCGGACAATCTTAATATGAAAAAAAAAAGAAATATTGGAGTTCTTAAACTCAATATATACCAAAGTGATATCACTGCCCAATTAACTAATTGAAAAAAAATGCCTTTTTTAAACAATCCTTTGGATTATATATATTATTTATATACAGGCTCGAATTCCATGAGCTGTATTGAAATCAATATGTATATATATACACATATTGTATTATAACATAATTGAGCCATAAACGATCCAAAATAATAGTAATCAAAGACTAATACATACACATGGAATATAGATAAATTATAGTATTTGACTCATAAAGAAGTATATTTTTATTATATTTATCTTGTATCTATATATTATTCTTGTGTTCGTGTTTAAGTGTATGTGTATATATATATATATAAATTATGTATTTATTTTTTTATTTATTTTATTGTTTTAAAAAAAAGGGGAGCAAATAAAATAATAACCTCTACTCGGCATCCGACTCTTCTTCACTCATTTCTTCGTCACTGTCTTCTCCTTCCGCTACATCCAACTCCATATCAAGCTCTTGATCACAGCCATTATAACTGTCTGACATCAAATAAACCTTAAGATTGTGATGGCCAGCCTTAGGAGCAATAAAGTCCAACTTGACTGTCAGCTTTTGTTGAAGAGTGACGCGCTTAATGGCCAACAGCACTTTCTGTTCAGGGTCACCAATGACAATCCACCAACCCTCGTCCTTCTTCTGAGGGAAGAATGGTGCTACCACAGGACCAATCTCTTCATTATCTTCGGATTCACGTTCCAACTGAACCTTGACATTAACCACATTTCCAGAAGAAATCGAATCCGCATCTCCAACGTCGAAACCAAGTTCAATGTTAGGGTAACGATTAACAAACCGTGCGACCTCGCGCAACTTGCTGGGGTCCATACGGAGAACGTCATTCCGAACATCATCCTCAAGCTCCATAATATCAAACACAGATTCGACTTGGTTGGCTTCGCATCTCTTGATAACCTCGTTGGTAAAGTAAGGCACCTGCTTGAGAGGAGAGTCGCGATCCCACATAGCCTGAACACTCATCTGAGACAGCTCCATAGAAGCAAGTGCAGGAGACAACCAGCCGTTGGATGAAATCACATCCACACAGGCCTGCAATAGGGGAATAATACGACCGAGAACCATGGCCTGGTCTGACTGGAGATCCGGAGGTAGCTGCATACGAGAAAAGTGAGCTTGCAACAGAATGTTGGTCTTGAAGCGAGGAGCATTGAAATCTGGGCTGGTAAGCTTGACAGGCAAACGTTCGTAGAGACGTTTCAATACAGCATCTTCGTGGTGACGAATAGGAATACCCTCAAATTCTGTAGCAGCAGAAACAATCTCGAGCAACCCCTTGAGCTTGGTAGCACTCTTCAAACTGACACTGAACATATCGATGGTACCGTAGTTAATGTTGTAATATGCCGCAATCATACCCAGGTTGAGTGGGCTCACATCCATTTCGTCTTCAACAGTAATACACTTGGTCTCCTGGAGTTCGTTCAAGGTATTCTCAACAAGCTCGGAAAGATGGTCGGACAAATGACGATGGCTGGTACCCTGAAGCCCATAGTAGTTGGGATTGTGTGCCATACGACGGTACAAGAATGTCCATGTGAGGTAATCCACAGCATCCTGCTTATTTTCGATAGTCTTGGTCACAATCTCGGCGTTGAAATGGTCATGAATAAACTGATCAAGGTGAGATTCAACAGGAAGAGCCTCGTATAAGAACTTCTTGTAAAACTCCTTCTTGTTGGCCTGGCACATCAACACACACTTTCCAGTGTCATCTTCACGAGGTCTGCATGCACGACCCATCATTTGCAAAACATCGGTAATAGGGTAATCTGCATAACGATGATCCTTGCCCTCGAAATACTGTGTTCCCATCACAATTACCATGTGAGAGTTTAATGGCAATCCCCAGCAGGTATCACGTGAGGCCACAACCACCTGAATAGCTTTGTTTGTGTAGAGCTGTTCGACAATCAACTTATCTTGTTTGGAAAGCGCCTCATGGTAGAAACCAATACCATGCTCAAGAGTTTCTGCCAAATTCTTATCTTGGACACGATCTAAGAAAGGTTTGATTTCTTCAATTTTGCAGTGTAAGAAACGATCGGGTGTGTCATCCCCAATACAGTAAGTGATGATATCCACAGCTGTCAGTCGGCACTGCTTGCGAGAAGGTACAAATACAATCACAGGTTTTTCTGCAGAATGGGTAGTGATGGCCAAATAAGTAGGTTTGGCCATGGCCATCATCAAAGAGGCGAAGTGAGGGATATTATAGCTTTGAATATGAATTTCAAGAGGTACAGGGCGTACAGAAGGATGGAAGTTAAAGATAGCCTGGGAAGGAGCACCGATCCACTCTCCGAGGTCCTTTGCGTTAGCCAACGATGTACTCAAGGCAACAATACGGATAGTCTTCTGGGTCTGCGAAGCAATGTAACGCATACGGGACACAATAACCTCATAAGTAGGACCAATGTCTCCTCCAATCAAATGCAACTCATCTGCAATAAATAAGTTGACATTCTGCACATTCTTTCTCTGTTTCCAACGGCGTGACACAATATCCCATTGTGTGGGTGTGCATGCAATAATATCACCACGTTCAAGCAACTTGAGATCGGCACTGGTCTCGCCGGTCAGAGCCACAATTTCCTTTCCACCATCCAATTTGCCAAACTTCTCCTGCCAGTCGACAACACGCTGATCAACAATCTCCTGGAAGGGAGCTACATACACACAGCGTCCTTTACTCTGCTGATTCCACATACGGAGGATTGCAAACTCTGCACAAACAGTCTTGCCACTACCTGTGGGAGCACCAATAAAGGCGTTGTCATCAGTGGTATAAAGTGCATTAAATGCTTGGGTCTGGATAGGGTTAAATTGCTTAATCCAGCGAGAATACACATTTTCATAAGCTGGGTTACGAAGGGCAGAAACTGGTAAAGGCTGGAGATCGTGAAGTTCGGTGTGAGGCGCGTACTTCTCAGGAAGGATCAGATGCTTGAATGAGACAGGGAGCTTGGTCTCAGCATGCAACCAGCGATCAGCCACAACAGTAACAAAGTAATTGGGAGGCAGAGGCTCGTAAAGTGGTACAGTGAAGGATACCAAATGATCTTCTGTTGCATAACGCTGCTTGAGAATAAAGTAATCGTGATGAAGAATGGTTTCGCCATCGACATCCTCTACTAGGATCCAGAAAGCTTCAGCAGTACCATGAACCTTTTCATCCCACTGGAAATCAGGAGTGATGGTCAATTCCATCTTGAGCAGAGAACGGGTGACGGGTTGGACATGGGCTTGGATATCAAGTCGAGGGAATTGATGGATAAACTTATGGAGCTGACGTCCGGCCTTGGGTTGACCAACAAGCTCACCAAGCTCCTGGGGGTTGAGATCAAAGTAACGCTCCCAGGGGAACTCCTTTCGCTCCAACCGCTTAATCAAATCGGAAGGCATAGCCTTGAACTGGCGCAGAGGTGACATAGACAACCAAGAACGCTTCTCAACCATCTTACAGAGATCAAGGGCTTTTTTGGTAAGCTGTGCCCAGCCGCGCTTCAAGCAGATCTCAAAAATGGCACGTAAAATACGGCCTGCACTCTGAGTAACATATACCATATCAGACACCAAGGCGAAACCATCTAATTTCAGCTGAGAAATGTAGGACTGCAACAGGACGTTGATCTTTGCTGTGGGTTCTTCCAGACTTTCCTTGACAGGAATAGGTACACGCTCGAGCAATTTCGAGAGTTCGAGCTTCTCCTCCTCACGCACAGGAATGTATTTAAACTCGTCAGAAAGAGCAAAGACTCTAAAGAGTTCAATGTGGCTCATCATGGGCTTCAAGTGCTGATTGTAAGTGGCCATAGAGTGGTGGGTAACATAAAAGTGAGAAGCAATGCGACCCAACTCGGTAACCTGGAAACGGCCAGACTTCTTGTCGTATTTAATCAGGTTACACTTATCGAGAACAGCAGCAGCAGAATGGATCAAATCGACCCGCTTTTGTTCCAGGTAAGGATCATCACTGAGATCATCTGCGGATACGTTGTAGAGACTTGGGTTTCTCAGCATACGGACGTAGAGGTAAGTGTATCCAAGCCATTGCACAGCCTCATCTCGGTTACGAATAGTGCCCAAAACAATCTCTGCGTTGAGGTTGTCAGCAAGTCGAGAGATAAACTGAGACTCGATAGGTAATTGTGTGTTGAGAAGTGAGAGATAGTACTGAAGTTCTGCGTGTGCTGTAATGATGATACCTTCACCGTAGGTATCGAACTGCGGACGACCTGCACGACCTAGCATCTGCAATACATCCTGAGGTGATAATTCGACCCAGCGACCCTTTTCAGGTGAGTATATCTGTGTACCCTTGATGATAACAGCGTGAGCTGGCAAGTTGACACCCCAAGCAAGAGTTGCAGTGGAACAAAGAACCTTGATGTGGCCATCGGCAAAGAGTTCTTCAACCAAAGTACGGTCAGCGCGAGTCATACCAGCATGATGGATAGCAAAACCATAGGGTAACAGATCCTGAAGATTGGCATCCTTGACAGTTGCAGCCTCAGATTGAAGAATTTCACGACTTGCAGAATCTTGTTTGAGGAAGCGACCGATAGTATCTTTTTCAAGCGCAAGGTCACGAAGTGTCTTTGCGGTCTTTGCGGTCTCCTTACGCGAATGTACAAACACAAGCACCTGGTTTTCTTCACGTTGTTCAATTTGCTCAATAACCTTTTCATAACAGACTTCGTTCATGACCTGGAATCTCTTAATTGCCTTCTTTTCGGTTACACCAATAAACTGCTGCTTCAACGGGCAAGGACGGAATGTGCTGTCAAAGAAAAAGAGACCACTCTTGGCGTCTACACGCAAGAATGCTGCAACATCTGCATAATTGGGAAGGGTTGCCGACAGACCAACGAGGCGAACAAGCTCTTGAGTCTGTTCCATATTACGGATGGTACGCGACACGATACTTTCAAGTACTGGTCCACGGTCATCGTGAAGCAAGTGAATTTCATCAATAATAATAAGTCTCACAAGAGTGGTGTAGCTGCGATCGGTTGCTTTACGAGTAATTACATCCCACTTCTCGGGTGTGGTAACAATAATTTGTGTTTCGGCAATCTGCTGCTTTGTAAGTTGGCGATCACCAGTCAATTCAGCTACCTGTACTCCATAGGGTCTCAGACGTTTGGAGAAATTGCCAACCATTTCTGCTACCAGAGCCTTCATAGGGGCAATATAAACAATCTTGAATGAGTCCAAATCAATCAAGCCGGTTTCGGGGTCACGGTTTTTGCCAATCTCATGTAGAATAGTCAACATGGCAACGTTGGTTTTACCGGCACCAGTTGGGGCACAAAGAAGAACATTTTCATCGCTGCCAAATGCAGTGGGATACAGGCGACTCTGAACACGGTTAAGATTCTCTGCACCGGCAAAAGCATCATGAGTCCAGCTTGGCATAGATTTGATTGGTACCAATTTTTCGTCAGCACCAAAAGATTGGGGCTTAGGTGCAGGTACATGAATTTCTTCATAACCCTTCTTGGAGCGCTTGAAAGAACCATCGGGAAGTTTCACTTTCTTGTTGGACATCAAATGTGCTCCTTGTTCAAATGCGAGGGCTTCTAAATCGAGCATCTGGCGAGGAGCAACAGTAGTTCCTGGGGTCAATGTTGTAGTAGTAGGGACCTGGGTTCTGCTGCGGCTCTCCTTTGCTTCTCCGTCAATCTCCATTGCGTTCTCAACAACACCCTTTCTCACAAGAGCTTCACCGCGACGTTGTCGGTCACCACTCAATTCGCGTAAGATCCATGAAAGGCCCTTGTTTTCGAGCTCTCTTTCCAGGGCTGCCTTCTCAGGGCCATCAAGTCTGGCAAGTCGGGTACACCAGTAAATCAAATCACGGTTTTTGATGAGAATTCTAACAAGATCAAACTTATCATAATCAAACAATCCCATCAATTCGTTTTCACAATCACGAATATTGATTTCTTCAGATCCAAGGATATCAAAGGCCTTTGTAGTTTTATCTTGGGCTGTGTATGGATCGGTATAATATGTGGCTACTTGACGCTGAAGCCAGAAAGCGTCAATGTCGTGAGGTGAGACGTGATCGGTGAGCTGTTTTGCTGTTCCGCGCTTCTTTTTACGTCCACTTTCAGCACCGGGTAAAACAGTCTTGAAACCATCTTCTGCGTCCTCTTCTTCCTCTTCCTCTTCCACGATCTCTCTTCCTGAAGAAAGAGTAGCAGCCATTGATGTGTCTTCTTCTTCTTCATCATCTTCCTTGACTTCGTATTGATCATCTTCTTCTTCCTCATCATCTTCATCGTCAAATACAACTGCTACACCAAGTTCATCATCAATTTCACCGAGTTTTTCACCATTCTCATCGACATCCATTGCATCTCCCTCTGCGCTGTAGTCTGTGATTTTCTTTGAGAGGTTGACAAGCTGTGCAAAACGTTCTGATTGGATCGGACCGATCACTGATTCGATTTCACGCTTTTTGTCAAAATCCTTGAGGGTGTCTGTTTTCAAAGTTTCGAGAACATCATCTGCTGCACTGCGAATGACATCGCGTGCTTGATCGCCGAGATGCTCATAAACAAATGACAAGATGTGCTCATAAGCCTCGCGTGTTTCTTTTGTGCGTGGCTTGTAGTTAAGACCCTCCCAATCCTCGGTAGCCGATAATACGGAAGAGTATCCATAAGCTTTACTGATGGCGTTTTCTTCTTTCTTCCGCCGTTTCTTCTCTGCGGATTCTTCAGCTCGCTCGGCGGCTTTCTTTTTCTTTTCTTCAATATCCTTTGGTGTCTCTCTTTCAACGCGTGCACCGAATCCTTTTGGATCTATACGTCCCCATAGTGTTTCTGGTTCACCTGTCGGCTCCTGATCTCTACGTGGCAAACCTTTGCGATCTGCTTGCAGCACCAAACTGGAATTTGCTGCGTATTGGTATTGATTAGCCTTGGCAATGTTCTCTGCCATGATTTATTTGTTTGTGTCGGTGCACTGTTGGGATGAAAAGAGGAAGGATAAATAAATATAAAAAAAAGGTAAATTAAATGAAATATTAATTAAGCAGAGTCGCCTTTTTTTTTTACCACTTTAACAGGAAAGAGCTGCAACAGGCGCAACAAGTGCTTTGCGTCACAGTGTTGTGGCTGATTGACGGATTGTGAAATATGTTTGGTCTACCGCCCTCTCATTTATTTAGTCAGTGATAAAGGTGTATACATACCTATATATTTCTGTAGTGAAAGTAGAGATTTATACACAATCTAGCTCGATAATGATGAACTTTTTTCTCTCTTGATTTCCTTTATATTGTGTACTCTTTTATTTAATTAAGTGCAGGCAGATTTTAACACATTTTCTTGAAAGAAAAATTGGTAGATGAGAAAGAGATTGTAGCATAATCATCTATCTTGATACTCAATTATAAATAAATTCTGAGAGTAATATGCTATTACTTAATATTTGATTGTTGGATAATGTTTTTCTATCACTAAAGCGTCTGTAAAAAGAGAAAGCTTGAATCTTAATATTTATTTCAAATATATAGTATAACTCATGACACCCAATTGTGTGATTAACCAGCGATCTAAAGGGTAACCACACTTCTATATTACTAGGCACATAAGATGTGAGATGTGGTCTGCTATTAAATATCTTTTTTTTTCTTATATACTCATCTCATAATAACTAATTAATCGATTTCATAAAAGAAAAGACTATATTTCCTGCTAGACAATAAAAAAATTAGCCGACTCAACGGCTGTTAATATCTTGTTTTTTTTTTTATATTTTTTCTTTGTATGAGATAGATTTACTGTTTCTTGAAACATGCGCTTTTAACCGTATACATACTCTCACCAAACATGTCAGCAACAACGCATAATTTAACGAAACAATTTCTGAGACACTGAAATGATCCTCAGTTCCTGGAGTTGATGTCTTTTGGTTCGAAGACAACTATCATAGTTAACACTTTTAAATATAAATGATCTTTGACGGAGATAGATAAAGTCTATGGCGTCGGATATATTATTCATAATTCAAACAATCTTCCCATCGACATTACTGCTGAAGAAGCAGAAACTAGTGGAGTAAAGATGTTTTTCTCATAAAAGTATGCTTGCCATCCTGCAGGAACCTACGAACCCAAATCTGTAATTAACGTAGCTGAAAATAAAACCAATAAAAACAATACACCTTCTTTCTTCGTGTTAAAAGTCTTTTCTTTAATACATGTATACATTTGAATACTATACATTTATTATTACCAAGTATCAAGCCAGTTAAATACCTTAAGTTACTCGTAATAATATCCATACATTTCTTCTTGCAAAAAGAAGCATCTTTGTGAGTTACCTCAGCAATTTGAGTAGTCTTTATAATCTGCTAGGCATATCAGAGCTGATATGCTAAGAACCATTCATATTTATTTTAAAAACTCGGGCAGAAAAGTCAATTAAAACAATGTCTTGAGTCTGATGGACAAAGCTTGTCTAAAAAAAACCAATATATTGTGAAGTACAATTTTACATCTTCTTAATTTATATATTACCGGGCTTTTTTAAAAGAACCCTGAAATTGCTATTCGAAATGAAAACAAAGCTCTTTATGAGAAAAGGATATATAAGTCTATGTTGTCTCTAATACCATGTCAATCGCAATGCTACCATAAATATAATATTCAATAAAGGTAAGAAGAAATATAAGAAAGTGGAGATATGAACCAATAAGAAGGTTTTATTAGGTAACATAAGGAAAAAAACGAAGGCTATTTGACACGTTTTGACGAAAAAGATGATTGAAACAATAAGTCCAAAGTTAAGCATCATCAGGATCAGATCTTTTTTTTATACATTTAAACATACATATACTTCTTAAGTTGCTTACTATAAGAATTCGCGTAAAAAAAATGTTCATTCTTTACTTTTACAATGAGCTTCATCCACCTTCATCAATACATCCTAATTACAAAAACTAAAATTACATTTAGAATTCTTGTCTTTACTGGGTATCAATTTGCACTCTTTATAACTTTAGACTTCTAAAATGAGTCCTCGACAAATAGATTAGAGAATAAGGGCCATCTAGAAATCAAAAGTTTCAACAATTTATTTAACAATATATATATAAAGATAGAATGAAGAAGGAAATCCCAATTAGGGCATAAATTTTAACTTGTTGCTTGACCATTTTAGCAAAGGTAAAGATATGTAAAGAAAAACAATTTTATATGCATCTTTTCTTTAAGAAAGAAATGCTAGTTTTCTGACAGCATCCATATGGTGTTGAAACGTATCTCAGTATGAGTACATTTTTACCCCTTTAACCCGGACTTTAAATGTCGAGACACGATAAAACACCTAACTAAAGGTACTTAGTCATTCTCTAATACATCATGAAGGCTCTAAGCAGCAACAAAGATATTAATCGCTTCTCTACGTTTGCAAGTAGCAAATACACTTGTATATGTACTTATGCACCATAAAAAAAGCACATTTTTAATTTTTGAGTTAGGAATATTATATTAGACAATCTTGGTGTTGCATTAACTGGTTTGGCATGAGAAGTTCAGTCTACGTCACTCCACCGCAAAGGTGAAAATAGCTGACCCTGAAGCCCACGTCATGGAAAGAATCGAACATATCTTTGTCCTTTAACTCTCTATACAATAAACGAAACATGGCCGATGGAAAATTAGAAAAGATGGAAAAGGACTATAGTCCTCAGGTTGATGTACTCATCCCTGAAACTGAAGCCCTCGTCAAGGTAATGGACCCAAGACGCGCGTTCTTTGATTATACTGACTGATCTACTTACTCGTTTTAAATATTGTTTCTTTAGCAAGGAAAACTTAGTGTGGCCCTCGAAAAGATTCTTTTGCTTGAGAAGCAAGCGCGCAATGTAAGTGTCCCCAACTCCTCTATTTTATATACTCCTTCCTTCTCTTTCTATTCTTGTTCCTGGATTGATGGAAAAGAACTTACGCAAATAATTTTCTTAGGCTGCAGATCAAGCATCAACTGGCCGTCTACTCGTTCAAGCCGTCAAGCTTTGCCACCAGGCCGGCGATTGGAAGGCATTGAACGAGCAGATCATCTTGCTTTCCAAGAAACATGGCCAGCTCAAGGCGGTAAGATCAACTTTCGGAATTTGACGATTGTCCATTCAATCAGGAGATTTCTTCTTTTTCCTATTTATTAGCAATTCATGCTTACATGTAATCACTTTTATTTGAATGCTTTTTAAATCTTAGGCTACCACCAAGATGGTACAAGAAGCAATGTCTTATCTTGACACTACACCCAACAAAGAAGCCAAGCTCGAGTTGATTGATACTCTCCGCACTGTTACTGATGGAAAGGTAATAGGGAATCAATATATTTTGATGGTCTATTGAACTCAATCATTTGCTTAAAGATCTACGTTGAAGTTGAGCGGGCACGCGTCACACGTATGCTGTCAAAAATACGTGAGGACGAGGGTAAGACAACCGAAGCTGCGGATATCCTCCAGGAGCTCCAGGTAATAATTAAGAACACTATGCCTACAAGGCAAGGAGTAGTGAATATAGTAGATAGATGAAGAGAAAACTGATAAGTGAGAATAGGTGGAGACCTTTGGATCCATGGATAAGCGTGAGAAAGTCGACTTTATTTTGGAGCAGATGCGCTTGTGTTTAGCAAAGCATGACTATGTCCGAACACAAATTATCTCAAAGAAGATTAACACAAAGTTCTTCTTGGAAAAGGAGAATGAGGCAAGTTACTAGTTTAAACAATAGAGAGAGAAAGGGACTTGTTTATTGATACAGTAATATACACATAAACAGGATCTTAAGCTTCGTTATTATGATTTGATGATCCAACATGCATTACATGAGGGTCAACACTTGAATGTGCACAAGTTCTACAAACAAATCTATGACTCCGAGTCTATCAAACTCGACGACAATAAGTGGAAAGAGGTAATATCCCAAAACACGGAGTTACTTGGTGCATTCCATTCACACTTTTTTAGGCTCTTCAACAAGCTATCCTCTTTATCATTTTGTCTCCTTATGACAATGAGCAATCTGATCTTTTGCATCGCATATACCAGGACCCCAAGACTGCTGATTTGCCAATTTACAGGTACGGTTATTGAGGATATAGCCATTAAAGTTAAACAACATATCGTAATATTTTAATTTGCTGGATTAGTGAGCTTGTCAAGCTGTTCGTTACAGACGAGTTGATGCGATGGCCCATGATCGAAGACAAGTATGGGGAATTGCTTGGAAAGACTTCTGTTTTCAAAAAGTCTGCAGAAGATGGTCAGAAAAGATGGAAAGAACTTCACCACAGAGTGATTGAACACAACATCAGAGTGATTGCAAAGTATTACACCCGTGTCTCTACTAAGCGTCTGGGCCAATTGTTGGATCTCAACGAAAAGGTATTGTTTTTTGGAATAATAAGGGTGAACGCAGTAATTGGATCTAATGGGATTGTACAAAAAAAAATAAGGATGCCGAAGAATCTCTGTCAAAGTTGGTAGTTTCGAAGACTATATATGCTAGAATTGATCGTATGGCTGGAATTGTATCCTTCCAAGTCAAGAAAGATGCCAACCAGACATTGAATGACTGGTCAAGTGACATCAACTCGCTTCTTAACTTGGTTGAGAAGACATGCCATTTGATTTCAAAGGAGGTGAGGGGGTCTTGTTTTTTTTACAAGAAAAATAACAGCAAAAATGTGTGTGGTTTAAAAATACTTATTTGGATTTTATAGGAAATGGTGCATAGCATTGCCAAGGTTATGTAAATAGTGGATACGATTTTTTTAGGTTTAGTATGGACACCTCAAATAAAGGAAATTAGCATATGTAACTTTTATGTTTTCCAATTTAAAGAATAACAATACAAGCACATATCTTTGCAATCTATAATAATTACTACAAACTCACATACACACACATGCGCGTATATGCACATATTCACATAGATTAACAATATGAGGGGAAAAGTGATTTTGATATAAAAACCATATTGATAAAACCTTATTGAAAGAACAAAAGAAAAATAAAATAAAATAAAGGCCCGTTTGTAGTTGGGAGTCGCATCACCAAAGAAAAGCGTGACCGGCGTAAAGACAAACAAATCCACTCCACTCTGCCAGCTTGAAAACATATAACTCCGGGCTCCCCTACAAACGATGGCGGTAACAAAAAAAAATAATTTTTTTTTGGGTCTACTGTTTTTTGCCAGGCACTTCTTTAACAAGACTCAACCAACATGAACGCCGCATCTGTCATCCGTCGTGCTTACACCACCAAGTCTCTCGTTCCTCCCAACTTGGCTGCTGCCACTAAGGTCAGTGGATCTGCCAAGGACGGTCAGATTACCCAGTTGGTTGATTTCTACAAGGTAAAATAAATAATATAAATAAGTAAATATTATAATATTACATAATATAATATAATATAATATACTACAGATGTCAAAATGACAAACCTCCATTAACATAATAAATAGAAATTGCCCAAGGGTGCTGCTCAGGCTGCCAAGCCTTCCGGTCCCTGGGGACACTACAAGGCTCGTTACATTGATGGTGACAATGCCTCCATGACCCCCATGTTCCATGCTCTCTTTGGTATCTTTGTCATTGGTTACTCCATCGACTACCACTTCCACTTGAGTAAGTTTTTATTATATAATATTTGTTTCATCATACTAATCTTTGTAAAAATATTTTTAAATTTTTAATTAATAGAGCACCACAAGAACGTTGAGCACCATTAACTATAGCTGGTAGCTTACGTATTATCGAAAATAAAACAAACAAAGAAAATCAATATTCTGTACCATACGCGTTTTTCGTTTCCTTACTTTTCTTTTTTTGAAAAGTTATATAACATATTTAATGGCCAAAACAAAATAAGGGCAATTAGAGTTGTAAATACTGCATTATTCATAGATTAATACCATGGAATATATATTTATATATATTTACGAGAAATTGAACAAATTCGGTGGTGTACAATGATAAATTATTAATAATGCTCCATCACATCAGGATCTCGGTGAACAACACTGCCAAATTCGCTGCTTTCTTTCATAACTTGCTTAGCATCTTGCGATTCTAGCCCTTGTTTGGCGAGATCTTCGCGAATAAGTCTGTAAGCCGTCTCAGGCACAAGCACTTGTTGTAAATATTCCATAGGTAACTGAGGGGCTGCTGTTTCATGTGTGAGGATGTTTGTCTTTACAAACATTGTGTCCAAGACTTTCTGCATTATGGCTGCACCCTTGGACCCATAATAACCAGGCTACAAAATATAAATTAATAAAATTACTTGATATCATTTTTTTATCCATCAATTAACTTACCAAGGTGTATTCAAATCTAGCCATAACAGCCATAGTGCCTCTTGCCTTTACTTGACCAAGATCTTTATACGCTTGGAGAGCCGCATCCCTGTAAATACTGGGCGTATCTTGGGATATGACACGCTCGAGCTCTGCCTGGAGAGATTTGATACGCTCTGGAAGAGCATCAAAGTCGATCTCAAGAGGATATCCTCTCTTAACACCTTCTGGCTTAATCTTCAGTTCTGTCTTGTGCATCTGACAGAATTCGAACTGCTCCATATTAGAGACTTCCCGTTTTTGATTCCCATAGTGCATTATTCTTGCAGAACTGTCCATCATTAATTGACTTTCTTCAAACGCCTTATTTTTGTCTTCCATATCTTTAAAGGCATCTTCAAGAATTGGAGTAAAGGGGGGTTCGAGTATGTCACCACAGTACGGACATTGCTTGGCTATTATTGTATGGAAATAAACCAGATAGTCGTAAGAGAAATTCGAATAAAATACAGTAAACTTATGTATATGTTTTGCTGCAAGACTTACCTCCCTCAGGACATGCTGTCTCTACCTCAGACTTCTCCAATGATTCTTTAAAGTCCATAATTCTTCTCATACTCATCTCTTGTTCCTTGATTTTATCAGCATGTGCCTTCTTTTGCTCTTCACTACGAGTGTCATCACTAGGTAACTTCAAGAATGACCCAGCTAATTTATTTTTGCGGTAGACTTTGACTTGTCCGCGTGATGAGTTGAAGAAGATATCATTCAGTTGGCTTGTTGACGCTCTTGCCATAGGTTTCGGCAATGAAGTAGTCTTTGTAACACTACGTGGTTTCTCTCCATCCCTTGCCTTTAATACTTCAGGTTTTGAAACCTTTCCATTAGGTATTTTCAAAGATTCTTTGTTTCTTCCAAGCACGCCTTTATACTGATTTTCCTTGATTTCTTTTTCAAGAGGAGCCTCGGAACTAATGTCAATATTCTTGGTTGTAAGCTTGTTTGTTGCCTTGTTTGCTGCCTTGTTTGTTGTCTTGAAAGTTTCAGAAGGTTTACTGGTAGGTGGTGATCGAGTACCTATATCAGCTCCCCGGGAAGACCTGGCCGCTCTCGGTTGTTTTTCTTTGCTGGTCGGGTAAGGGTCCTTGGATCCCTTTGCTTTCTCTTTGGAAAATAGCGCGTTTTTTTTGTTGTGTAAAAGATATGCATCTAATATTACATTGGTAACAAACCATGGATAGTCTTTCGAGATTTCGCCTCGGCGGGTTTACGTTTGTCTAATGATGCTTGAGAGTCATCTTTTGGTCGAGTAGCTTCTGACGTGGAATGAACTGTTGGCTCTTTAGAAGCATCAAGCAGATTATTTTCAGATTGTGTCTGTTTACGAGTCTGCCTCCTGGCTACTGGGCCTTTTTTTTCTCCCTTTGATGGCATAATTTTAATGTTAATGTAAAGAGAAAATAAAAAAATAAAAGATAAAGTTCAATGGCCTATGCTCTTCATCTCCTCCGCCTCCCCTTCTTTTGCAGCAAGAAGTTGAAAGGAAAAGTCCGACAAGCCACAGTATCTGGTGTGACTCCGAACAGGTTTAATCCGATACATGCAACAAGACGCGCTTTCCTTTCCTGAGCGAACATGAGTTACGATTCAAGAAGTTACAGACCGCGTCAAGAAGGTGAAGCCTCTGACAAGAAAACTCAGAGCAGTAGAATGAAGACTGATTGAAGAATGTTTCACTCTCTAGGAAACCGTTACAGAGGATCTGGCGGTGGACGTTACAACAATGGCGGAGGTAATTAAAGCAAGATGTGTTGTACATCGTACTAATGTAGAAATCTAATGGTCATTTCTCTTAGATGACAGAAGAGGATATAGAAACAACAACAGAGCTCCTTCACCTACAAAGGACGATGAAGTAGAAGATATCGAAGTTCGTCTCAAGAGTCTTATTATCAAGATCGGTGACAAGGTATGTCCTCCGCACCAGCTTTGTGCCATACTCATCGATCTTGAATTAGATCTCGCCGGAATTACAAGTCAATCTGAACAAAATGAAGAACATTCTGGACAATGATTACTCAAAGTATCCAGAGACTGTCCAGGATACTCTGAAAGCTTGGTACGAAAAAAAGGGAAAAAGAAAAAAAAATGATAGATTGGTTACATATACTGACCCACATGTGTGTGTTTGTATATATATATATATCAACAGTATAAGTGATATTCCTGCAAAAGCACCAGTTTATGGCATTCTTATTGGCTTGCTAAACTTGTCCAACCATGAATCTGTGGGGAAGCTGATGTATACATTCAATCAACTTTTCAAAGAAACTATCGAAAGTTCGAATTGGTTTAAGTTGAAGCAAATATTGAGATTCTATGGAGAACTTGTTAATGCCAATGTTATTTTGCCTTCTGCATATATTCTCATCCTCAACAACCTCTTGGCTGTCTTGAATGAACCAAAAGCACTTCGAGTAGGTCATATATATATATATAGTTTTTGGATGTAAAAAAGAATGTTAATGTAAATATGCGAATAGGATCGTGTAGATTGCATTGTCTATATCATATTATCTACACTGCCCTGGGTAAGGATTAACCATTATGTCTATATTCTGAAACAAAACAAAAAAACGAATTATTTAAATATGTCTGTGTGTGTGATGGCTGCTGATATATAATATTTTTTTAGAGTATGAAAGAACTCAATGAGCGTGAATCAGATGGATTAGCTCAGGTTATATCTAAGATTGATATTTATATGCAAACAAGAGGTGATGTACCTCCTCTTCGCATTTTACAACATTACAGAAGTGGAGACACTCGATTTGAGGAGAAGGATGTAAGAATATCTTATTATTTGAAGAAGAAAAAACCAAAAAAGGGAATAACTTGTCTAATCTTTAAATTTCCCAAAAAAAAGCCTCTTGTCCACTTGTGGTATTTGATCCAGGATTTGTTTTCCAAGGGAGGAAATGTAAGTGAATGAATTAAAGTATTGGCAATGTAAAATAGTCTTATACAAACGTGTGCTTGCGTACAGGTTCCTCTTCTTCCCAAGCCATTTCGTTGGTTCGATGATGAACTCAAGTCGGCGCTCCAGGTAAAATATATCGGTATAACAGTATTTTTGTACTTTGGAGCCGTCTGTATTCACCCTCTTGTGTTTATCTTTAGCATGATATACCTCAATTTGTGCTCCCACCGCACAATGATAACGTCAAGTATTTTGGACCTCAGAGAATATTGAAAGTCTTGGTGGATGATAGTGGCAAGGTAAATTGATGGTATTGTGATTGCGGCGTAAAGGCACAATCCCATGAATCAGGACAATTAATCAAAAGAATACAGGCTTTGACTGCTGTTCCAGATCATGATGGTCTTGATTATTTCATTTTGAACGATGTGATTGCTGATACTATCCAAGTATTTGAGTCCAATCGCAAGGAGTGTGCAAAATACCTTCTCGGTATCGCCCACAGTTTCGAGTCCGGATTTATAAACACAGCCATTACTACACAGGAAAATGGAACAGAAGAGGATGTCATGGAAGAGGATACAACTGGCTGGAACTTATCTGACCTCTTGCTGGAGGTAAAATAATATCTTGATCTCAGGCGCAAAGATAGCAATTCTAAAGCGTGCACATGTATCATCTAGGCTATCTTTTCTCAAATGCTGAAGCTACCTACTCCTCCTTTCCGTCTCGTATTTTACTCTTGCATCTTGACAGAGCTCTGCCGGACAGAATTGTCATCATTCCCAATGTCATTAGGTAGAATTGTAAAGGCTTTGTTTAACCGTATGCAAGACTTGGATGCCGAGTGTGTATCTCGTCTTTGGTGCTGGTTTTCTCACCACTTGAGCAACTTTGGGTTCCAGTGGGACTGGAAATCATGGTAATCGATATAGACTTACACCCACTTCTAATAGTGCGGCCTGTATTTCTTTTTGTACTCATATTATAATTCTCGCTAATACTTTTTTGTAGGGATCACACATTGACCCTCGATCAAATGCATCCTCAGGTCTGCTTTATTCGTGAGACCTTGGAGAAAGAGATTAGATTGAGTTATTACGAGCGCATCAAGACCACAATCCCAGAAGAGTTCGCACCTTTATTCCCAGCTGTAGCTCCTGGGCCAGACTTTGAATTCAAAGATCCCTCTCACCCACTTCATCTTCAGGCAAAACTTGTCATTGACAGTCTTCGTGCAAAGAAGTCGGTTGAGGAAGTTCGAGAGATTCTTAACAACTTCAAGGCTGAACAGGCCAAGCTTGGTTTGGATGAGACAGCTCAATTGGGTGCTGTCCGACAGCTGTTTGTACAGTGCCTTTTGCTAGTTGGTAGCAAGAGTTTTTCTCATGTTCTTAATGTAGTCGAGCGGTAAGTTTTGTATAGCCTATATATTTCTGTACTTTCCCATGGGGCTAATACAATCTATATTTTTCTTAAAAAAATAATAGCTATCTTGAGGTCATGCGCTATGTAAACTCTACACCAGAAGGACGCCTTCACACGGTTCAAATCGTATCTTCCTTCTGGAAGAATAACACACAGGTATAATATAGTTGCACAAAATGTTATCAATGGGTATTTTGGCTTTAATTGGCGTGTTATGTACTGTAGTTTTTGGGCATATTGTTGGACAAGCTTTTGAACTACCGCGTCATTGACCCCACTTCTGTAATATCGTGGACCTTTGAACCTGAACAACTTGAGAATGCAGGAAGGTAAGGCTTTTGTTTTCCATCTTGATATCAAGACCGTACGTACATAACTAATAATATTTCGATTATACTTTCAGAGCTTACCCTTGGGAGATCTTGAAGAATACATTGAACAAGGTAGTTTCGCGTGTTGTTCAAGTACGATTGAAGCTCGAAAGTTATCAAGAGCTTCACGCAGAAAATGAAGCAAAGAGACAATCTACTGGCCTTACCGAGAGTGAGTTATTGATGTGAAACACAACGTGGTATTCCTAATTAGTACTGACTGTGATCTCTTATACAGTGGCACAGGCGGAAGCCCAGCAAGAATTGGACACACTCCGAATTGTCGATAACTCATTGACTACTGTGACAAGAGAGCAAAAGGAGGTGTTTATGGTTATATATCAAAAATTCGCAAACACATTGCAAGAACTACTCATTACATGTACAGCCAGAGCACAAGATCCAAACACGCACTGGACCTATTGGTGGGTGTTTGGATGGTACACAGAAATGCTCCGTCTTGTAAGTTACCTTGCCCAATAACAATCTTAGCATTGTCCACCTTTTTGCTTGGCATATTTTACGGTCATTAACCTTGGGAACCTATTGTAGTATCAAAAAGAATGTAGCGGATTTTTGGTTACTTTGGAAACCCTTGTATTTACACCCAACATCGACACACGAATCACAAGTGTATTTGAGGATGTGAAGACTATGAACGAGGAAGAGACGTTACCAGTATAAAGATCAAGTAGCACACAATTATCTCTATAATCTTAAAAGAGAAGCTTTTTCACTGGTGGCAAAGTATTTTGCTGCATTTGCACCTTTTTTAAAATAAAATCCTTTATTTGGAATAAATTGTATTTGAGTGCAACTTTACAACATAAATAATCAATTTTTCCGATATTGTGTTGTACACATGTTACTGTCAACGAAATATGGTAGTCAAAAGGACGATTTCTGTCAAACACAGAAATAGGGTTCATATATCAGTGATTTGTGATCCTAGATAGACATGTATTTCTTATTGTCAAGTACACATGATAAGGTTCTGTTATCATATTGGCGAACCTATATTCAACTTTAGCAGCTAAATTTGTATTTGCTATAATTGATCAGCATTCACAGCCCAAGTTGTCATCCTGCCAATTAGTATAAATACTCCAGTATCCATTAAAATCAAAAAAAGTTCATCATCGGCCTCTTTCTCTTTACTATCATGCGTGTCTCCATTGCTACCTTCATCACCCTCGCTTCAATTGCTACCACCTTTGTCTCCGCTGGTTCCAGCCAAAAGAAGGCTCCCAAGGGAAAGGCCTTTGATCACATCCTCCAGATCTGGTTTGAGAATCAAGATTTCTCCACCATTGAGGCTCTCCCTCAATTCACTCAGCTCAAGTCTGAGGGTATCCTGTTGACCAACTTCAATGGTAAATTTTGTTAAGCGCAATTAAGCTAAACACATTGAATACTAATTAATTGTATAGCTATCACCCATCCTTCTGAGCCCAACTACGTTGCCGCTGCTGGTGGATCCAACTTTGGAATTGATGATGATGACTACTACAACATTCCTGCCGAGCAGTCTTCCATCTTTGATCTCCTTGAGAACAAGCAATTGACCTGGAGATTGTACCAGGAGGGTATTCCTAAGATTGGTTTCACTGGTGACAATTCTGGACACTATGTCCGTAAGCACAACCCTGCTGTATCTTACGATTCCATTGGTTTGGACAAGAAGCGTCTCCGTAACATTGTGCACAGTAAGCTTTGAATTATTAATTCTTTGTTTTATCAATTTACTAAAAAAAATCCTTTATCTAGGCGATGAGCTTGCTAAAGATATTGCTTCTGGCGACCTTGCCAACTGGATGTTGTAAGTATTTTCTTAACAAATATCTCTCTCTCTCTCTCTCTCTCTCTCTCTCTCTTTAATAAGCTCTAACAATGAAATAAAAATTATAGCTACACTCCAGATATGCTTAACGATGGTCATGACACCAATGCAACCTATGCTGGTAACTGGTTGGATAAGTTTTACCATTCTACTTTGAAAAACAAAAAGCTCCTCGACAAGACCCTGATTCTTTTGACATTTGACGAGGTATGTTTTTTTTTTAATATTTGGATATATAAATCGACAGGATTCTGACTTGTATTTCAGGCTGCCACATACTCCGCCAGAAACAGAGTATGGAGTATTTTGTTTGGCGATGTTCCCAAGCACTTGAAGGGTACTCAGGATGATACCTACTACTCTCATTTCTCTACCTTGAACACAGTTGAGGTAATACATGTTAAATAAGACAGAAAGAAAGGGTCTAAAAAAGGAAGGACATGTGCTTATCTTTTGTCTTCACAGCACAACTGGGATCTAGGAAACATGGGTCGTGGCGATACCATCAGAACTGAGAACAATGTCTTCGCACATCTTGCCAAACGTCTCCGTTACAAGAACATGGATATCCCTGAGTCAGAGATCCCCTTGAACAACGATTACATTTCCATTGGTCTTGTTCACGGTCATTCTCTCAATGACACCCTTTCTGCTCAGGCTGCCGAGGCAGAAAAGAAGAATTAAAACCATACTGTTACTTTTACTTTTAGTATAAAGAAATCAGTGCACCAATATATATATATATATATATCTATCCCTATTAATTTATTCTCTCTCAAAAGATCGGTTTTAATGACCAACTTCACATAATAAATATTATTATTTTTACCAAACTCTATATATGTGTTTCTTCAAATCAAATTTACACATCTATATTTTTGCTTTTTTTCTCTTTGTGGATCAAATATACTTGATCAATTAATTAGGTGTGCTAAGAACCAATTAATATATTGGTATAATAAACTCTAAATATCTTATAATGTACAATGGATAGTGAAGAAGGAGAGAAAAGAAGAAACAGTGAAATCACATAGGAGTAAGTTTCAACGGATCTGTAATTTGAAGCTATATAAACGCTTTTTATTGAAAGCACTGTTTGTTAACATGTATATATACATATATATTTATTTATTCTATTATAGAGATAGGCAACATATATCATATTTTCACTCTTGTATATAGTGCTTTATTTTTAATATTTCATTTGTGTTGTGTGTGTGTATGTTTTTCTTCTTCTTTTGAAATATATAATAAATATATTTAATTTAATAATACACTATATAAGTAAGTTTGGGGCACAGATAACCTAATTGCATTTACAAGATACCGTTGATGTAACAATGGTAAATTATATATATTTGGATAAGCTTACCACAAATGTGCATTGTTCAGGTGCTATTGCTCACTTACTTCCTTTCAATTCTATCTCAACTTTCATACTACATTATTTTTTCTTCTTCTTCTTTTACATCAATGTGACAATGAGTGCATTTATACCCACTGTGCATTTATTACTGATTCGTATAGAGCTTTTTATCAATGTTCTGCTTTTAGTACGACATATTTCCACAGCAATATTCTCAGTAGATCTTTGTGTACTTTATGTGTTAATTATGGAGTATAATATATCTATTCTACTAATCTAATACTTCTTTGAATGCCAGGGTTGTGTTAATTAAAGTAAGAAATTGTCAAAGCTACTGAGGCGATCAAATATATACACTATGATTTTATTAAGAAATTTGGGTTTACTTTCTTGTTCATTTAATTTTCAGTCTACACATGTATCCAAAGACATATATATAGTCTTTAATTGCATGTAATTAGTAACTATATATCTAATATATGTATACGATTGGCTTTACCAACATGTGAGATATATGTATAATATTTACCGCTAAGCTAATACACCATTTCGTACTATCCTGTTGGGAAAAAAAGCAATTGCCAAATCCTAATACGTTCCCTATTGTGTTTATTCAAGTCTTAATTATTATGACAATGTCCATTGAGTCTAAAATATACATTGGAGTGAATCTGGTGCTTCTTCTTTCATGATTGTAATTAAGAGCTCATATATCTTACTAGCGATTATCACAAAGATGTGAGTGATATTAAACGACACTACACAAGGCATTTACTTTGGCTAGTGGTTTCCTTTATTTTTTTAAAAAAAATAACTCTCACAGAACAGCCGTTAAATTCTATGAGGGGATTCTAAAAAAATTGATAGAAGGTGTATATGAATAAAGAGTAATCGAGTAAAAGTGTACCACTATGTGGCATGGGAGATTTTTTCTTTACAAAAAAAAGCGACTTTAATTGTGATTTATAATCCCTCTCACAAATCACAAATATTTTGGTACTTATATTAACCACTCTTCTCCTTTAAGGAACAAAAACGAGTCTTGAATAGCTACATATTTCAACTATTTATTCAAGACTGTTTTTGGACAAATATTCCTAAGAATTCAATACAAAAGAAAGATAGAGAGATGAAGGGAATTCTGAAAGTATTAATTAAAAATAAATAAGTAGATAATGCTTTATGTAATACAAGAATTTCACTATTGTCCTGGGAGCTGAAGAAACAGGAATAAATTTGCACAAAATAAATGTAAAGTTGATGAGAAGGGGTTGGAAAATTCGGTTATCAGAATAAAATAGGGATTTTTTTTGTATTTATTGGTACTGCCAACGCATATACTGAGCGCCCTTTGGAGTCGATTTTTTTTTCAAAAGAAAGATAAAGGCACATTCAAGAAAGGATGGAGAGATGAACGCTAACTAGATAGTGATAAGATGATGGGTTCTATATATGAAAACCACAAATTTAACAGCAATTACATTAAAGGTGGAGGGGAGTGTTATCAAAGATATTTTCAACTGTACATGTCTAGTTATGATTGATTCCATCATAGTCCACACAATCTGAAGAGAAAATGAGATCAAAGTAAAAGGTCGAGTGCGAGTAAGAAGCCAGGCAACGTTCGATATTTACTGGAAAGAACACAGTTGTTGCAGTACAAAATTCCATGCCGGAAACCCTCGAGGGTAGGAGAAACCAAGATATTAAAGAAAGTCCACTGCGGAGGGACAGAGGGAACAGTTTGGGCAGGTAAAGAACGAGGAGGTAGGGAAGACGACAAACTCGGTAGTGAGAACCCTTTACCAAAGGATTTTTTACCAAGGAAATCACATATTGTGTGTCAGTATAATTGAGATACTAACCCTAAAATCAATCCGAGTACCTCACCAAGTAATAATCTTAGCAATCGACTTTTACATAAGTAGCCACATCCAATTAACATCTTTTAGATACTTAATGCAACTATTATGAATAATTATTGACTGACAGCAAGATAAAGAGAAAAAGGAAAACACTGAACCATACTATAGGATTAACAATTCAAACATAATTGGTTTGTCCAATGAGGAAACCCTCTGATCAAAACAACACACTTTAATAAATAAGAAAAGGCATAAAGCGTTTTTTTATCAATCAAGTGTGATTTCATTCATCTTCTTGCAGACTGGGTTGTTTATAAAATGATATCAATGAAAGATCTTCAAAATTTACTGTCGTAATAGTGTAAATATATCAATTAACTTCTCTCCAATATTCATATTGTTTCCTACCATGTAGCCATATTCACTTCCTTTTTTCTTATATTTAATTTAATTGAATAAATGTCGTGGAGGCCGTTAAAGAATGGGAAATAATAATTAATAAGATAAAGCTATAAACATCTTTTTTTTTCCAAAATAATAAGAGTCCAAAACTAACTACTACTTGGATTGCTGGTATATTAAACAATCAAGGCATAAGTAATTTATTAGAGGGTTCTGTAAAGTGAGTAAGCTTTTCTTTCGATGGACACCTCTTGTCTGCTCGTAAGAGCTATACTTGAGTAACAATAGGCTAGATATTTTAAATGCTCGGAGCATCTACGGCGGTTTGTCCAAACATTTTGAAATGAATATTCTTAAATCTCTTTCTCATTTGTCTCAAAATTAATTCTTATTTTTCAAATTTCCTTTTATGCTCTGTCTAAAAACTTAATTTTCATTCGTCCAAAAAAAAAGGCTAGCATTGTCTGAATTCAAAATTTAAATATTACTCATGTTTCAATTGGACAGTTCATATAAAGTTTAATCGCAGATTAGTAAATCGCTAGTGTGGGCTACACACAAAAACCATATATACAGTGAAACACATTTGTAAGGCGCATAATATGAAAATCCAAGACGCATTTTTGGGATATATATATAAAATTCTAAATACTATTTTATATTTAGACAAAGGATAATGAATATTATATAAGAAAAAGAATAATGTCAAAACGCTTAAAATGATATTTAATAAACAGCTTAAGAATACTTTTCTGTACTGTTTATTTGAAACCGAAGATCCACACATAACAGTTTGTATCTTAAAAGTACGCCTTGTAAAGTGTGATTTTACTGTATCAGAGTGGCTTGAAGTATATATATATATATATACATACATAAAAAAGAAAAAAAAACTGTCGGAGAATTATTTGTAGACGAACAATGCAAGTTAAAAAGAAGATACGGTAGAAGGAATGGAACACACAATAAACAATTGAGGGTTAAGAAAATAAGAAGTCTCGGTAGACAAGGCAGTAAGTAGCTTGTGTTCGGACTATTATTATTATATATACTTTAGTTTTGCTTAAAAAAAAACAGCTTTTGTAAAGATGTTGTTTGTATATTGTTTGTCGGCAGTTATAACGCCACACTCTGAAAATGGATATATAGTAAAAGACAAAAACATATTTTTCGATTCCGGGAAGACAGTTGCTAAAACGTGTTCAAGAGATTATTATATTATGGTATGTATATACTGATAGGTGTTGCTCTTTTGTGGAAAGTAATGTTTCAGATTGGCGTGTAAGAGCTGTATTTTTACAAAGAACGTCAAAGAAGCTTGGTGATGATATTATCTATTTTTTTATATAATTAGATAAATACCCGGTGTGTATCGAATGGTAAAGGTGCGTTTTGATAGGTTAATCTGTTGGAATGTTATTCAAGTTGGATCGAAAAGTGAAGTGGCTTGTGAAAGGTATGTTTGAGACAATAAGGATGATCAGCCATCTCAATCAATATTTGCATGTTCTTTTTTTTTATGGGTTAACATTGTGTAGATCCACTTAATAGAATGAAGTTAAAATAAACTATATTTCTTTATTATTATTTTTCCCTCTTTATCTCTATCGCTAGGTGCCTAACATAATCGTGTGAAGGGACAAGGGAGAAAAAGCTTAATCTTCTCCTTGCTTAAAAGCAAAGAAGAACATATACTTCTATTAATAATATCATTATCACCTTCTTTTTTTTTATAAAATAAAGGACAATATCTTGAGTTCAAATGAGTCTTTTATTACTATTGCATTCTTTGCAAGAAAGAACGGCAGAAAAAAAAATGATTTTTTTATAATAATTATATTAAGAAAGAATATTAATTTTTTATTGTCTAATGTGTAGAAGCAGTGTATTTTTTTTAGGGTGTATTGTGGTAATTAAAACAAGCGGATCGAGTAATATGTATAAATCCAAAAAGGAAAAAAAAAGGGAAGGAAGGAGTGCAGTAAGAATAAAGAGTGTTGGAAGGTGTGTGCTTTCCAGGGAAAGTGAAAATAAAGTAAGTTGGCCTGCCAATAAAGGTGTTCCGTAAACGGATCAAACCCAAGGGTAAGAGAAGCATGAAAATTATGGTGAGATCGATCGGCGGTACCAAAGCAAAAAATATAATAAAAACAATTCCGATTCTCGTATTATTATTATTTTTTGATGTGTTTTATATATATGGTGTGTCCATGGGTGCGTGTTGTTGCTTTGGATAGTACGATTTGACTTATGGGTTCTTTGCGTGCGAACAGTGGTCTTCATGAGAGAATATAGAGACATCTACACCGCATTGTGGACAAAAGCTGTAGCAGCTGTTTTTTGAGACATGGGTGACAGGTGGAGTTGGAGTAGTGGTAAAGGCTGGCTTTTCCGGATAGGTCCTGGCATTGAGTGTGGAGATAACGAGGATAGGGTTTCTGCGCATCATTGTGGAAAGTAAGAGCAAAAGATAAAGAAGAGTATTTTATGTAATTTTATAAAAAAAAATAAAAAATGTGGTGTATTTATATTTTTTTTTAAAAAAAATAAAATAAAAAATTATGTGTGTCTATAACTGATTCAAGCAAGTGTCGCCATTGGTTGTGCTTCGTGCTGGTGGGATTACAATCTCCTAAAACGCCAAATATTCTGTCAGGAGCCCTGTACTGCAGTTCAGACTCCATTGGATCCAATCGGCACGATGCGATGATGTATGCAAAACTGTTCTTGTAGAAAGTCCATTGAAATAGGTGTATTTATATATAAAAGCAAGTGGGGCCAAGTACTTGAACCCCTTTATAATATTCTCAATCACAAAGACAATGCGTTAAAAGAAGTGTATTAATGGGGGTCTGATCTTTTGGTTTATTCAAGTACCCGACTTTAAGGATCTAAAACATGGCTTAGAAAGACAGAGAGAGAAATAAAAAAAAATGTTTAATGTTACATGTTATTTGTGTGCTGTAGCGCAAGTTTCAACTAGAACTTCTTTTTATTATTATTGTTGTTGCATTCCAGGATAGTACTTAACAGACCATATGCTCAAATGATGAGTTTCTTTTTAAACAGATATAATTTTATCCTGTTTCTTAGTCTAGTGTGTATTTAACAGTGGGATTCTTATAATGAAATTAAATGAAATGAAATGCAGCTCTTTAAAAAATAAAATACATACATACATACAAATAAAGAAAAGAGAAAAAAAAAGGGCACACTTGACTATGAAACATCTGGACCTAATCTAGGGGATATGCAGTTGAGGCTACGATATGCACGATAATAAAATCTTACACCGTATAACGTCTTTGGATAACAAAGATCAAACAAACCAAACCAGAAAATATTAAAAAATAATAACAATTGTAATTGTAATTGTAATTGTAATTGTAATTGTAATTGTAATTGTAATTGTAATTGTAATTGTAATTGTAATTGTAATTGTAATTGTATTGTCACTATTTTATATATATATATATAAATAGAAGAAATAGCAATGGGTATTTGATTCTCGTCTGCCCTTTCTTTCTTTCTTTCTTTCTTTCTTTCTTTCTTTCTTTCTTTCATTCTTTTTCATTACTGGTTTACTTGTTCAAATAATTTGATTTATAAAGGTAATGTACTTCTTTCTTTTCTTGCTAAGCTTTTGTTAATTAAGAGTCTAATGGCCCCCAATTATAAATATACATACACATACTATGTATTGTGTAGGAAACAAACAATTGGCTAATATTGTCTTAACATTGCTTGAATACAAAGAAACTAGTTGTGAATGTGAACGTGAACGTGCTCATATACATACAACATACATACACAGGTATATACATTTATATATCTCTGTGTGTGTATGTATGTATGTGTTTATATAATGTGTGTATATATATGTATCATTGGAAAAAAAAATCTGTGTGCGAGAGTGTGAGAAATAGATAAATAGAGATGAAAGAAAATTGAGAAAAAGGATGCGTGTTCTTCTGCTTGAGCTTGTTTGTGCGTATTTTTTTTGTGTTTGTTTGTTTGTTCATTTGTTCATTTGTTCGTTCATTCGTTCATTCGTTCATTCGTTCATTCGTTTGTTCGTTTGTTCGTTTGCTATATATAAATATGTGTATATTTGTGTGTGTGGTAATGAAGGTTCTTAAATTGACTTTCGTCTTGCCAATACTGGCCGAGCAGTAGTAGAAGGAAATAGAAAGCTTCCAGGCAACATGTAATCCACAGGTGATTCCGATGTGTTCACGTCAAGGAGGTTGTGTGTGAGTACTGTGTTGGTGTGTGTGCGAGCACTGTCATAGTTATGCTGGTGATGTGGTTGTCGTCTTCTGTATAGAGAAGCTCTGAGGGTAGACCGTCTACGACGAGATCCTGAGGAATGAATGGTGGCTGCTCGGTCTGGGACGACCAAGAGAGGAGATGTGTTTGTTTGGTAGTCTTGTACGACAATTGTTCTGGTGTAAGTGCCAGGAAGAGACAGGCGGCGAGTCTTGGTTATCACTGGAGGTTTCTCGACAACGCAGTTCATGATGATGTTTGCCAAGGCAATGAAAAATCCCCAGACTATGACTACCGGAAAGCTAGAGGATTGGACATGCTCATAAGAAACAGATTCGGTCACTGTGAGGAAATCAAAGATCATGTTAAGGAATGCATGTGGAATATGAAGGAGCGGTAGTAGAAGAAGGATCGTCAGTCTGTTTTCGATAGGAGATCTCTGCTGAGCGTCTGGGTCCGTGGCCAGGTCACGCGAGAGAGACTCTACCAGAGCCATTGAGGAATCAAGGCGCTTGAACGATTCCAGGAGTGGATCCTGCAGTTTTGGTTGTGTGGCGGTTTTTTTGAGAGGGGTGATTGAGCGCTTTGTAGCTAGGAGAGGTGCAGGTGGACGAGATTGGGAAGGTGAGGGTGATCTGGAAAGAAAGGTATCTGGGGTTGCTGAGGGAGAAGAAGAATATGTTGAGGAAGACGAAGACGAAGAATGGGTGTACGATGGCCGATTAAATGGCTTTTTCGGACGCGGTAATCTCGAGCGACTATGTGAATCTGTAGATTTGGTCCTATTCATCATCTGGACTCGTTCGATTTCTATTCCATTAACCGCATCATTTGCCTCCTGGATTAGGCTTGACAATATGCCAGATATCCTGTCGAATGCTTCTTGTTGTATGTCTTCATCGTCAGTGGATGTGTCGGACAATAGAGCCATAGCTGAGTCTGGGCGTGTGATAGTATGACGACGGGGTCTGTCTGAGGTATAGGCAGGAGATGCACCAAATGTCGGTGTTGATGCAGAAGGATGTGGTTCGAGAGTTATGATGGCTTCTGGTGGATTTGACTAGAAAAGGTTGATTAGATTGGCTCTGATCATGATTGTGATTACCATTGAAGATTCCATGAGCATAAATGTTTATTTATAAGTGTGTGTTTGATATAAAGTGTCGACAATATCTTGAGACGTAATGGTTTTATATAATAAATAGAAGAAAGGTAGTAATCAAATACCCAAGACTTGTTTTTTTTTTCGTTTTCTTTTGTCTTTTTCTTGTTTTCTTTTTTCTTAAAGCAAATATACAAGAAGAAGAGCCCTAAAGACTAGGAAAAATGCCCTTTATTTTTTTTTTAATTTTCTTTACCCGCTTTCCTATTTGGGGAAACATGATTTTTTGTGAATTCCATATGACTTTTTTGTATATAAATGGATTTTTATATAATATTCTTTTTTTTTCTTAAGTGATTTCTTGGTTCAACCTTTTATAAATTCGCCTGATTGAACACAGCCTTTAGAGCAAATATCTATATAAGCTTGGTGGTCTGTCTATCTCGTGCTTTCCCCTTAAGATTGTAAATAAATAAAAAATAAAAAAATTCACGTATATATTTGTCAAGATCTTCACTACATTTTCTTTGATTCTTACCTCATGGCTTGAACTCCTTTTAACTAAATAGAAGTTCTTATTTTATTATTATTATTAGCTCCGCCAGATATAAAAGACTTATTTGCCTTAGTCTTTATGCTAAATTAGCATAGATGACATTGTCATTGTACAATACCATCGATTCAACCTAAAAAAAAATAATAGTAAGAGTAATTGAGACTATTAAAGTCATTATTTATTTTAGTAATATATCTATATATCTACATATCTATAGGGGAAGTTAATATTCCATTGTTCTCATCTCCTAAAGACTACAGGATATAAGAGCCACGTTTGAACTTGGTTGAGGAGCAAGAACGTGTCTATTAACAAAAAACAGATTTTGTGTGTTGTGTGGTAAATTCAATCAGGTATTTTATCTCAACCCGGACATTTCCTGTGCTTCAATATCACCCACATTTACCCTTTGTAACCCATGTGATTTAAATACACAGATACACAGATACATACAACCAAAGTTATACTATAGCTTTGGAGAAGAAAGACTTGTATCAAGGAGACCTTTATTGTCTATTTTTTTATATTTATATTTATATTTATATTTACTATTTAACAATAATCATAATAGCATTTCTTTATTTCTTGATATCTTTATCATTATCTCTCTCTCTTTCTTATGGTCTTTATGGCGTATTGTTAGGCTAGTCTTGGCAATCTAGACTTTACCATGACTCTACTGTATTTTTTGTTGACTAATGGCAATATCTCAGTAATTAATACACAGAGATATAAATACAACAAACAATTACAAAATCTAAATATTGAAATATAATAATCTCTATTAAATTGAAACAAATGACTATAATAATATTAATAAGAAGAACATTATTATTATTATTAATAGAAAATGTAACAAGGTGATCGGTGTTACTGAAAATTTACCTTTCTGCTTGTGTGCTGTTGGTTAGCTGAGTACTACACACACACACACACACACGCATATACACACATACACACACACACTTATAATAACAATTATTATTATTTTATAATTTTTATATTATTTTTATATTATTTTTTCTTATTCTTCTTCTTTCCTTTCTTCCTCTTCTTTTCCTCCCCCTTTTTTTTTCTTTCATTCCTTTTCTTGTCTCCGTCAATGCACCTTTCTTCCATGTCACCCTAAATTCTGGATTACCCGACACTTCACCTTCGTTTGAACGTCATTACCAGAATCAAACTCATCTCATCAACTCACGCCACCCTTCCACAGCAATATCAACAAATACCCTTTCCATTCCTTCTTCATTGACGACCCTCCAGTTCATTATCTTTCTTTCTTTTTTTATTAAAATATTATAAATCTATTATTATTATTATTATTATTATTCAACAAATGTTATCGCAACGTTCTTCTGCTATTCGTAATCAGAAAGCAAAAGTATATACAAATAGACACAGATATAGATACTGAAATTGAGATTGAGATTGATACTCAAATGGTTTCTGTGGAGTTATTATGATTATGATTATTATGATTATTTGGTTTTTACTTTTTATTTTTATTTTATTTTAGTTGGCTGCCGACTATACCGATCTGCTTAAAGAGCTCACTAGCCCAAAGATGACATCGGTCGGGTGCTATTCCATCGGAGAATCCATCGGCGAGGTAAATATATTTATGTAAATAATTATACATGTACAAAATAAATCACTATGGAAACCGTGCCTGGTTGCCATGGATGCTCAATTTTGCTTACCTTTTTTTAAAATATATATATATATATAATAATAATCAATAAATCTATTTAATAAAAATAAATATAAAGGGTACTTATGGAAAAGTCAGACTTGGCGTACACCAACTGACCGGACAGAGAGTAGCCATAAAGAAGATCAGCAAACAGCACGCCCCATTAATGGCACGCGAGATACACAATCATCGATTACTCTACCACCCTAATATCGTCACACTTTACGAAGTGTTAATGACCGAATCTTCCATCCATATCATATCCGAATATTGCCCAAATGGTGAATTATTTGACATGTTGACCCGATGCGGGCGATTTTCGGAGCGCCAGACCCAGCGTTGGTTTCTTCAACTAGTAGATGCCGTCCTCTTTTGTCACTCACACAACATAATTCATCGGTACGACTCTAATTACACACACACACACCTACACCTACACCTACAACTACAACTACACACACACACACACATACATACACACATGCATGCATGCATATACACATATATATATATATACATACATATATACATGCATATATACGTACATACATACATACGTACACACACACATACATACATACATTCGAAAACAAATACGTGAACCAATATGATGATAACCCAATTCATTATGACTTCTTTAGCGATCTGAAACTCGAAAATATTCTCCTGGATGCGGAATACAATGCTAAGCTTTGTGATTTTGGGTTTGCACGACAAGCCGAAAAGAACCAAATGCTGGGCACATTTTGTGGAAGTCTAGCCTATTCTGCTCCAGGTAAAAAATCATAATCATAATCATAATCATAATTATATATGTATATATAAAAGCATATGCTTATCTTTCTTTTTTCTTATCCCTTGCTTGCTTGCTTGCTTATTTATTTATTTATTTCATCACGCATGTATTATTCTTAGAGGTAATTCGGCGTCAAAACTACACAGGTCCTGGTAAGTAATTCAGATAATACGATTTTTTTTCTTCTTCTTCTTCCTTTCTTCCTTTGTATGATTTACTCGAAGCATTATTCGTATATTTACAGAAACGGACGTGTGGTCACTGGGTGTCATTTTGTACACCTTGCTTGCAGGCGAGCTACCATTTGACGATGACAATGAGATTATCATAGAGCGTAAAATTGTTGGTCTAGATTATAGCATACCTAGCTACTTCTCTCCAGGTAAATAAACACAGCTTAAAATAAAGGGAATTAAAGAAGAAGAAAAAGAAGAAAAAGATCAAAAACAACAACTTTGGACCATTTTATACATTACTTATTTTCCAGAAACCGCCGATCTCGTCCATCGTATGTTAAAACTCAAGCCCTCCGATAGAATATCAATAGACAGTATTCTCGCTCATCCTTGGTTGTCAAAGTCTTTTGATGACGAGGAAGACGATTTTGACAGACTCTCTCCCCAGGATACATCTTATTCTGATTTAGATTCCATCTTCTCCGACCCCCAACGACCTGGGTTCACAAAAGGTGACACTCTCACAGACGCATCAAGCTACGACGATCGATGGAGTGCCAAAGATACTTTTAATGCACTTGATGCAAACTATCTGACGCAAGAAACCACCCGCGTACACTCTGCGCGTGCATTGTTACAGACCATGCATGCTGATGATCGAGCTCTCTCTCGGCACTCGGCGCCCATTTCAACAAAGAAAAATGGTGGCACGTTCAACAGAGTGTCTTTACCACCACTACCTTCACTTTCACTCTCAACTTTACCTTCATATTCGCCTTCACATGCTGCTAATCAGGATACTGCCATGACACCCATCGAATACCAACTCTTTACTGCCCTCAGATCAGCAGGATTCGACGAAATTGCTTTGAGACGCATGCGGTCGAAACACTGTGATGCACCAGGCACGTTGTGGCAGATGTTGCTAACCAAACTCGGTGACAAAAACAGCCTGACCGTCGTCCTTCCTCTACACCAAGAGCAGGATGCATGGCCCAGACAGACCCGTCCTGAGAGCGGGGCTGCGAATACATCTTATTCCGAATGCACTGCACGACCCTCTCCAGGGTTGCACCATATTTCCCGTGAAGTAGACGCCCAAGAAAAGGAAAAGGAAAAGGAAAAGGGATCTTGCCACCCCAAGACCGATAGCTCCCTTGCTCAACAGAGTCCGCCTAGTTTGCACAACCCACGCGACAAGACCGGCTGGCTGACGTCTGTCAAATCATGGTTTGGTACACATAATAAGCATCAAGAACCTCTCCCTGACCAAAAGATACATCTTGAGCCAATAACACCCCCCCTGTCCGTGGAAAACAATCGAACTCTTTCTCTCCTTGAAGCGCGCTCGCAAGTGCAGGCACCATCTCAGGCATGGACACACGACCTAGCCATATCAATGTCAAGGCACAGATATGGAAGTCAGAAGCATCGTCGCCATTTGTTACAACTTTCTAGTCCCCCAATCAGTGAATTAGATCAGTTCACATACAGTACTACCTCTGGAGAATCTACGACTCCCTCCTCTTCTGAGCTCACTAAACCTCTAAAAAAAGCAATGGCCTCCAAAAATCCTAGGCAAACGTTGTATAGCACCAAGGCAAGCAACATCACTGTACCTTCCCCTGTCCTCATTACCCCCAAGATGACTACCGATATGTTCTCCATTGTCACGACACCTCCCTATATTTCCATGACAGGCGTACCTGTTACAGTTACGGAGATCGATCTGTGCTCCCACAACTGTCCAATATACAGCGGTGGTGTAGTCAAGAAGAGTATGAGCGATGATTTCTTAATACTAGAAAAATCGAACATTTTCAAGGCACCCGCTTCACCTTCTTCTATCGAGTCTCTTTCCACTACATGCACAGACAGTGAAAGCTCCCGTGAAGATCAAGGAAATTCGTCCGTGTCTTCTCCTGCATCCTCTATTAATGAGGTGGATATTGAGACTGAAAAAGAAAAGGGTGAGGTGACTGAGGAAAAGGCGGTGCAAGCTCCCGAACCAGCGCCTGTTCCTGTGCCTGTGTCTGTTCCTGTGTCTGTTCCTGTGCCTGTTCCTGTGCCTGTAATTGCTCCTACAAGTCTGTCCACAATTGCGCCTGTTTCTGTACCCGTGCCTGTACCTGTAACCACTACTTTGGTAAAGTGTTATGCAAAACAAAAAGAAAGCAAACCAGAATAGTTATTTTTATGACTTGGTTCTCATTTGATATGTATTTATAAATATGTATGTATGCATATGTGTATTTAGAAAATCACACCACAGCCTCCACCAAGGCGATTTGAACTTTTGGTACCTCGTTTACGGCCGAGTACATTTGTTCTAGATAATTCAAGACAACGACTGGGGTCGCGAATGATTATAGAAGAGGAGGAAGAGGATGAAGAGTGATACACATATATATTACCATTTTAATAGCACTAGCCACATTTATTATTATTATTATTATTATTATTATTATTACAAGATGGCACAAACTTAAGCATTATCCATTTTTCTTTTTCTTTTTTTTATACTGTATTAATTTTCTATTTTATTTTATCTTATTTTAATTTATTTATAATTTTTATATATATATATACTTCTTTTCCTATTATTATTATTATTATTACTATCATTATCTTTTCTCCAGTCATTTATATCCTTATCACCTTCAAATCTGACAAAATTAATACTGTCTTTTACTTAATACACACACAAAACAAAAATAAATTTCATTTCATTTCATCTTAAAAAAAAAATTCCAATGTATTTATACTTCTTTAATTATTTATTTATTTATTTATTTATTTATTTATATTATGTATGTATGTATGTTACAAAAGTTTGCTAGAATCAGCCTGCTTCTTGTACTCCAACTTTTCCACATTAACCTCTCCATCGATAAGTCTGTAGACGTAACTAATCACCGTGCTACCTTGGATATCCATCAATACAAAAGAGGGTATAGGATCACTAGGTAATAAGATAGTGTCAGCTTCATACAGACACATACATATATTTATAATCCTTCCTAGCTTACACTGTGTCAGGGCATGAAGAATAGGCACCTGTAGCACTTCCTGGATTGATAAAAAACTTCCCGTTCATTTCAAATGCCTCGAATCGATGCGTGTGGCCAGTCAAGAGCACATCTACTTCCATTTGACGTGCAGTAATAGCCAACGACTCTGTGTCTCCCCATGGAATCACTTGGTGACCATGTAAAACACCTACGCGCATGTTACCATGAACTACTACCTTGGATTGAGGGAATGTTGAATTCTATTCGTTTTTTGTTAATAGAGAAAATAAGAGATAGAAATTTGTAAGATTTAATGTTCCAATATACTTTCTATACCATCATCTTACTTGATCAAAATCACCCTTGACTACTATAATATCACCAGCAATAGTTCTCAGATAATCAAAGGTTTCCTTGTCACAGATATTTCCTGTGCAAATAATCTGCTGTATCTTTCCTGGTACCTTTTTTTTATTATTATTATTAATATTTGTAATTATATATACATTTGGACTCTCATTACAAGAAAACCCAATATTATAACCTATCTTCGTCTCTCCTCTTTCTTTCTTTTTTACTATATACAACTCTTTTGGCATCCAGTCTGCCAACTCGACTCTTACCAATAACTTTTTGAATTTTGCGGGTAGGTCATGGACACGATGAGGAATGTGTAGGTCCCCGATAACAAGTACTAACTAATGCAGTTTATGGTGAGATGAGACTTTTTTTTTCTCGGGTCATCTTACCACCATTGCAAATTACAAGGAATATGAATAGTTCCAGTCCAAGAGAAAAATGATACCAGCTTTAAGGAAGGAATATAAAAAAAAAGTCCGTCCTTGGAGTGCCACAGAATACGTCACTCGTCACTTAACAATTCACAATGTGTTTTAGAATCAAATTTCAATGTCAAGCACAAGAAACATAAAATGTTGTATATTATATTAAGAGGTTTCGTTAACTACTTGGATATTAGAGTTTTTATTCTGTTTTCAAATTCACACACTCTCATGCCCTATCCACTACCTCTGGTTTCTAAGGAACAGTTTGAGTTATTTGGATAAAGTTTCAGAAATGAAAGGATACTTACCTTGTTATGGACAGTTTGGTTATTCATACTCGTGAAATGCTTGATGCTTTAATTACCAGCAGGAAATAATATCAGTAGATTCACCTTCCTCAATATTCACCTGAATTAAATCTTATAGACCAAAAATTTGGGCAATTGATAAAAGAACGGTGTCAAGTATAATAAATTTAACGCTAATGAAGACCTTTATATAAGAATCTCTCAGATATTAAACACTATACTTTAGACTATGAAAAGAAACTTTATTCCGTATTATGCTATTGTTTCTTTTGAACACTTGGATAATAATAAGAATAAACCTCTATAGAAGTTATAATAAACGATTTATGCTAGTTTATTACCATAACCCACGATCTGGTCGACCAAACAAAACAAAGACCTTCCACCCGCTGATTGAGTACCTTTGAAACTGCAAAGTGATTTATTTATTTAATTATTTTCAATATACAAATTGACTCTTAGAATCCGCCATTTGATATCGTAGGCACTATATTTATATGAAGTAGAGATTACAAAGGAAAACTATAATTAATAAAGAAGTATGATTTAATATGGAATTACTGATGATTTTTATCAAGTTAGTATTTTACAAAAGCATCATTTGACCTGGTTGTGCTATTAAGAGAATAATCATTTGATGCCCTGAATTCTTATGTCGATTGGTCTAGTTGTATCCGCTTATGGCTTGAATAACCAAGTGGCACTGGCACTGGCACTGGCAATTTAATTTTTTTTATCACCACAGAAAATAAGAACAAAGGGCAGCAAAAACAAGACAAGGCAATGCAAGGCAAGAATAGTGATAAAATATTATTATTATTACTCATCTATTTTTTATTTTTATTTTTTTAAAAAAAATTATTTGGTTTTAAGTGGGTTTTTTTGGGGGGGTGTTTCGGTTCTTTTTCTCTTCTGTCAATTTTTCTCTTACGCTTGTTTGCTTTCTCTTATACACACCCATATATATATATATATATACATATACATATATACACATACACATACAACTTGTCAACTATATTAATAAGGTTCACTTGATTTGGCATGCCACCGTTGCCATCTACTTCTGATACTCTACCAATAGAGCAAACCAATGTCTCTGAAGCATCACTACGAGATCAAGAATTCAATAATGATGGAACAAATGAAAGTAGATCTACCCCACGTTTACGTCTAATTGTCAAGACACCTTCACCACCAGCCCCTGTCAAGCATGAATCCCAGCCTACAAAGAACACTTCGCCTATATTCGAAGAATTCCTTTCTTCTCAGATAAACCTTGGTGATTCGCCTGTAGCTGACATTGTACTTAAATCCGATCACTTAAAGTCTAGTCAAGAGACCAAAAGTACCGATCAGAAAAAAGGAGAATTGCCAAATCCATTTAACGATTCTCAAAAGAATGTGTCGCGCGGCTCAAACGATCCCTCTCCGTCAAAAAGCAAATCACCTAGTGCGCTTGAAATTACGCCTGCCTTAAAAGATAATAGTGATAACGCGTCTCAGATTCCTGCTGAATCACGTAAAACCCGCTCTTCTTCTCCAGAAGATAAACAGAAGTTTGTCCCGCAAGAAAAAATTGGTGAAACAGTGGAGAAACCAAAAACAACAGGCAGCACTGATGAACCTTTGGCTTCTATTATTAAATCCACTTCTCCATTGCCACAAGAAACCACTTCAAAGGCTAGGGGATCCCCAGGCGCTAGTACCGCTACACTAGAAACATTACCAACAATGCCAACATCTCCCATTGCAAATATTAATATCCTAGAAGGCTCATTGCTCCCACAAATCTCTTTAAATTCCCCATCTTCATTGAAATCCACAATAAGCACGCAAGTACCTCAAGTACCTCAAGTACCCCAAGTATCCCAAGTATCCCAAGTATCCCAAGTATCCCAAGTATCCCAAGTACCCCAAGTACAAAACAACCTTCAGGGTACCGATGTTTTACCTCTTCCAAATCAAGACAAAATAGCAATCCAACCTATTACCCCTCACTCCTCCGCTCAAACCAGTTCGGACACACTTGGAACAAGCTCGGAAGAGTTTGAAGGCCATATGAACACCAATGGAAATGAGACTCACGCCACCATTGAATCCAGTATTCAGCCACTTAAAACAAATCCTCCCCTAGGTCTCGGTATTAATTCCCTGGGCTTTGATATAATTAACCCGAATAATCTTGGCAACAAAACACAGTTTAATGAACACGCGCCGACCGCAATAGGATCTATCTTGAACAGATCGCCGTTGGAAAAACGCAAGGCACCTCTCGAATCACACTATATGCATTTCAACGAAGGTTTCGACATATTACGTAGAGAAATTCCCAAAAGACTTCCGGAAGATCTTGCCAAATTGCCCTCGTATATGCCTAGACCACAACTCAATGAATATAAAATACGTCCTAGTCTTCATGAGAGACATTTGGGAGCTCAATCCAACTTACATTCTTTCTACCGCGAATCGCCTACTCACGTTCACGTCAACGCACGCCCATCCATGCCCGATAGGTGGTCAGCTCCTCAGCGCCCGGATCACTATGATCCTCATGATCCCATCAATTTCCGGCACGCTTACCCGATTAAACTGATTAAAAACAAACGACCAAGATGGGGAGATTCAGGCGTATTTGGACCTCCGTGTAAGTATTGGCCGAAATGACTAGAGTTATGGTTTGTCTAATCCTGTACACATAGTTCAGCGTAAAGTCATTCGGCATGAGTCGACGTTGGCCTTTGGAAGTCCAGACAGCCAATCTTATGGCCAATTTAGTCCCGAAATTCAAGATAATTCTGTTCTAGGATTCTCACCACAAGGATCTACGCAAACATTGGCGCGGGTTCGCTCAGAAGATTATCGTCAGACATACAAAAGTCATATCGACCAACCAGAAACCTACATCCCCAACAATAATACACAAACTTTTGATGAAGAAATGGAAGATATCGAAGAAATGGATAAAACCTACAGCGGCTCAGGAAGTCTACGCAACCATAATAATGAAAAAGAACAGAGTCATATATATGAAAGCAGACAACCAAGTATAAACAAAAGCGTAAACGACGAAGAGGAAGAAGAGGAAGATCAAGATAACGAGAGAGAGGAAAACGACAAAGATATTAATCAAAATGAGAATAACGATGATGACGACGACGACGATGACGATGATGATATGGAGGATGTTAATGTAAACGTAACAGCTAATGAAGATGATATCGACGACGAAGAAGAAGAAGAAGAAGAAGAAGAAGAAGAAAACGAAGACGATGATGATGTTAAAGAAGGCGATGAACACAATCAATTTGAAGGACATAACATGAATTTCTATTTGGATTCTACTCACAACAGCATTGCTCAATCTCCGAGTGTTGAATCAAATACAAAAATAAACACGACACGAGAAAACAGTATAAATTCTGAATTCGACTCTCATTCCCAGAGATCATTGTCTATCAAAGGCAATATATATGACTCTGGGCGTGAAGGATCTGTTAGCGAAGAAAGCGCCAATGGTCTGAATGAAGACACCTCTTCTGAGAATGAGATGTCCGATGAGAAGAGCACAAGCATCAAAGAAGTTAAAGGCTGGTTGAAACAATGGGTGAGCTGCTAAAAATTGAAACGAAACTAGATGTTATTTTTTGTATTGATAAATAGTACTTGTGTGGCTTTATGTTCTTTCTTTCTTTTTTGTTATTATTATTATTCTTATTTAGAAATTTAATGATCCTGAGGTCTGCTGTGTTTGCTTTGAGGATGAGTGCGATGATACAAACCCGTTTGTGTATTGCGATGGCCCTGATTGCGAAGTCATTGTTCACAGAGAATGCTATGGACTGAGCAAATGTCCTGGAAAGTCCGATGATTGGTTCTGTGATCGGTGTGAGGCTGTCAAAGAAAACCCAAAGACCATTGTGGCCTGTGCTCTTTGTCCTGATATTCGAGGTGCATTTCGCAAACTGGAACACCCTTTATTTGGTGTGGAATGGACGCATATTGCATGTGCTGTCTGGGTTCCAGAAGTAGACATTGGTAATGCCCAAACTATCTCAAAAATAACGCTCGATAATGTACCACTCTCAGCTTGGAAGGGTGTAAGTTTTGCCTTTTTTTTGAAGAAAAGTTTATTTTTATTTATTTTTACAAAAACATTCATATTTTCATATGCTTTGATAGAGATGTGGCGTGTGCGAAGAACCAATGTATGCACAATATGGTGCAAGTGTAAAATGCAGTGCAACCTCATGTGATGAACGGTTTCATGTTACTTGTGGGTTTCGCTACATGCTGTGTCGAAAGACCTACAGACAAACACGTATTGTCCGATGTTTTGAGCACGACCAAAGAGTTAAGGTTCGCCCTCTTCCGCGTGAAGAGCGCCTAGACGAATGGAACAAATGGGTTGATAGACGGGACAACTACTTTGGGATGAAAATGGGCTATGATGTCCGTGGCTCTCTGCGTGAATTTTGGCTAAAACTAGTGGAGAATGACAACGCAAACACTGTGAATATTTCAGACCCTATTGGCGCAAAGGAAGCATTTATGATTTTCCGGCATGAGTTGGTCGGAGAGCCTCTGGGAAAAATAACATGGCCAGTTAGCTCTGTATTGCCAAGCACTGGAGTAGAAGAGGCTGTGGAAAATGTGGAAATAGTTGAACCAAAGGGGTCAAAGGATAAAAAACCAAAGGAATTAAGAGAGCGGAGGATTCCAAGGGAGCCCAAGATACAAAAGCCCAAGATAACAAAGCCCACCCCAACACCTGCAGTGCACAGTCGTCGTGGAAGACCACGAAAATCGCGGCCATTTAGCGATCCACGCTCGACCGAGACTGTCCCAAGCTCCCCAAGCTCTACTAAATCAGATGTGCCCCTTGATGACCTTGACGAGCTGGCGTTCCCTGATCAAGCGGACTCTTCTAAAAAGTCGCTTAGTCTAGATAGGGAGAAAGAAGAATCGGTCCCGAAGTCGACACTCCAAGAGGCTGGTAGTGACGTTCCTGCAGATGATGACAAGCGGGAAAAAGGAGAGATAGACAACAATGAGAAAGAAAAAGAAAAGGGAAAAGACAGCGATGCTGACGATAAGGAAGCTAAAGAAGAGGATAGGAATCATAACAGAGACGGTCAAAAGGGAAATGACGAAAAAAACATAGAGGAGCATGAGAAAAAGGGGCCTAAACCAGAGGATGTGTATATGCTGGAAGACTCTGAGGAGGAGAGTATTAAGAGGAACGAGGTGGGTGAACCTATTCTAGGACAGTGAGTAGTCCATTAATGATAGAATTCTCGTTCTTTTGACAGCTCATTGCTGCATTGATAAAGGATGAGCCTGAAAATTTATCTCAAAAGAAGGACAAATCAAATGAAAATGATGCTCATTCGAGCAGAGTAATAGTATCAGAAACCCCTCCCTCACCCTCATTATCTCCAAAACTATCTACATCAAAATCAATATCAATATTCAATATCTAAAAATGAGACATTGGCACCAGAGCCATGATTAAGCCACCTCAGGCTATAAAACATATGTATATGTATATATGTATGTATGTATGTATGTATGTATGTATGTATTTTTGAATTCTTCTTGGATCCTTATTTTTTCTTATGTTTCAAGATAAAATATATTCACAAGACCCCTTTTCTTTTCTTTTTACATTGATTTTTTTTTAAGAAAAAATACGTGTATGTATATATGTATGTATGTAGGTAGGTAGGTAGGTGAAGCTGTTTATGGCTTATAAAATATTGATTTAATAGCAAAATTGAATTTGATCTGGTGCGTGACTGTAAATCCCATTTCCTAAACGTTCATACTTTAACCTACCTCTCTTGAGAAGCATCCTCCCTACCCCTCTATTTTCCCTGGGAAAATAGTAATAGTAGTAATAATATCACTCAGACTTTGTATTAATCAGTTTGACACCATTTCTCTCTCTATCTTTAAGACATAGCTTCACAACTTAGAAATTGGCAGTTATCACAGTGATCATACATGTTTTACATTGTTTCTTTTTTCTTAAAAGAGAATATATAGAAATATAACAATTATCTTTAAATCAAGTAACCAGAAAGAGCAGAGATTTACTTAAAGATATTATCAATACTCATATTTTATTTACTGATTTTTTTTAAAAGAACTGATAAATCGCAAGGTATATCGTTTGAAAAGCAAGAATACAGGACAAACGACATGTCAGTTTTAGATTTAATCCTGTTTATTACCCCTGTTCATTAGCTTCCAAAAGTACACACTCACACACGATCGTGGCCTTTGTAATAAAATCTTAAAAAAAAAGATCGTTCTAGTGGGATTATCATGAGAACAAATGAATAAACAGTAATTTTGGTGATGTCCTTTGTTAGTACCAAAAGAAGAAGAAGAAGAAGATAGAGAGAAAGAGTAATATTTAGGTTAACAAGATTATCATATTATTGAATCTGCTTGTTTGTTATGCTTTTTTGTTTGTAAATCATTTCATTGACACGATAGCATTAATCTGTAGGTCAAAATTCTTTTGGTTTATTTGTAAGAAAAAAATTTGGAACAATTGTGGCCCTGTGGATCTAACTAAACCATACTCGGATTTATTTTTATATACAAGAAAAAGAAGAGTCAGTTGTTAGAAAAGAAAAAGGATGAACAAGATGATGGGAAAAATTAGACTGGACAACTCTCTACTTTGACATACATATCATCCTCTTTGGTTTCAATTCTTTGTTTAGAAGTTGAGAAAGTCCAAATCATCACATTAGACTCGTCTAGACCCATTTCTATTTTATTTATATTTTATTGTCTTTTGGTCAAATTTTGTAAAGAACAATAATTTATTCACCAATTTAGATAGAAAGACATCCTTTAGATAGAGTAATTTCGATATCTAATATTGACTTTTTTTTTAAAAAAGAAAATAAAAAAGAAAATAAATTTAGCCATGTTATTGTACCTCTTTGGAGGAATATCTTGTTTTTTTATCGTCCAAGTAATGAGTTGACTATGATTCAATACTCGTCACCACAAGCTTCAGCGTACGATTGTGTCATGAAGCATATAATTTTTTTGTCTTCTTGCATTCACAGTCATTCGGTATCCAAGCAAGTTAACATACAATCATGACATAAATAATTGGGAAAGTAATATATGCGTCACCATAAGAATAATATTTACCTGAGGCGATCGGGAATATTTCAGTTTAAACAAAAAAACCAAAAAAAAGGGACATTGTAAAGGAGACTATGGATAGTAGCTTCTAAAGAAAATAATAAAAATTATAGAATCTTGCGTATTGAAAAGACTAGATCAATTTTGAGATTAAAGAGTTTGGATCCTTCGAGTAAAGTCTTTGGTATTGATCACACAGTCTGTGTAAAGTGAGATAGCTGCACCAATCTGCATATTTATTTTGTTGTTTCTACAAACAAGACTTTTTAGTAGGCATTCTCATCCAATAGAAATTTCTCGTAGTGTTGTACAATCTATAGGTGTGTTTCATGTCAAGCAAATACAACTTTTTGACTGTACAATTTTGATTGTTGATTTTGTTTTTATATATATATATATTAGCTAATAAAAAGAATACAAGAGAGAGAGAGAGAGAGAATATGACATTAAATAGATTATTGATATATTGTTGGGTTTATTTTCTGTGCATTTACAAAAACAGGCGTACAAGGGACTCATTCAACAAAATTCATACTGGTTCTCTAACAGAAATGTGGCTGTATATTATGTATTTATATATAAAAGATAATATATATATTTTAAAGCGCTATATAGATATAGATATATTCAGTTGACCATTGTACTACAGATGCCAACAGTATCTGTCACAACAGTTCTGGATATGCAATTGGAGTTGCAGATAAAACAAGAAAATCGCCTTTTTGTTATTATCATTATTATCATTATTATTATTTATTTTTGGTCTGATAGATAACTTGAGTATTCTGGCTGTCATTGTTTGCTTTAATGTATTGTATTATAGTTATGTGCTTATTGAACGATGACAAAAGATGAGGTTGTAGACGTACCCAAAAGGGTAAAGTGTGTAGCTGGCAAACATATTCGGTCACCAGACTTCACCCGATAAAGAAGTTTAGACATATATTGAACACCCACCTTGTATGTTCTACAAATGGGAGATCAAAAAAAATATATATTAGTATATAAAGCATCAGAAAACATCAATTTCAAAAACCATCATATTTCTCATCTCTAATTCTATCAAACTATCAAACTATCAATGTCTATCAAGAACGGATTAACAGTCGACACATTTACCCAACAGGGCCATGTTAGAACTGCATGGATTGCTTATTTCACTCTCTTTGTCTTCTGGGGACTGTTCTACTGTCTTCGCCATCTTTCCAAGGCTGAAAGAAACCATGGGCCTGGTCCCGAACATGATATCGAAGGCAGACACACTACTGAGGAAAGACATGGAAGTAGCGAAAAGGTTCCTGCCTGGAAGCTAAAGAACGGATTCCATGTAAGTCTCAAACATTGTTTCTTTTTTTTTTCTTTTTGACATCTTTACCCATACTAACTATATGCACTATTTGGATATCAATCTTAATAGAGTCCTTTAAAGAGAGCCCACAGATTGGCCTTTGAAAATATGATGCTGTTGCTGACTGTCTTGGTTCTCGACACGTTTGGTAGTGGTTCTGGCCGTGCTGTAATGATCATAGCTTGGATGTAAGTATCTTTAAGTCTCTAAATACGCAATTATCATCGTTCTGAACATAAAATAACATAACAAAACAAAATTCAATAGTTACGTCGGATTCACTATCTTGATCTCGCTCACTGAGTTAATGATCGATAACCGCTACTATCGCTTTATGTACAGCCTCATGTTTTACGGTCTAACTCTCGCGATCGGAGGTCTTGCTTTCAAGCAAGGCTGGTAATATTAATATAAATAATAACTATAGTAATACCAATACTACTACCAATACAAATACCAATACCAATAACGATAAAGATAACAATAATATATAGTATATAATAAATATAACAAGATAGTCCATATGTATGTATGTATGTGTACACATGTAAATAAACGTATATGTATATGTATATGTATATGTATATGAATGCCAATAATTCACATATAATTTAATACGCGTCAAATGTCTGTCTGATACAATTATCGACTAAGCTAGTCTTCTGTTTATTTGAAACAACAACAAAAGAAAGAAAGAAAGAAAAGAGTACCTTTTTTTCAAATTTCAAAGAAACACCAATATTCTTGCTACTATTATAACTTTTATATATATATATATATATTAGAAGCAAATATTCTGCAGTCTATAATTGATTGATTGATTGGTCGATTGGTCGATTGGTCGATTATTAAGTCAACCTAATATCTGGTTATATCCCTAAAAAATAAGGAAGATATAGATATAGAGATATATATAATGACATAGCAAATGCTTTCGCCAAATGAAATAAAATAATAGCCCTAAAGAAAATATACTCCTTCTTTTGCGTGTGTATGTATATATGTATATATATATATGTGTGTGTGTGTGTATATATGTTTTTGTTGTTAAGAAAAAATAAGAAGAAAAGGCTTGTTGTATTTCAAAAGGTAAATAAAAGAAAGAAAAGACTCCCTACTGCGTATACTTGACCCTCTTTCTTTCTTATTGTGCTTCAGTTCATTATACACGCGCTTAAGCAATAGAAAGAGGGGCTCATGCATTCATGTTGTGCCCCGCACTGTAGTAGTTTTGATAATACTGATCCCAGTTCTGGTTTCCTCCAGCCTCTGGTCCTGGAGCAGCGTGAGGACCAGCAACCTGTGCTGGCGGTCTCATGCCTTGTACGTCGTAAGCATTTCCTGCGGGTTGCATCCAGTTTTGTTGGGCATAGGGCGTGTTGGCATAGTTATACGAATAAGGATCGTATTGCTGGGTATTGTTGTTTGCTGCTGTACGGTCTTTTCCCCAAGATAACTTGGCAGGGCGACCACCGATTGCAAAGCCTTGGAGAGCGAAAATCGAGGTGGCAGCGTTGGCATGAGAGTCCATCCTACACACACACACATAATTTATTTTTTTTAGAAAACAATTTGATTTGTGTACGCGTATATAATATGTATATAATATGTATATATGTTTAACATACTTAACAAATGCATAGCCGCGATCAGACTGAAGGCGAATGTCGGTTACATATCCGTATTGCTGGAAATAAGGTGCAATATCTTGCTCTGCTCAGGTTTCTTAGTTTTGCTGACTATGGATCGCTCGATCAGTGACCTACGTGTGATGCCATGGGGCAAATTGCCGATATAGACAGTGGTTTGATAGTGTGGAGTCTGGGCAAAAATTTGTTCGTACGACATGTTGGCCGATGTTGCTACAGAATCTTTGCGTCAATATTGACCAGACTGTTAATATCCTTTCTTATTTTCCTTCTTGTTATTCTTTTATATATATATGATTTTAATTTTAATTTTGTAAATCTTACCAAATTGTCTTTCCATTGTAGCAGCGGGAGGACCAGCTACCGGCATTCCGGGTTGTCCACTCGCCTTTTGGTTAGCCCAATTACAACGAATTGCACGGGAGCCTAACCATTCACCGTTCATGGTAGCAATTGCCTGTTCGGCATCGGCTTTGTCTCGAAATGCAACAAACCCAAATCCTCTTGATTTACCGGTAGTTTGATCCCACATCACACGTGCTTCGCTATTGATCCCTCCCCAAGACTTAGTCAAACGTTTACTATAACACTTTTCTTTCTTTCCCCGTTTCCTTTTCTTGCCCGTCTTCCTCTTCTTCTTCCTCTTATTCCTTTATATTTTTATATATCTGATATACGATGGTTGAATTACAACTTACGAAGTACTTCTAAAAGGACTAAAAGCCTTTGTAAGCACATTGTCGTTGACCTCTGGACTCAGATCACCAACGAAAATATGGTAATGTCCACTTGTATCTTCTTTTTGGGTTGAACCCTGAGTTGCCCAGTTTACACGAATGTCCTAAATATGTATAAAAGTATATAAATACACACACACGTTATAACTCTAATCCATATTCTCTCCTGTCTTACCTGCCCAAACACCTTTCTTCCTGCCATAGACTGGAGTGCAATTTCAGCTCCTTGATGATCTTGAAATTCAACAAAGCCATAATTCATACTTCCATGAGTAGCCTATATCATTAATAGAAAGAAAGAAAAAAGAAAGAAAGGAAAGGACAGAATTTATAAGCCCATGTATAAAAACCAAAAAAAAAAACATATGAGTTATTATAAAATCATTTATATCACAAATAAATCATAATGATAATACTAATAGCGATAATAGTAATAAAGAGTATGGAAGAGAGACTGAAGGAAGCAAAAAGTGAGTACTTGTAACCTTGGAGCTTGCCGTGCACTAATACCACAGGCTGACAAATTTATGGATTATCCGTGATCTATCCATATGAAAGCCACCTGGTTGTATATATCCATCGGGAAATAACAATTGTCAGCAGAAGTCGTTTCACTTGACAACTGAGAGCAGAAGAAATGAAAGAAACAATGGCTGTAGGAAACCAAAGTGTAGTGGTTGTGTGGACTGCTATGCAATTATGGCTTGATCCTTGGAACCTCTCCAGATGACATTTGCTTTCTAGTCTCCCATTCCATCCCAGAATAGAAAAACTTGGGAAGCCAAAGTTGGCAAGGCTCCCCAATAATAATAATAAAAATGATACTTACGTAACGATCGTGGATGATTTTGACATTGTCTACCTCGGAGATGGCAGCGAATATCTGGGTCAAAATTTCTTCATTCACTCGGCTGTCGAGATTTCCAACATAAAGTGCTTTGCATCCATCAGTTAGGTCTTGAGCCATGCTTTCAAAAAAAGAAATGTTGATGAAAAAAAAAAAAAAAAAAAAGAAGTGAGAGAGATCACAGAGAAAGAAAAGAGGGGTTGAAGCGTTCCTCGAATGTTCCCAAAAAAGAAAAGCGCGTCATGATTCGTATACGTCACGAAGCTATTATTTTCGAAACTTTTCCCTGGTTGGGTCAATTAAAGCCTCTTACAACCAACTCCACTGTTCAGGGGGCTCCCATGTTGCAATCACTTTATGCAGGAAATAATTTGCTCAAGACGAGAGGAATTCAATTGAAATCAAACATTCATCGTTTGGCCTCTCGTTCTGCTCCCATTATTTCAAGGAACCTCCGTAAGCAATCGCCATTCAAAATGGAAGCCTGTTGACATGTCATATTTTAGCTGTCACTTTCTATCCCACTCGCCAGTTCTCATCTACATTGAGTCCCAACAATCAGACAAATGAACCAGTAGCTGTTACTAGAAACACTGTCGGAACGATTAAAAAAAACAAACCTCTTTTTTCTGTCCATGACGATATTCCACAAAAATTGGCTAGTTATGAAGCCCTCGGTGATGTCGAAGGAGCCTTCAACTATGTAAAGGAACTCCATGCCAAGAATTTGGCTACTAAAGAAATTTACGAGCGCCTGGTGACTCTCTTGAGTGAGAACCCTACAGAAATCGCCAAGATTAATTATGTCCTCAATTGGTTCACCCAAAGCTCACGCTCAAAAAACAAAAAAATACTGGAGGATATTGATCTGTGGTGTAAAGTAATGGGACTTGGCTTTAAGTTAAAGGGAACTAGTAGAGAACAAGCTCTCAGAATGTACCTCCAAGCATTCGAAGCCACTTTCCCTTATTCAAAACTTACAACCCAAACAGCATGGGTAACAAAAATCAGGGTAAATATATACATATACATATACATATACATACATATAAATTACTATTTTGAAATAAGAATAACCTTTAACTAACTTGACATAACTTTGTACATGTATCTTTTTTTTCTCCCTTTTAAAAAAAATAATTAAAAAGGCCCATGGAATTCTTTGTCAGCCTTTAAAAGTGACAGAATGCTTGAAAGAAATCAAAGATTCCCCAAAAGCCTTGGAAGCTGTCGACGAAAAACAGATCTTTGAATATGCTATATTAGCTTATGCAAATTGCCAAATGACTGAGCTTGTCGACAAACACATGCAACTTTTCAAAGACACACCACCCTCAAAGGATATGTTAAAGAGTCTGACACTCACAAATGCGTTCCGTGGAAATATCGAAGCTACAAAGAAATATTCTGATTTAACCGAGCGAATCTATCCTTCTGTCGACCTCACGTCCGTACGATTATTGTCTTACCAGCGAGATTTAGTTGCCCAGTACAAGAATGAAGCTAGAATCCGGGGTACTCATAATGCTCCCTTAAATTTGGACCAAGATAAGGCAGCAGCCTGGAACGAATTGGCTGAGAGCCTTATGAATGACGATAAAAGACCCTTGAACATTAACGAATGTAACAATATTGTCGGATACTTGGCAACTGCCAACTCTCTTGACAACAAGCAGTTCCCTATGGAAAGAGCACAGGGCTTTGTGGATAACTACATGACCAAACACTCTATTCAGCCCAATGAAACGACATACAGCTACTTACTGACTGGTTATGCGAGAACACATGAATACAACGATGGTGCAAAGAATTCTCGCCTGGATAAGGCGCTCGAAACCCTTCATTTGATGCTCAGCAAAAACCTCAGTGTTGTTAACCATCGTAACTTCAGTGCGCTTTTAAAGGCATGTATTCCTCACAAGAATGAAAACTACATCTTCGATTACTTCCGGTACAACTCAGCTGTGAAGACTAGTTTTCAAAACCAGAAATTAAAGAAGATCTTTTTGGATAAACGCTTCTTTGAAATTGAAAAGTTGATGCTGGAGTACGATGTCAATTATGATCGTTACACATTCATGAACATGATGACTTGTCTGGGTGGATCAGGCCTCTATATTGCCTTGTGGAATCGCTGGGGCTTGACAAAGAAATATGGTATTAAGCGCGACGCTGCTTTGTACCAGCATATGCTTGCACTTGCTGCTCGTGATTCGGAACAAGCCAGATTTGCCCTGGCTACAGTTAAGAGCGAGTTGGCTCGTGATATTGGGCAAGATAAGATGACCAAACCATTATATTTCTCTCTTCTCGAATGCTCTGTTTCCGCACAAAATACCACTATGACTGGCCAAATCATTGAAACGCTCCGTAAAGATTTTGAACTGACAACAGAAGACTACAACACTCTGATACGGTCTAGTGCCTTTTTAGGCGACGCTTCATCCAAGGTTGATGATATCTTGGAGGAAATGAAGAAAAAGAACATCCAGAACAATACTCGGACATGGTTAAATCTTCTTTCCAACCAAATCCTTGCCAAGGCCGAGCACAACCAAATCCAAAAAACATTTAATGACTACTCGATGTACCGCTTTGAGGAATATGGAAAGGTGCCTATTCCAATCCGGAAGCAGGCAAAAACGGTACCTTTTCCTACTGGTCCCTACACTGGTGTAGACCAACAGATTATCAATGTGTACCTGGCTTCCTTGGTAGACCATCAGGACCTATCTCTCTTGTTTGGCATTTTGAGAACATCGGAAGAGCAAGAACTTCCAATCCGACTTACCGTGAATACAATTAATTGGATTAAAAATCTGGCTCAGAAGGAAAAGAGTAAGGATGACTTGGCTTGGTTCATCAACGAAAGCAAGTTGGGGAAAATTATTAAAGAATAGATATTAGACACACGCAAATAAATTATATAAAATGTATCAACTACAATAGTATATAATACTCCTTGGCTGTATAAATAAAAATAAGAATAAAATAAAATAAAACAAAACAAAAATCACAGTAAACCCTGGACTGTGAAGAAGAAATAAAAGCTTATATTTTACGCTTAAGAACCATGTACAAAAGGGCCCTTTTTTTAAATATTTTATTTAATAAATAATAATAATAATAATAATGAATGAGACAAGGCCAAGTTTTCCATCTCAGACATTCTGACCTGTTCGTCCCTTTCTTCTTTCCCTCATCCCTGCTTAGTCCAACAGGCGATTACCGAAGCTAAATTCCCTCTTTTTTCACTCACCATTTGTCGTGTGTTTGCTTAGCTTGAGTCTGCCAAAGTAATAAGAAAAAAAATCAAGCAATACTTCATCAGACACTCATCAGACACATTTATCATTCTCAACTTTTTTTTTCCTTTTTTTTTTTTGATGAAAGACAAAACAAATGTCGTCTCCAGCCCACACATCTCCAGCATCCACACGAACCTCGCTTCAGTCTACTTCCACAGTTACCTCCAGTTCGGTGTTTGTCGTCAATGCTCTCGAGAAATTCGCCAAGGCCAAGGAAACAAAAAAGAACAAGGCCTTGAAGGAGGCAGTCCTGAATGCCCAGAGTAAGCTCAGTCAGATAGTTTCTTGCTTACCTTCTATCTATCTATCTTTTTTTATTATTTGAGGGAATATAACTCACCTCTGTTATAGATATGCTCAATAATGACGAGGCTGCCCCGGAAGGACAGACAAGGTATAAAAGATAAACAATGTGTTCCTTTCATTTATTGACGCGCTATCGGGTAAAGGTCAACTGTAATCCTTGCAGCCTTGCAAACAGCTATTAACACCCGGTCAGTTAATTTAATGACAATTTCGTTGGATTGCCTTGGCAAATTTATTGCCTACAATTATTTGGACGATATGGAAAACGAGGCTGCACAAACCCAGGTTATGGAAAAGATGGTGGATATTATTTGCGACTGTTTTATTGGAGAAGAAACAGACGAAAAAGTACAACTACAAATTATAAAGGTAAAGAGAAATAAAATAAAATAAAAAGCAACAGAGTTTTTATATGTCATTTACCAATAAATACATTATACATAGGCACTCCTTGATGCAGTATATTCCACAAGAAATCCGCTTCACCAGTCCGCATTACTCAAAGCAGTTCGAACAACTTATAATATTTTCCTGCTATCTCGCAACAGCGCTAATCAGAACGTAGCTCAAGTCACTCTGACACAAATGGTTGATCACATATTCAGAAGAATTGAGATACGTCCAGTGGCTAAGAAGAATCAACCTGCACATGAAACCACTATTGCATCAAAGGAAACCAGTTCAGATGACCCAGAGAAATCTAGCGAAGAACACACCTCAGAAGCTGATGCATCCTACCAACAACAGATAATTGTTGAAGCCAACATGGCACGTGTAGAAATGGACCAGAAATTACCTAGTGGGAAACAAAAAGACAATACAGAAGACTTTTTGAACGACACTGCCTCAATCTTCCATGAAGGAGCCGAAGTTGCTGCTAGCCCTGCAACGGCAGAGAAATTACCTAAGCCTGAGCCAGAGCGTGAGATTATCACTACTACTACTAGTGATAATGATGTTGCCGCCAATGCAGGGCCCACTGACTCCCAGGTGTCTACAACAAATGATACATCAAGGTGATACATTAATTGAAGTTTATTTCGCTTATTTAATTTGAGGCATTAACCTTTTTTTTATTCGAACATTAGTGTACAAGGATCCGAACAAGGAGACTTTGAAAATGACAGATTTCAGACAAATACTGCTGAAACTGAAGCCGACCTCTTTATCAAAGATGCTATATTGGTATTCCGTGCACTTTGCAAATTGTCAAAGAAGCAAATATCATCTGAATGGTAAACCAAGAAAAAAATATGCTTGTGGTTTTGGGGTTCATTCTGGTGTAGTAATCTAAAATTTCTTTCTTAACTTTTTATTTATTGATATAGGGGAAATGATATGCGATCGTACTCTATGCGCTCGAAATTGCTTTCGTTGCACCTTATTCTTACGATTTTGACATCGCACATGACTATTATGTCCTCCCCTTCTGTAGTTCTTTCTTCTGGCAGAGATGATCCCACTGTAAGCCAATTGGCTAATCCATTCATTCTCGAGGTGAAACAGTATCTTTGTCCTAGTTTGGCAAAGAATGCGTTCTCGCTTGTGCCTCAAGTGTTCAATATCACACTTGAAATCCTCTGGAAGGTTGTGCAAGGACTTCGTGTTTTTTTAAAGGTACCTTTTATACGTGCATGCTATTTTATTTTTCTGTCTTGTTTCTTTAAAGAATATGAATACTAATAATGTATCATTTTCTTTATTCATTTATATATCTAGAAAGAGATCGAGGTCTTTTTCAAAGAAATTGTCTTTAGAATCTTAGAGATGCGCAATGCATCTTTTCAACAAAAGCATACTTTGTTAAAGATTGTGTTGCGGATATGCAGTGACCCTCAGACATTGGTCGACATATATCTAAATTACGATTGTGATCGCCAGGCCCTGGATAATATTTATGAGCGGTTAGTACAATATTACTTTTCTATCTTTATTTAATTTAATTTAATTTTTTCGACTAATCAATACATTTGCATGTGTGTGTTTGTTGGTTAGCTTGGTCTATGTACTCTCAAAAATCACTACCTCTCAGTCATCTCCTGGAAGTCTCAAGGACCAAGATATCCACTCTTCAGGATCTGATTACTCCAATGGCCATGGACATTCAAACAATAACTCGGTCATCATACCCCCTCCTCTGACCACGGCAACTATTCTATCAAACGAAAGACATAGCAATTCTGCTCCTCAAATGCCAGAATCTGCCATCAAGTTTAAATCTTTGGAATGCTTGGTTGCTGTTCTACAGTCTCTTGTTACCTGGTATGCAAATAATTCTGTGAGTATATCATCCACCACCGAAAACGAAGAGGACCACAGCAGAGGAAACACTCCACGCGAAAGTGAGGATCGTAGAGCTTCGTCGGATCCATTTACAAGTCACAGCAATATATCGCTGTCTCGTATGTCCCCATCCCTCTCAACAAGTGGCGTCAGTGCAAATACGTCAAACGGTGGTGGGCCCTTGACTTCTCGTATGGACGATCCTGAGCAATTTGAAAATCTTAAACACCGCAAGCAGTTACTTCAGGATGGTATTCGTTTGTTCAACTGGAAGCCTAAGAAGGCAATACAGCTCCTTGCAAACCATGGGTTCTTAGATATCAATGATCCTCAAAGCAAGGCAAGGTTTTTGTTGAATACAGAAGGTTTAAGCAAGACCTTTATTGGTGAATACTTGGGTGAAGGGTAAGTAAAAAAAAAACAAAATAAAAATAATTAAGGTTAAATGATGCTGAAAAAATCAACCTGTAAATTTTTTCTTATATTAAATAATACTAAATATTAATATTAATCGAAAATCCTTTAACAGAGAACCTGAAAACGTTGCTACCATGCATGCTTTTGTGGACGAGATGGATTTCACGGGTATGAAGTTTTTGGATGCTTTGCGTCTATTCCTTCAATCCTTTAGATTACCTGGTGAAGCTCAAAAGATCGATCGATTTATGCTCAAGTTTGCTGAACGCTATGTAAATGGAAACCCTGGTGTATTTGCAAATGCCGGTAAGAGTTCTTGTCAAATTTTTATATAATCAACAACAACAACAACAATAAGAACAAATAAAGAAAAAGATGATGGGTTATGTAAGATACTAAAACAAAAATTGATATTGTATTTCAACAATAAAGATACTCCTTATGTACTGGCATATCATGTCATTATGCTCAATACCGATCAGCACAACCCAACAGTGAAGAACAGAATGACATATGAAGACTTTGTCAAAAATAACCGTGGACTTGACGATGGAAACAACATTTCTGAAGATATTCTGCAGTACATTTACACCGAAATCCGAAAGAATGAAATCAAACTCAACGATGAGACCGAGGCGGCCAACAATGCTGCTCTTATGGCATCGGCGGGTGGCATGGGTGGTTTGGGTATGACTGGACTTCAGAATGCCTTGGCCAACGCTGGTATTATGCGCGATTCTCGGCGTGAGGCCTATCAAGCCGCCACTGAAGAAATGGGATCCAAGACCGAGGCCATCTTCCGTAGTATGCTGGCTAGTCGGTCTCGAGCGGGTGAAAATGAAACATTTACGTTTTATATTGCTTCTCATGTTGAACATGTTCGGCCCATGTTTGAAGTTGCCTGGATGGCTTTCTTGGCCGGTATGTCTGGTGCACTTCAGAAATCTGATGACTTGGAGACCGTTAAGCTGTGCTTGGACGGCTTCAAACATGCTATTCGTATCATTTGCCTTTTCCACACTGTCCAGTCTGAAGATATGGATTTGCAGCGAGATGCCTTTGTCACCACACTTACCAAATTTACATTTTTGACAAACCTGAACGAAATGAAGCCAAAAAACGTAGAGGCAATAAAAACGCTGCTAGAGGTTGCTTCAGTAGATGGAAACTATCTAAAGGGCAGCTGGAAAGAGATCCTGTCGACCGTCAGTCAGCTGGAGCGTTTCCAGCTGATCACGAGTGGTATTGACCAGGGAGCACTACCGGATATCGCTAACAAGCGTTTCCAGGCACCCCCAAGAGGGTATCCAACCCAACTTAGTCTTTCGGAAGAAGTTGCATCGGCAGGTAGTTCCCAGTCTCTTGTCTTGGCAGCAGATAAATTATTTACTGCTACTGTGAACCTCAATGGTGTAAGTACTTGCTTTCTATTTTATATATTTATATTTATATATATATATATATATATATATATATTATTTTTACTTTTGGCTTTAAGAACGAGAGAAAATAGAAAGAAGTCCATGATAGATGTAATACTTGAAAATCTAAAAAGAGAGAGAGATATACATATATTGTAGGATGCAATTGTTGACTTTGTTCGCGCTCTCTGTGAGACCTCTTGGGAAGAAATTGTTTCATCTGCTCACTTGGAACATCCAAGAATGTACAGCTTGCAAAAACTGGTGGAGATTTCTTACTACAACATGAACCGTATTCGTATCGAATGGTCTAATATCTGGGCTATACTTGGTGAATACTACAACAAGGTAAATGATTCTAGTATATATATATAAAGTATGAAAGATTTTTAGGTCTAAATAATTGCTGTTGTTATTGTCGTGTGGAAATATTTGTATTCTTATGCTTAGGTCGGTTGTCAGTCCAACTTCAATGTTGCCTTCTTTGCTTTGGACTCTTTGCGTCAATTGGCTATGAGGTTCTTGGAGAAGGAAGAACTGCCTCATTTCAAGTTTCAAAAGGATTTCCTTATGCCTTTCCGTAATATTCTTGCAAACAATCCTGACGTAGCCATCAAGGACATGGTATGGTTGCTGAGAAAGAAAGAGGAGAAAGAAAAGAAGAAGAAAAGTGAAAAAAAAGGAATATTACAAACATATTACAAATCATCTAATAAATTATTTACTATACTATTATTATTATTATTTTTGTAGGTCTTGAGATGCCTTTCTCAAATGATACTTGCGAGGGCTCAAAACATTCGATCTGGTTGGAAAACTATGCTATCTGTGTTTGCTACCGGTGCACGCGAGACTTCAGGTGAGACAAAAGAACAATTTGAATAAATTAAACTTCATTTGTGTTCTAGACAAGTGTAACTGAAAAGATTGGTGTAGAATCAATTGTGCACATGACATTCGATATTGTCCGCAGTGTAGCCAACGAGAGGTTCCACGACATTATTGCCAATGGTACATTTCCCGATTACATTTCGTGCTTGATCGAATTCTCGAAGAATAAGAAATTTCAAAAGATTAGGTAGAGAGATAAACCATGATTGATAAAAATAAAGTCTCTTAGAAAAGAAAAGAAAAAAAAGGGTATATCGTCTTATTAACCACAATTACATTAGTCTGCCTGCACTAGACATGATCAGGGGTACAATCCCTGCAATGCTCGAGATTGCCGAGAAAAACACTATCGAAATCACAGATGTGCATGCATCGAATTCTGCTGGCCAAACAGCACAAACCGATGATGATTTCTTGGTAAAGTTCTGGTTCGCTGTTCTGTACGGCCTCAAAGAGGTTACTATGCATAGTGACGATGTTGAAGTCCGTAAGAGGTAAGAAGGACTACAAGACATCTCTATATACAGTATAGATAGATATACAATAGGGCACTGAATTGAACCTTGATTACGCAGGGCACTGCAGTATCTTTTTGATACCCTAAAAGAGTATGGTTCGAGCTTCACACCTGAGTTCTGGACGACTGTGTCGCGCCAGATCGTGTTTCCTCTATTCGATGATTTGAAGTCGGACTCTGATCATCAACGCACAATGACACCTGAGGATTTGAGTGTTTGGCTGTCTACAACCATGATTGAAGCTCTTCGCAATGTAGTTGATCTTTATACCTTTTATTTCGAAAACATAAAGGGTATGATGCGTCCTATCCTTGGACTATTCGGCGTGTGCATCACCCAAGGTAAAGTAAATTAAATTAAAATCAATAATCAATAATCACAGTCGCAATCATGATCATGATCACAATCAGAATCACACACATACTCTATATATAAAAATATAAATATAATAATATAAAAACAAGATACTAATCGGCGTCACACAGACAACGACACACTTGCCCGCATTGGTTGCGAATGTCTGGAACAGTACATTGAGACTAATGTAGAAAAGTTTGATCCCAGTTGCTGGGATCTTGTAGCTGAAACTTTTGTCAATTTGTTTGAGAAGACGACAGCCCATGGATTATTCGATGATACTGAGGATCTGGTCGACAAAGTCAAGGCAATTCCAGCTGGTAGGAATTATTATTATTTTTAGCGTTTTATTTTTATAGAAATCAGAATTTTCATATATATATATGTATATTTGACTAAAGTACTGTAATTATTATATTTATTTATATATATTTAACTAGCAAGCAACGATACCACCAATCAGTACTCTGAGACAACTACCATTCAACATGCTGATGTGAACGAAGAGCGTCAACACAGTTTCCAGCAGGTCATTGTCAAGTGTGTTTTGCAATTGATGTTGATCCAGACTGTCAGTGAGCTTCTAAGCAAGGACGCTGTGTATTTCGCATTCCCGGCTCATCATCTGATGCAAATTATGGAATGTCTCGGGCGGTCGTTCCATTTCGCCAAACGTTTCAATGGAGACAATGATCTTCGAATGGCTCTCTGGCGCTTTGGTAATTATTATCTTTTCTTTGCTAATTAGTTGCCTTGGTTGGGCTTGTTATTAATCTAACAATTTCCGCAGGCTTTATGAAGCAGCTTCCCAACCTCCTCAAGCAAGAAACCTCGAGCGGTGGTTGCTATGTATCGATCTTAATGCGTATGTATGCAAACCTCGAGAACATCAGTGATCGTGATGATAGACGAGTTGAGATTGAAAACACCTTAATTCCGTGAGTACAAAACAGAACAGGAACAGAACAGGACAGGACAAAAAGGACAAAAAAGAATCATGTTGTGTGATTATTACTACGCACAGTTCCACATTATCCGCGGCTCACATAAGTAACCAAAAAAAAACCTGGCCTCTTTTTTGTTTTTCCCTTTTATAGTCTCTGTAATGAGATCTTTACACTGTACACAGAGCTTGATCACGAAACAAAACCGAAGAACATTGTTGCCTGGACACCAGTGGTTGTTTCAATCTTGAGCGGTCTTGCTCAACTTCAGGACGAAGACGTAAGCTTGAAGAAGAAGATGATTCCTGTATGTAGAGAGTGTATCTTAATCCGGTCTTGAACCAATTATAGTTTCTACGCCATGTGCCGCGGTTCTACATGCCTTCTGTAGAACTTCTTGGTCAAGATAACCTACTACCGGACATCCGGTTGGCATTGCGTACTCTACTCGTCCGAGTCGGCAAAACTTATAAAATATCTCCACAAGAGATTGCCTGAACAGTTTTTTCTTAATACACGATAGAAATACACACAAAAGCAAAAACAAAAGCAAAAAAAGATAATCAATTCCAAAGATATTTTAATTCACTGGTTTTTGAAGCAATTTTTTCTGGACTGTGGTTATGGTTATGGTTATGGTTATGGTTATGGTTATGGTTGTCTGTAGTGTGTCTGTAGTGTCTGCAGTGTGTATATATGTGTGTGGTGGTTGATAATGAGCGGAGGCTTCTTACTTTAATCTGTGTGCGAAACTGGCGGATAAACCTTGAAATAATAAAATCTCCTATGCCCCGCAATGAGACTTTAGTCGGCAACTTTTCCCGAGCTTTCCCAGCTGCTCTTCAAAGACTTTTTTTTTAAAAAAAAATATGAAGGTGGAGTAGTGTCAACATTATCACTGGATTTCATTTTGAAGGGCGACTCAGTAACCAAAGAGTTCTGTCCTCCTTTCCATCACTCTCTTTCTTCTGTGCTCCACACTTTTTTTTTCTTCTTCCTTATATTCAATCTGTGGTGTACAGTAGAAAGAAGAAAAGAAAAAAAAAAAAAGAAACGTTAAGAAAGCGCCGTCAACAATTATGGACTTTCGAACCTATGCACTTCCTTCACCCACATCACCTTCTTTTTCCGCCCAAATACTTCCTTCCTCTCCTATTAAGAAACCTAGCCGCATGACTACCCATCGAAAGCGACCAAGCAAATCGCACGTTCCAACTGCCTGTGTATGTTGTCCAATACTGCCATGATATCCTTCCGATCTTGTGCTGACTTGGTGCTTTACAGGTCAACTGCAAAAAGGCGCATTTAGCCTGTGATTGTAGGTTGAATAACTATTAGTTTATGTATATACAACTATATACATACACATATACATATACATCTATTGCTTGAAAACAAAGAAATAGAACAATTGAAGCAAGATTGAACAAGTTTAGCTATCAAAAGAATAAGAAGCAATTATTGGGAATCTTCACAATCACTACTACATTTATTTTGTGTGGGTGTTAGTACTAGTACCAGCACTTGCACTTGCACAAGTACCAGTACCAGTACCAGTACAAGTACAAGTACAAGTACAAGTACAAGTACAAGTAGTACTGGTGTTTCTTTCTTTTATATATATATATATACATATTATCTCTTTAATCGTATTGTACTATACTGTATCGTATTTTATTTTATTAATTGGTTTAAAATATAGTATCACGCCCTTGCAACAGATGTATTGCTGTAGGAAAAACTGACACTTGTTATGATATTCAACACAAAAAACGAGGACGACCAAAACTTAGGGATAAACAATCGTCTCCAACAAAACCTGGACCATCAAAGGCTGCCCTGAGCTCGACAGCTGGTGCCAGGTCCACATATATGCTTACCCCAGGCCTAGCCAATTCTTCATTCAGTATGACCACCTTCCCTGACTATATTCCAGAACCAAGACACACATCCTCGGACAAGAACATGATGACGGCAAGATACAAATATATAACGCAAAATAAACCAATTGGAATCGAATGAAAGAGCTGACAAAAGAAGTGTTCTTGTTTTGTTAAAATAGATCTTCTTGACGATGGATATTTCCTGTGCACGCGTTTCTGATGAATCAGTTGATTTTCTTGGTGTATATCCCCAAGAACTAGCTCACCGTTCACTCTACGACCTTGTCTCACCAGAATATTCGTCGCAACTAGCTCGCTTGCACCGTTGCCTTTTGGACAATGCCAATATTTCACCCCACACGACCGATGCCGCCGACGCACTACGCAGCGATTCAGACGTCTTCAATTGCTCTCCTTCACTCCTTCTCAACATCGCCAATGGCTCTCAAACCTTTAAAGATACACTTGCATTTAGACGCCCTGATGGCACTTTTGAACTAATGGATGTCAGAATCTACATTGGTGGTGGACTTGGCGCCGATTTGTTTGAGCCAAAACCGCTCGATAGACTCTATGCCGTTTGCTTATTGACTCGTTCAGAAGAAGCTTCGCCAGTAAAACTGGCAATCAAAGAACCTCCTCGACCAGTATCGAAACCTACCGCAAGTGGGTCTTCCCTCTTAGACCACGAACCAACAGGTTATCCATTCCTTTCTTCATCTGCGTCTTCTTCTTCTTCTTCGAATTTCCTACCAATGGTAAGTAAGGGTAACAAAAGTTAACTAAATAAACAAACGAACAAATGAATGAATAAATAGAACTACATACATATATATATTCAAGTGAATGATTTTTTTTTTCATTTTTTATACTTACACATATACATATATAGCAAAAGAATCCTATTAGCGTCTTGCATCACCAACAACAAGCACACCCACATTCACACTCACACTCCCAACCTCATTCACAACCACAACCACAACCACAACCACAACCACAACCACAACCACAACCTCATTCACAGCCACAATCACAGCTACCACACCGACGTTCACGTCCCCCGCATCAATATTCTCATTCACAGCCACACCCTCAACCACAGCTACATCTACCATTACCATCACCACCTCCTCCTCCGCCACCTCCGCCACCGCCACCACACACTCTTTCGTCAAACTCCCCTAATCCGCCACCCATGAATCCAGCTTACAATAATATATCTCAGCCTTTTCATCTTAATGCACCCATGTTTCCTTCGCCTATGCCTACAAATACTCCTCAACAGACCTCTAGCTTTGGAGATTCTGCTGTAACATCTATGCCTCTTTACAATAGTAACGATGTGAACAAACTTGAGTTTGATACATCACAATCGGTATGTATTTATGTAATTTTTTTTATAACTAATAGTAATAATTCCATGCTAATCATAATTATAATTATATTCTATTATATATATATAGGCTCTTTTATGGCTAAATGGTATGCCATCATGGCCGAACAACAGCCGTAACAGCGTTGCACCGGGCACTTCCAAGACTTCTCAAACATCTACTACACATGCTTCTTGGCGCAAAAATAGATAAAGTTTCTTTTTTCCTTGTATATTATTATAATAATAATAATAATAATAATAATAATAAAGAGCATGAAAGAAAAAGAGTGGCACACGCGCATATATCTTTATATTCAGAAAAACTCTCATGCAATTCTTGTTGCTATTTTATCCCAGTATGGCTTTATTGTTGCTACTATTATTCTTTAGTTCTCTTTTTTTTTTGCAAGGTAGCACCCAAAACCATGTCCTGGCCGAACTGCTGATAAATGATATTTGAGTGAAGTGCAGGCAAAGACAGTGATACAGGTACAATGTCTCCGGTTGCACTCACTCCTCGAGGGCCGACTAGTGTAGGTGCAGTGGTGACAATCAGCTGGTCTATATGACCAGATTGAAGGAAGGATTGAATTATTTTCGATCCACCTTCAACCATCAAACGATCAATTCCGGCTGCTTTTATATGTCTAAGCACACTAGATATCGAGGGCCGTTGACAAGTCTGATAACCATTGACATTATAATCCGGTGCTTCAATGGTGATGACAAGTGCGCCTGCCTTTTCTAGTGCCAACTGAATTAAAGAAAGAAAGAAAAATTATGTGAATTAAATGTGATACATACAAAGACACAATGCACGCACAAGAAACCTTGTTCATTTAACCCCTCCTCGTTATATGTCATTTTGTTACCTTGCGTTGGTCATTTTTGGTCCAGCAGATTAGCCAAGGCTGTTTTCCTGTGCCGTTGTTAAAATTTCTCAAGAGTTTTGCACTCAAGGGAAACTCAAGTCTTGGATCAAGAACGATAGGCTGAGGTTGATTATTGCATAGGTGGTCCGTGGGTGAAACGTATCGTGCTAAGTAAAATTGTGCTCAGCTCAGCTTATATAATACATTATAAAAATATAAATTATATATATATATGTATATATTATTATTATTTTCGTAAAATTGAATAGAAATTTGAAAATGAAGAAAGAATAATACACACACACGAAAATGTATAATATTTTTCTTCTTCTTCTTCTTCTTTATAGTCCTTTGATTTTTGTATCTTTCTTTACCATTTAACTGTGGGTCATCTATTAATGCAGTTCCAATTCCTACCAAAATACCATCATGAAGAAGTCGAAGTCTGAATTATAAAATAAAAATAAAAATTTAAATTTTAAATTTTCCAAAAAAAGAGATAGTAAAAAAAAAAAAAAAAAAAGATGAATGAGTAACTGATGTGACTATGTTTTTTTTTCTCTTTTTTTCTATCGTTTTATTTTCTTTACCTGTGTGTCATGGCCATGCTTTCCTTGCCACTGAGTAGCAGCTGCTGTCCTTTCAAGGCTATCTTTCCGTCCAAACTCTGCGCAAATGTGAGTGTGACAAAGGGTAGTTCCTTTGTTGGGATTGGTGGGTTAATGTAAACGCGTTCTAGAAACTTGCGCGCATCTTCGTATACGCTATCATTCATCGGTTGGTTATTCTTTATGTAAGGTCGGGAGCAGAAGCGTGTATTTTTTTTTTTAATAAATAAATAAAAAAAAAATAGGTAAAAAAAATATAGTAAAAGTTTTTTTTTCTGTGATATTTTTACTTTAATTTGCCGCTTAAATATTCGTGTTTGACAGTATGTGTGAAATAAATAAAATAGAATAGAATGCGTATAAAAAGATACTAAAAGATTATAATATAATTCTATACAATACAATGTAGCCCTCCAATCAAAACTGTTTTTTTGAGCAGGTGAAGGATGTGACATTTCTGTGCATGGAAGTAAAAATGCCAAGCTTAATCGTTTTCAGACATTTTATCCTTTTTTGTCATTTCTTGACTTCCCCGCTTTGACGATTTAGTATTCACTTTTGTCAGTGCTTATTTAAATACGAAATACTAAATACTAAATACTAACCATGATCATGATCATAATTTATCATTATAATTCAGTGAAATGGAGTCCAATTCACTGTACAGCAAGAACGGTAAAATTTTGTCACTTTCCAAAAATTATTGTCTCTTTTCATCTTGGCGCTTGTTGAATTTGCTTAGTGCAACTTGGTCAGAAATAAGAATTGAATATATATTTAAAATGAATTACATGGGTAATTCAGAGAAACGAATTGGAGGGAAAGTTAGTTAAATAAGAAGAGGTAAGAGTAAAAAGGAAATAGAGTATTTGAAGATAGAAATTAAATTATCATCTCCACTCGGGACTGGTGATGATAGAAGAATAATAAGGATACAAGAGGTATAAAGTACAAAGAAGGAACTACTTCTGGCTTTGCTCGGGACACTCAAAGTGATCAAAGCAGCAGATCACTAGAATTTGATGAAGAAAATAGAGAACAGAAGCACTGTCTATTTCACTCAGGACAATTGACAAACAAAAATAGGGACGTAAAGAAAAATAATAATAACAATAATAATTATAATAGAAAAAGAGGTTAATAGAGATAATAAATTGCAAGCTGTACAATTGTTTTCCTATGGGTCAGGCAAAAAACAATCCAGGGACGAGGTTTCTAAGAGAAAATTACTAATGATTTTTATTGGATAAAAAGTAGGTTTCTTTTATACCCTTCTAAAATGATAGAATTGAAATATTTGCAGTTGGTTTATAACGAGGAATATGACTAATAGTGTGAAAAGAAACTATATATAAAGCAGGTAGATGTCAAATTCAGAGGAAAAAGTGGGATAATCACTTTGTGCTATGCCAAAATATAAAGATAAAATGTAAAAGAATATAATAATAGTATTAATAAAGAGATGTTAAAACGAAGTATAAAATAAGAAATTAAATAACTACTAAAAGACAAGCTGTTTAAGAAAAAGGGAAAGTGGTGATATGAATAGGCAAAATAACGCAAGAGGAGCAAGTTTGTTTTGGAGATATAGCTGAATATAAGTCACGATGAAAAGGTGTGCTATACGTATATGCAAGAATCTGGGAAAGAACCTGGAAAAGGAAAATGGAAGAGGTATGTAAAAAGGGGTAAAGATGTCAGAAAGGAGAATATATGCGGAGAAATAAAATAGAGGTGATAATAACTAAAATGGGTAAAAATGTGATTCTAAAGAGAGTGTGATATTATGTAAAAGTGATTATATGAAAAGAATATATGTGAAAAAATAGGAGAAAATATGATCGGGTGGGCGAAGTTTGGAGAACACACAACACCCGTGTCAATATATAGATATTTCACAGAAAGTTAAATAAGATGGTCCCAGAAATGATATGTATTTTTTGACTTCGCAATTATCAAAGCATTAAATATCTGATTCGCCTATTTTAAACTTGCAACCATTGATGGTATCAAACATAATACATTTATATGCAAGAATATTCTTTCTGTAATTGGTAAAGATAATGATTAATTTGGAAACAAGGCAATAAAGCTACAACATTTTGTCATTACTGCTCTCTAACTTATACTTGTTAATAGTCATCTTCTAGATGAACTTCCAATACATTAAACTCGCAAATAATCAGACAGAACTAAAAAAAGTCTCTCTTCTTCTATGCTGCTCTCTATATCATAGGTCGACAAAAGGCAACTCCTTTAAAAAATTAAGCCTCCCAAAACGCCCAACAAAAAATCTTGGCCAAACAGAGAAATTCATTCTTACAGGATTATAGCTAAGTAAAAGGATGCCCGATGCTAAGATCATATGATATCACTGCTACTGGGTATTGGATATACTATTGCTCTAATATTAATATTCATATTCATGCCGAGCTTTGTAAAAAAAAAAGTGTACCAACTCCATCTCTTCAGAGTACCCTACAGAGAATGTGATGGCAGGATATACCATGAATAAAACTGCGTCCAGCAAGCAGCAGTGTGTGACCTTACTATCCCTTTTTTTAAAATATATAAATATTGAGTGTTTCAAAATGAACTAACATTAAATACTGTCAACAATTCTATAAGCGTTGGCTAACTTTTACCTAGAACTTTGCAGATGTAACATACGAAGCAAGTCGAAGGGTAATTTGCTTTCACTAAAAGTTGCTTGTGATTAAATGCAAAATGTTTACATACTAAATTAGATTTTTGAGAAAGAAAGATGTACCCAGGATTCATTATATTATATAACTTTGACATTAATAGATACAGATCATCACACTAGCATAGCAAACTTTCTAGTGTCCCCTTGCTTACCTTATATTAATCATCTTGAGCAGCATTTGGCAAGATTAGCAAAGAGCATGACCAGCTGCATAGATCTTTGCTTGTGTCCCACCAAAATTCCTTTAGTAGAAATTATTTTTAATTTCAATTAATTTCTTCATGATACCTGTAGTTTTTTGTGGGACTAAAAGGTCGAAAGCTTTCTGTCAGATATAGTTTAACCTAAAACAATTATAAAGCGAATGTTAGTAGTATATTGCTTTCACTTCCAATGTCAAAACATGTACAGCTGAAGCACTTATCACATATCACATGTGAACGGGCAGAAAATCTTGCAGTGGCTCCATGGTTAAAAAAAAGCCCCCTCACAGTAAACATTCTCTAATAACCAAGTATATTAAAGGAAAAAAAAGCTTTAAGAAACCAAGACGTAATGGCCATGAAAGATTATGTTTCCTCATAAAAAGGAATTTTTTATTTATTTATGAATAAACACAACTTATATACAGACTTAAAATATTTCTACACGTTTCCTATTATCAAATTTATTATCTTCTCTTGTTCCGTACCTGACATACCACAACGTCTTTTCCTAACCCAGGGGGAGTCCAATTACAGAATAACCAGTGAATTTGGCGTGATCTATAACGAACTTCGTAATAGTACCACTGTCAGCAATAAATGGACCACAGGCGAATCCTGTTTGGTACGAGGATACGATGGATCTAGCAGCCTTAACCATGCGTGCGTTGAGCAGCTAAGTAAAATCCTTGGCATCGGAATTGGCCAAGGTAATTGGTCACTAATTCTTCAAGGATGAAAGATCGCCTTTCTCTGGAAGCAAAAAAAAATATACGGGTCGGCAAGACAACGGGAATTGGTCACTCGCGAGAACAACATTGTACACTTGGGACAGCAAGATAGAGAATAAAGGATGGTTGAAGACAGATCGGAGAATCTCATATGGGGGCTTTCAGGACCTGGAATACCCTTCCTGGTAGATTACAGCATTCTCCTTGTATATTATTCATAGAAAATGTGGTGGGCAATGTGGGACGTGTGGTATTTGAGAGACAAATGCCGAGGGGTAGGTGGTAAAGTAGATCGTCTAATTCAGTCTTATCTATTTTTTTCTGGTATGCAAAGAATTTTATAGAATGCAGCAGTTGCCTTAGTTATATCATTAGGCTCAGTATGCGAGTAGTCGATAATATAGTGGCATAACTGGGTAATAATCTTTCGGGATTCTCACTTTACACCTGTACGCTTAAGGTATCTTGCGGAGATTTCACGATTCTCCTGTCAATGTTTGATATCATGAAGGGAAAGGATTTCCATTCTCTCCAATTGGACTTGTTGTAACTGCCTTTCAATGATGGGCAGTTAAACATTTTGGGCTGGTTGTTGTCTAAGAGCATCTTCAGCAGTAAAATGTCTTTTAATTTATCTAAAGTCAAACACCATTATTTTAGCTAAAGAAAAAGGGACCATCTTTTATATTCAAAGTGAATATAATTGAACTGATGGGAAGACCAACTTTAGTTAAATCTTTAAATTTAACGTAAAGGTGGAGATAAAGTGGACTGCTGAAGATGGTCTAAGCTTGTAGATCAATTTGTCACATTTGCTTTGGAGTATGGTCTCCAATGTGACGAGTGTCTGAATGCGATGCCTAGTGGAGGACTTGATGAAGGTAGTTAGTTTTCGCGTGAAATTGTATATAAAGTATCCGCTGGAGAGGTTCAGTATTGGCATGGGTTCCTTAAAGTGCTAGTAAATCTATTCCACAAAATCGAATATGCATTATAAATAGTGAGAGTGTTTGCGGTTGATACGTTTTAGCTAATCCATGCTAATTCATAGATATAATTTTTACCATAATTTTTTAGAGAGAGGGTTCTTTAATACCCTTCATAAGGTTGTCTTCACAACTTTCTTCAAAATAGTGCTTTTACTTCCTCCACGTCCTCGTTGGTGAGAGTAGGGTCATTTACAGGAATTATTTTTCTGTCGTTCAAATTTTTTTGCTAGCATAATGTGAAACTTAGGTGAAAAAGTGCTTTTTTTTTTTACCAGAAACAGTTTTTGTCCAGTTAGCAGGATTGTATTGGGATCCTGTTGAAGAGAGTGTAGGGTTGCAAAGAGCATAGAAATTGACAGAAGTAAAGGAAGGGGGGTAATTGCCTTTGCAGTTGTACCAGAAGAGCAACTGACAGTGGAGTAGGTGGTGGTAGTCTAATGGGAGACTCGGAGGTTCAGCAACCTTGGGATCCTGTTTAAACAAGTTATCAATTTTGACAGCGCGTGGGAATTTTAAGCAAAGATGATCAACCTGGTGACAGCCATAGCAGAAACGTATTTTATTAGGTCGACTAGTGCAAATATATTGGTAATGCTCCATAGTCTGACAGAGAGCGCAGTGGGTTCTCATGTTGATTCAACTGGCCAACAATGTTGTGCCACCGTCAGACTCCATTTTAAAACGAAGAGAAAAGTGGACACCTTTCTCATATAGAGGCCGCTTCACGTATGCGTGTCCACTTTTATACATGAGCCCTAACGTGGTGTTAAAAGAAATATCAAGTACATACCATATTTTGGGAGAGAAACGCGCAGTTTGGTATTTCAGGTAGCATAATCTTGTGGGAAATATCTAGTGAGCTTTTACAAAACCAGCTTAAATAGTTTGAAGGGGGCGTATGGTGAGTTGGCTATGTGGTGTAAATTTCTAACGCGGTGACAAGAAATAAATACGAGTAGAAAGACAGTTTATTTAAAGAGCCAATAAAAAAAGTTATTCAACTATTTCGAGTTATTTATACACCTATAGTACTACTTCAAAGTTCACTGCAACGAGCGATACAAAAAATACTGGTATATAAACTCTACCGGGACAATTTGAACATACGTATTTTCAATTATATTCATATTTTATTTGTATCGTATAATAAAAACTGCTTTCTGACATTTATAGTCCTATCAGAAGTCTCTCTCGCATACATAAAAAGGGTAGTGTTAGTAAAGTCATATTCATAATTAACTATTAACTTACCGATATCTTCTTCCACCAGTATTACAGCCGTTAATCACATTACATTACATCGTATCGTATCGTATCGTATCGTATCGTATTGTATCGTATCGTAAAGACTTGCTGTTCGGATAGTTATACTCATATCAGAGATTTCTCGTGCATAAAGAAAAGAAATGGTGTTAGTATAGTCGTGGTCATAATAAACTATTTACTTACCAATATTTTCGACCACCAGTATTCCAGCCCTAATTACCATCCCATTCCATCCCACCGTATCGTACCGTAAACGTATCGTAACCGTACCGTATCCTATCCTATCACATCGTAATCGTCGTCATAACCGTCGTCGTCGTAACCATCGTAATCGTCGTAATCGTCGTAATCGTCGTAATCGTCGTAATCGTCGTAATCGTCGTCGTGTCGTCGTCATCATTGTTGTCGCAATCGCGGTAATCGTGGTAATCATGTCGTTTTCGTCTTCGTCGTCGTCTTCGTCGTCTTCGTCGTCTTTGTCGTGGTGGTAAGATTTGCTGTTCAGATTGGTATACGCATATAAAAGGTGTCTGGCGTGGGAAAAACAGAGGGTACTTATATAGATATGTGTAAATATAACTCTCTACTCACCTATCTGGCTTAACATGAATATATGTGGTGTATTTGCTGCATTATCATTCTTAACTATTTAAATCTGCTTTTGGGATAACTGTGACTGTATTACAGCTATGAGTGTTCTATAATAAATTGGCGGCGTTAGTTCTTCTCATTTTAATATTTTTGGTACTATTTTGTTTTGTATGTCCTTACCACTTTACTGTGTAGGGCTATGAACAAGTTTTTTTTAAACAATTAATTTTAAAACAGTTAAGTTTTAACAGTAATGTATATATCATTCTAATGGTTGAGAAAATAATATTACCGGTGTAAAGGTTGTGGTTAAAAATGTAGATATACTGTGTTCATATTGTGTTTTGAGGATGTGTATATTACAGACTATCATTCTTATGTTAATAGTTATAATGTGAACGGAGAAATACTTGTACTAGCAACCGATGCTTTTGATATGTCTCATACCCGTGTTTTTTGATGGAATGATAATATATAAGTATTAAAGAGCATCGGGATTTTTCTTATGTTCTTCACTTTTTTGTTGAGGTCCGTGTATGGGAGCCAAAGGCAAGGTATAAAAGCACAAAGAGTATTTTTTGATGCCAAGCATATAACTTACTTTATGGTGTGGCAAGAATAACCGCTTTTTAAAATAGGAAGACTGTAAAGCGCGTAAAATATATTTGAAGTCGTAAAGTGCTTACGTTGCTATAATAGTCTGTAGGAAATACCTACTGTATAGGTAGTGCTTTTTGAGGGTATACAAAAGATATAACTTCCCTGTGAAAGCAGGATGTCAAGCTTACTGTGTAAAAATTGAAAAGGATGAGAGGAAGAAAGAAAAGAGTAAATTTATAGAAAATAATAACTTACCTTTGAGAGCATGATGTCAAACTTACCGTGTCAAAATGAAAAGGAAGAGAGGAAGAAAGAAAAGAGGAAACTTGAGAAAACGAGTAAATTTATAGAAAATAAAATGGGAATGTAGGCTGAGTAGTGATAGAAACATAAATGCACTAGTTGTTTTTTTTGCTTATCAAATTCCTTGCTGATTCCGTTGATATGCATATGATATACATGCCTTTGTTATTTGTTTTTATCCTTTACTTACTATATTTAGTATGAGTGACATACTTATCAAAACTACTTTTAAATACTCCATAGACTGAACATAACTATTTTTTTATAAGGACTACTACTCCTATGGCTTTTTTAATGGCGGTAGTGTGTAAGAACTGAGGTTTTTTTATATTCTATACCTCTTTGTCATTTTGACTTTTATATTTATGATATACTTGTCTAAACGTTGCAAGGACATCATATAGGGGGTGTTCAGAATCTTGCAACTGATAATGCTGTGTAACATTAGAAACAGGAAAATTGGCTTTTGTTTACTAAATTTTTAAAGCATGTGAACCAATAAATATATAATAAGCCTTCTATGGTTTTTCACTTCTTTTAAAGTGAAATACAATATATAGATTTATGTGTGTGTATTTATGTGAACATAGAAGGCCACTAGGCATAGTGACAAAATATATCTCTGCCTTGGCTCTATAAATTATAACACACTGAAAAAAAAGTATCACTGCTTTATTTCAAGAACTTTTTAATCTTACACATAAAACACTATGGGAAATAAGGGGTAATTTAGATAACGCTTTAGAAAGATGCTTGTGATATTTTTCAAAATTTCCCTCGGATTCTTCCTCTTTTCATGATAATACTTTCATTGTTTTCTGCTCTTTTCCATTATTACACTATCTACCAGCTTAGTAGCTAGCTTTGCTTTTAGAAAAGTACTTCAGTATAAAGTAGACAAAGTGCAATGAGAAATTCTTTATTACCCAAGTCAACTTATCCATCCTTATTCTGACACGCCTTTTTTCTTTATAGCTCCTGACCCCTTAGATTTTTATTATCGCTGTTTTCCGGTATGCTTATTTTGGATTATACTATGCATATATTATCTGCAGTTTTTTTTTTATATATTGCTACTAAAAAGACTCAAATTCCACAAAATACTTCCCTCTTATTTTACTAATAATAGTTATATGCTATATAATGACGTGTAACCACTTGTTAATGTTAGATGCTAGCAAAAGAAAAGCAATCGAAGAGTTTTTGGTGTATTTCTAATTCCATTTCTTATGTTCTTAGTTTTTCTCTTCTATAAATTTACCCTCGCATATCAGTTCAGTATTATTCAATATTAAGATCATTTTAGTCGACTTCAATTTGATTTATTTCTCATACTCTAAATGTTGTTGTAAGCTTGAATGTCTAACTATAAATTTTTTTTAGAAAATATTTCAGTATGATGTAAACGCGTTGCGTATAATATATATTAAGTGGTACTACTTGTATATCATTACTTTACACGCTTGAAATCAATCAAATAATAAGATAGTGAGACATGCTGTGATAGCCTGTGTAGTGGGAGTGGATTTTTTTAGAATATACAGATAAAAATAAATAAAACGTAGTCAGGTTAACACTCGCAGCCCTTGTTACAAGTAGCTGTGCTATTAAGATAAAGATGAGAAGAAGAAATTTATATATACTTTATGGATAGTTTTTATTCATTTAATTATATTTGTTTATGAATTTTTCTAGGATACTATTAATAACTTTGATAAGAATAAGTGATAATTTATGCATTATTAAAGAAATAATAATAAAAAAATTAAAAGAGAATAGGAAGGTGGTTATGTAGTTACTACAAACTGGTCATGTAAGAAGAAGTAATATGATAGTAGCCGACATACGGAATCTGTCCAAAGTTCGACTGTGTCAGCGACAACCTATTATTTAAGCATTTAAGCTTGTAAAGCAGCTTTAAGATAATTATACGCCCAATACATAGATAAATTTAGTAAAAAAAAAAAGACTTTTTTTTTCGACTGTAAGACGATAAAATTCTGTTTTATTAGAATACAATTTATTAGATTCTGCTTTATTCCAAAGTATATGTAAAAAAATATTATTACCATTGATACTTTGCGTGTGTCTTCAAAATTTTGGTTAGCTCAAACATATCATATATTTCCAAACTAATAAAATTCTGCCCTTAGGAAGAGAGTGATTGTTGTAGTTGGTACAGCAATCAAATAAAAATTGTAAGTCTTGTAACAATAAACTCCAACAGTGTTTATCTGTTTCCATTTCTCTCTCTTATTCATTATTAACTACCTAAAGAGCCATGGTTTATACTGACAACTTAGTAATAGGTTAGTTATATTTCATTATTTTATTTATTATCATAGTAAGTTTGCATATAAGAACATAGAAAAATGAAAGCAGTAAATATTAACCTTACTTATCGCTTCTGTTCTCCTTTTTACCTTTCATAAAAGAGCAAACTTTCAGGTGTCAATATTTGGGGTTAAGACGTTTTTAGAGGAGACCGAGATCCGTTCTATTTTTCTTTTAGCTGCTTGAACCACTTTATCACGTAAGCCAACACTATTAGTCTCACCATTTTTTATAAAGTTTACTCACAGAATATAATTATATTACTCTTTAGCTTCATATAGTTTGTTGCTTCTGTCTTTTTCTTTCAAAAAATGTCATATTTTATAGTGGCTGGCTTATAGCTTCTTATCACTAATGTTAAATAGTATATAAATTATCTGTAGTCATTCAAAGCGAGAAATTAAAGAAAACACCTACAAACTGAAAGAAAAATTTCTAGATTTTGAAACATACTGATGAGAAAAACAAATGAGTATTTTATTTCTTATTTTTTATATTCTACACAGTGGATAATATCCACAATTGTCTCTTGTATCGCTCATCACAATTAAATTAGAAGTAGTGACGAAGCTGTAGAAAGAATAAAGTATTAAAATAGCCTTTTTTTATTTGTTCTTTAATAAAATTGCCTTTCGACTTGTATTCATTTTCTTGTCACTGAGTTAGACGTTTGCACCATATATAGTGGTCCCTCGATAATTTTAAGGCTCTGGCTGCCCTTCTTCTAAAAACAGGGCTAAACTTTCACAGCTTGTTAATTTCACTTTCTTGATAACTTTTGTCCTCAAACCCTTAACGAGCAAGAATTTCAGCCAATCAAGTTATGATAATACTTAACTGCCAACTTTTTTTTCCTTTGTATATAGTAGGTATTTCCAACAAAGCATGCTTTGAGACTCCCACTACCTTCATCGGAGAATATATAATTCGTACTCATTAATTTCATTCTTCAATATTTTCAAGGCACTTAGTCCCAGCCTTGGCCTTGAAATTATCAAGGGACCACTGTAACCAACCCACCGCGTGTCACTTTTTTCTGTGGGTCAAGAAAATTATAAACACATATTGGCTTATATTATGATTCTTAAAATAATGTGAGACTAGTTAAGAAAAAAAGGGGTTAAGAATATTATATGGTATAAGTAGTAGAAGCAAGATCGAGAATAAAAAATGGGAAAATGAAAGCTTTATAGAGAATTTGTATTGTGTTCTGAGTGAGAATTGAAAAAAAGGATAGTATCTGATAATTTGAGAATAGCATCCACCGATATCAAAATATAACAATTTAAAACATTTTAAATATGAAAAAAAAACAGGCTGTATGTGCGATAGTCATAATAAGTTGCTTTATTTTTTATGAGATTTGATATAGTGTTATTTGGGTTAACTGGAGGTTGCAAAAAATGTGTGATTCGTTCAAAGGTTGATGTATTTTATGGATAAGTTGGATATTGCAATGGCGCCCGGGTCGCTTAAAGATTGGTTCTATTGACTTTTATGATAGAATTGTAGATTGAGATTTTAGTACCCTAGCTATTACAGCTCTAGACATATTTACATAATCAGATAATCACAGATTTAAGGTTGTTGGACTTCCCACTGAAATGAAGAACTGTTTAACAAAAGAAGATCATTTAGATCAAAATGGCGAATTAAACGCTCAAAATCAGGTATATCTCCAAACGAGTTAAGCAAAAGAATCTTATGCGCATAAGTAGTCTGAACGAGTATAGTAATATCCACAATATAAGCTTTATTTGACTTTGATTGCTCAAATATTGATTAAAAGGTTCATTTCTTTCACTTGAAAAAAAAAACACACACACACAAGCACGTATTATAGCAGAAAATTAGCTATAAATCCAAATCAATAAAGCAATGTATACTTACATTATTAGGTAACTTTATGCGGCACATTGAGATCCACAATTAAAACGTTGTTTGATAGTAAGTACTCAAATATTGATCAAAATGGCTTGTTTTTTCACTATAAAACCATTTACTAATTCATTTTGGGCTATTTGCACCAAAAAGTCCATATACGATGCCAACTTTCCTTCAGGGCGTGCACCTCAAAAAAATGAAAATTTTGTTTTTTTTATTAAGTAAAGTTGTGTAAAAAGACAATCAATAGCGTTCAGTACTTTTTTGACCAAAAACAGACAAATATTCATGGAGATATCAATATATTTAAAAATGAATACATCGCTATTTTCACCACCAAAGGATATCATTTTTAAACCGCCGAAAACAAAAGTGTGTGGCCCAAAGAACTCATCTCACTGCGAATGGCAGGAATATCCTTCTCCTTGAGTGTTAACTTTAAGAAAATATGCTGCTACAGGATTAAGTGAATCCTAAACACTTGTCTAAGCAAAGATATTCATATGAAGAAGGCAAAACCAAAAACGAGAATATGTGTATTATACAGTCCAGGATAAAGCTAGCTTTTTCAATCTTCAGATTGAAAAGTCCATGAGTGCACCAGCTGCAGCGAAGGGGAGCTTTAAGGACATGCAAAAAAAAATTATGATTGGACATGTAAAAGAGGGCCAATGTTAAGGACATGCAAAAGAGACAAAAATGAAGGGGATCTATATGGACATGCAAAAAAAGACCAAAAGGGAGAATTAAACGTGACGTCACTTGTAATTGGCCTTTGGGAGTGTTACCGACAAATTGAGCACTGATAAGACATGCAAAACAACCAAATTGAAGAATTAAACGTGACGTCACCTATAATTGACTTTTAGGAGTGTTACCAGCAAATTGGACACTGATAAGACATGCAAAAGCGAGCAAATTGAAGAACTAGACGTGACATCACATATAATTAGTTTTGCACGTTACATGCATTTTTTTGGGGGGTCAGCCTTGATGTTTGTTAAATGTTTCAAAATTAATGTTGATTGTAAAAATATAAAAAATGATAATGAGATAGATATAAAGATAAAAATGGAAGATTGTAAAGAAGATAAATATAGAAATATAGATAAATAGAAAGATAATAATAAATTGAATAGAGACGGAAGGGAATATTGATAATAGAGATAAATATAGAATCTAAAAAGTAAAAAAAAAATCTAAAAAAGATATATACGAAAAGTTAGTATAATTCAAGATAATTCTAGTTTAAAAGCCATACCTTGATTGTTAATACATCAAAGAATAATCTTCAAGGCCATGTTTTTGAATTATTCGTTTATGAAAGGGGTTGATTTTTGGCCAGCAGAAATTTCGAGTGTTTTTGCGCTTGGCAAGAAGAAAGTGGTTTACATCTAAGATAATAATTATCGGTTCCACTTTTTCTGGCAAGGTAGCAAATGGAACAAAAAGACAGTCGCCTGTTTCAATTGGAGTATTCCAATATACAGCCACTGCTCTGCTAAATGTATCGGCTACAAGTTGAGGATGGTCGATTGTACCGAACCAATGTTGCTGGGGGAGAGGTGAGCGCTTGTCTTGGAGACTGCGAATTAGTGGGTTATTGGATGCAGGCATATTGCCATGCTCCATTCTTCCGTGGTAGTAGTTGTTTTGGTGCTTTAAAAATGTTTCTAGCATTTTGTCTTTTACTTTTGACCACTCCTCCTGGTCCTGGTACACTTCCATTGCTATCGCCCTGTACCCACAATTTCCGTCTGCTTCAGGAGAAAAGATTGTTGATATATGTTTTGGTGCGATTGTGAGATTTGTTAGTAATGTGGGATCGCATGGTGACCCAAGGTTGATAATATTTTTTATGGCTTTTTGCTCTTTAGCTGAGGATATTTTTTGCCTAGAAAACAAAGCAAAGATTTAGTAAATTAAATCTAAACAATATTAAAATCTTACTTTTTTTATTCTTTTTCTGTTTTAATTTTTTTTGTGATTTTTTCTTTTTCGGTATTGATGCAATGCTCTAATGCAATCATCTTGCGCTTGGTATTTTTTTGGTCGGCCTTTAATGGCTTCAACTACTGTTGGGCCCTTAAGGTTTTCGAGTTTCTGTGCGTCGATTTGTTTCAAAGTTTTTTCTATCAATTGGTATATATTGATTTGTTCTTGTTCGCTCTGAGCATTGGCGAAATGTTCGCAAATAAGCTCAAGAGCATAGTTGAATTCTGGGGTTATTGGTTTGATATTGTTGATGTTTGGGGGTACTGGGGTTGCATTTTGGATAGTTAAATGGTCTACATAATAAAATGTTATATGAGAAAATCGTCACGTAATTATTGCTATTATTATATATATTACTTTCTCCTTCTAGATAGTTTTTTCTCCAGCGTCTTGGGATGCAGGAGATTGGGATGGTATCGAATTTGGCGAGTGTGTGGTAACAAGGAAGCAGGTAGTTGTATTGTATGAGGCATTTGCACTCTTTGGCTAGTTTTTCGGGTATAATGGATTTGGATAATTCTAATTTGATTTGATCCATTGCAAATCTACAGACTTTAAGACGGATGTCATTTAGTCTGGTGGCATTGACTTTATTGAACACAATTTTTGTTCCTTCTCCAAGGCTTTCTACCATTAGCCGATGCTTGCGATCTGCAACCTGTACAATTTATAAATATATTATAACCAATAAATGCATAAAATAGTATAGAATAAACTTACCAACTCGTCATACCACTTTTTTACTTTAAGGGTAACTGTCTTCAGTTTACCCGAGGAAGTACCAAGAGAATGCTTGAGAGAAGCATGGGCACTTTCTGCACGGTTCGACATGCGATTGCCAAAATGGGCATGTTTGTAAACATACATGTTCACCCAGTTTTCCTTGTCTTTCATTTTTCTGATAAAGTATATTAAAAAAATACGATTTTTTATAGTTAAATACTGTTTACATCAAATTTAAAAAATTTATACGTACTTCTCAAGAAAAGCACTAGCAGCTTTTCCCTGGTCCTTGCAATTTTCCTTTGCAAATTCAAGGTATCCATTTGTTTCGTTTTTTTACTTCTTGATGTGTAATGCATTTTAAAGCAATTCGGTCAAGGAATTCTGACAGCTTATCCAACAGGTCTCTCTTTTCGCTACTCTCGTCTCCCTTCATCATCGGAAGTAATTGCTTTTTAAAGTTGTCTTTGATATGCTTATAGCACAACAACTGCTTCGACTCAGGAAAGACTCGAGTAATAGCATTTCTCAATGCTTTTTCATTGTCCGTGATGAAAACATCTGGGAGAAGTGTTGTTTGTTTGTCGTTGCTGCTGTTGCTGTTGCTGTTGTTGTTGTTGTTGTTGTTGTTGTTGTTGTTGTTGTTGTTGTTGTTGTTGTTGTTGTTGTTGTTGTTGTCATCGGGCCAGACTGCATCGCGGAGACAGCTAAGCACCCAGAGATAATTTTCTTCTGTCTCATGCTCTACCCAAGCACCGGCAATTGGATACGTCTTTAAAGTGGTACGAGGGTTTCCACTCACATTGCTAGTACCAACAATGTTGACATAAGTCATTCGATGACTATTTGTCTTATATGTGGCATCAATAATGACAGTCTCAGGCATTCTTCGTGCCTCATTGATCGCATCCTGATGCACAAAGAAGACTATATTCACTTGATTGTCTTCTGTATTACCAACAGAATACCTGACATGGAAGTCAAGATCTTGCAGAGTGGTGATAAAGTCAAACATCTCCTTTCCTTTTTCCGATTTTCCGAAATGTTGCTTTATATTAGCAATGTCATGACAAACAACGTTTGTATATCCATTTATCTTCAAACTGTTGAAGATGGTGGATACATCGTCATTGTTCTCCAGATGCTTAACCACAAGCGCCATTGCCTCAGGTGAAAGCTTGCAGTGCATAGCATATGCTCTGCAGTCTTCTTCGATGGGGTGGTTATGCTCTGCCTCATGGGAGTGCACAGTAAGCTTTCCGCCCTTCTTGGTGTTGGCATACATGAAGCAAGGGCAGCCATGCTTCTGCGTGTCTTTTTCGCGCTTTCTCTCCCATCCAGGAAGAGTTTCACTCATAACTGATGTTTTGGAAGCAACCTTCTCGGCTTTTCTGGTATCTCTATATTCGCCAGAGTGCTTGCAAATCAATTTGATGCGAGAGCTTGATGCATATTCAGTAGTGAGAGCAATGTTATGCTTGACACCATATGCCTTGGCAGCTTCTCGAACAGCTACGACTGAAGAGAATTCTCTTCCAACAAGAAAAATTGAGTTGAACTCAGTCAAGGCAGCATTGTACTTCTTCGACGTCTCGCTAACAATGACAAAGTCTTTGGTGTTGTTGATGTTGTTAATGTTGCTCATGTTAAATGTCAAAAAAAATTATGTGCTGATGTTGTAGTAAAAAAGGGCAGTGATTTAATTGGCAATCTGGAGGGTAATTTATCTGATCCCCCCCCCCCCCCAAAAAAATGCGTCTAACATGAAAAAATAGTTTTCAATGACGTTGCATATATTCTCAGTTTTGACTTTCTAGCCTGTCCTGTTAGTATCTTTCCAGCTTGTCCGTAAATTTTCCCCTTCAGTTAAGATGCGCTTACGACCTACTTTTCTTTACAGCTTTCAAAAAATACTATCAGGGCACGCATAGTACTGTCCTTTTCTGAAATTTACCTTGTAACTTTGTTATATATATGTATCACTGACTATGAAAAATGTGTGAATTTTATAAATTGTATATAGAACTTCTTTAAAAGTCTACTTCACTATAAAGTATTTTTAGAATAACCTCTGAGAGCTTAAAGGTTTGTGTGATACAATATGTCATCTAATATATGGTATTCTTTGTTTTTCTAAAAAAAAATGAAAGAAATATATATATTACCATTACTACTATTGCAAGATAACACTTCTTTTAATACCCATAAATGTTGATTAATGCTAAAAGGGGGAGTCCATAACACACATTAGATACCAGATTGGGATTTTATAGGAACCCGCCAAAGAATAAAGAAAGATAAAGATATACTAAACGGACAGGTTTGATAATCTCTTTTGGTCTCACAACTGATAATCCGTATTGATGTCAAGAATAATAAGTTTGCCACGCTACTTGCTTAATTATCTCCAAATCATACTTCTTTACATCTGCCATTCGATCTTAGTCCACCTCTCTTGCTCAACTCGAGTGAAAAATATCAAGGGCAAGAAATGCACGTGCAAATTCAGATGTGGCTATTAATGCAAATGCAAGCATAAACGTAATATATATAAACATAAACATAAACGTAAACGTAAACGTAAACAGTTAATTTATAATGTGTTCAGTAAAATATAATAGGTTTGCATAATTAGTCATACGGATTATAGTGTTTTGAAGAGCCTATTGTGATTTCACATTCATTCAATAATTCGATTAACTAAATTGATACTCTTTCAATGTTTACAACATTTTATTAGTCTTATTATTATCTATACTGTTGCACGAAATATAGAGGCTTATTTTATTCAACAGTTGAATAAGATTTTTGCTTCTTCAGGTATAGTACATCTCGGAAAAATAATGAGTGCATTCGAATTATTAGTGTGCTCGATGTGAATTTGGTAAAAGAACCAAGAGAAAGAGAAAAAAGTAGATTTGTTTATCAATGCTGGCCACAGTATAGAGTTCTGTAACCAATGGGGACTAAAGTTTCAAGTGAGAAATAACGAAAAGAGTCTGGTTTTAGTAGTAGCTATTAATATGATCTACCAAAAATAATAGAATAGAAAAGAAAGAAGCACACAAAACACACAAAACACATTTGCTCCCCCATTTTTATTATTGGTATTGATTTTTCTCCCCATTTCATTCCCTCCTTGTATAACCCAAACGATGGTGATAAGGCCTTATTGTTCTGTAATTTGTATATCTTAAAGGGTTGTACCTTTGTAGGTTATATAATTCGCTTACAGAAGCTGTCGAGAATTCAATTTCATAACCATATTAAGAAACGTGGAGATAAGAGCCAATAAAGAAAAGGAGAATTATATTACATTACATTACAAAAGATGAGATACATGTTACAAGGTATAAAATTTATATATATATATAAATGATAATACAATAGATTGCTTTTTATTGACATGTACACATCAGTTTAGAGATAAAGCCACAGACATTGTTCCTTTTTGGATAGAGATCATTTGATGGTAATACCATCATGAGTATTACCAAACCTTTATATTTATTCACAAACATATACACAAAAAAAGAAAGTGTTTCTCAATGAGGTCAATGTTATCACAGATAATCATGAATCAAATGCGCCTTTACTATTTACACCTGTTCAACAGATAGACATATATGTATGTATTTTAGATTTGAGATTTGAGATTTGAAATTTTAGATTTCGTTTGTGGTTATACAAAGTTGTACAAAGGATTATGATTATGTTCTATAATAAATATACCGGAAAACCAATTGGTTTTATGTTAATGTCAACATGATTGTCCTTTAGATAACAACTGATTCTTTACAAAGTCCTACATGTTTATACTACATACCTACGTACATTAAATTTATATAATTTTTATAGACGCTCTTCTTTTGGTAGCTAAATATATCCATATATTACACAGAAAATATTTTATAGAGATTTGCTTTATTTATTCAAGATCTATATAAATTATATTTTTGGTTAAAGAAAATATATCAGATCTTTTGGAAATGCTTTGAGATTCAGACAAAAGCATGATCATTGTTGTGAATTATTTCGCACACACAAACACGCACACGCACACGCACACGCACATATATATATGCATAATTATTAACACTTTTTACAAGCATTTCTATTGATTTATTGATAGCACATTCCATTCCTCTTTTTGAAAGTTTTGTAAAACTTGGAGTCTTTTTTAGAGATGGCTAGATAAAGAGAAAGAGAGAGAGGTAGTCTGTGCAATACTTAATTATTCTCAATATTCTTATTGTTCTTGTTGTTGTTGCTTGGGTTGGAACCATAAAATATCGTGTTCATGCTTTCTTCTTCTTATACATTTACATATAAAGGATGCGCTTTTATTTACTATTTTCCAAGACAACCAAACCTTTTCATTACTATTTTTTTTGTGTTGAGCAAGTAAACTTAAACTTTATATATATATATATATATATATATTCATCATAATGGATAAATGTAAAGAAGCATATTTGGTTTGTTCTACACTATAATTCAACATTCATTGCTATAATGCATTATAATACAGTTCTTGTTCAATTAGATTTAAAAGAGAGAACTTCCTAGTAATAATAATAATGTTAACAGATACAATAATGAGTAAATGAGTAAATGAGTAAGTGAGTGAGTGGAAAATAATGTAATGAAATTTAATGCAATCCGATCCAGTTCAGTGTATTACAAAAATGGAAATGATTTGTAAAGATGGACTGCTCAGAACACTGCACTCGACTTCACACCGTGACTTGCTTTCAGGCAATTTTACAACCCTTTTGAAGAAATAATCCAGAGCAAAAAAAAAAAAAAAAAGAAGAAAGGAAAGAAAAAAAACCCAGCTGTGTGCTGTGCAAGTTTTCGATACGATGACCGCAGGGGCAATCGAAGCAGTGCTACGATATGCCTATGTTCATGGGTATTCCTGCGAGCAAGTGAGTTGGTCATTTGCTTGACCATTTGACTTGTATCTTCAGAATGATGACATTTAATATGCTTTCACTCACCATCTAAATTTGTCGATTTATTTTCTCTCTCTCTCTTTTTTTTCTTCTTCTCTTTTTTTCTTTATATATACCTAATTAAGTGGGCAGAACCCACAAGGCAATGCTTTCAAAGAGTAGATCACAAACTTGACAAAGAGCTGTGTGGTAACGTATTAAAAACCAATACCAACACCAACACCAACACCAAAAAAAAAGTCTAGACATATTTTGACATGACAATTGAATCTATCCGGGCGATTACCAATTACATTACATTATATTCATTTCTTTCTTTCTACGTATTATACATATATATAAAGATGTCTTATTAAACCAGATCTTTTGTCTCATACGTGTCGCCGATCCATTGTTGGAATCTTACTTGACCTTTGCAACCACCGGCCACAAAGATCTCACAAGTCCATTATTGCCTGGAGCATCTCTGCTGGATCCTATTTTTATTTCACCCAAGGTTCTTTTACAGTCGCTTGCGCAATACGTCGATAGTACCGCAGGACGTAATCCACGCCAATGGGCATATTTACTCCGGCTGGTGTCTGTATTATTAGCACCTTTGGATGCCGAAAAGATTGTGAATAGTGTCCACCAACAAAAGATTGTGGATTCAGACCAACCAAGCCAGGACGACTGGTTTGATGTGCTTGCGACTGTATTTGTGATGCTCTCGCGACTGGTGGCCGTAGGACTGGAGCACGAATCCAGAGACCGGGAACCAAAGCCAGGACCTCGCCTGGTTCGGTCCGCGATCTCATTTCAGCGCGGAAACACACAGCCTGGAGATATCTCAACAATCTGGCCCAGCAGCAGTAACTACCTGTCTTCGCAAACCTCGGCATATGATCCAGAGGCAACCATTGACGAAGACAGTTTTGGACACGAGGCTTTAGAAGAAGAAAAAGAACAGGATATCAAGTCATCAGCCAAGCGAAGGAGAACCGGAGCTGGAGATGGAATCGGGGCTGGAGCTAGAAATGGAAGTGGAAATGAAGAAGACGAAGACGAAGAAGACGAAGAGGAAAAGATTGAAAGGTCGAATGCCATCATGGCTTCTCAGATTATGATTGATCTGATTGAAAAGAAGAGTGCCAAGAGAATGTTTGAGGTCAGGCAAAACCAAAAGAGACAACATGGTCATGAATCTACAAGTGGTAAGACAACTAAAGAGAGAGAGAGAGAAAGAGAGAGAAAATGTTGGCTGATACATACAGAATGTAGAAGAACCATGGGCAACATGCCAAGAAATTCTGACAGGGCCGTCTCTCCATTCTTCTTCAAAAAAATCTGGAGTGGGATCTCTTCGCCAAAATCCCCATGTACAGAAATTACTTATCTTGATTGGGCGCTTAACAGATAGAAATTTGGAGAGGATGATGGCGGTACATATGAAGTATCACGAATTAGAAGATGAGGGAACTGCCAGAGCCATGCCAAGTGCAGGTCTTATGGGTCTATTGTATCATGTGGTAAAGTATTCACAATGATATTAATTATTATTTTTTGCTTTTTTTTTAAAAAAAAAAAAGATAAGTGAAATTAACTGTGGGACCAGGTACAAATAAGACCCACATTGGACGATGAAACAATTGTAGACCACTTGATAAAATTGCAAACAATCAAGGTAAGCCAGGCAGAAACATTTTTTTTATTGTATTCGGTGCGCGTGTATGTGAATTTGAATTTGAATATGAATTGTGCGACTCCTGTGCAATTTTACTTAAGAAAGGTATATTGTAGGGATCATTTGACGAGTCATTTTATCTTGAGCTATGGTTCACAGCCCTGACAGGTTTGAGGGAAGCTTCATTTGGCACAAGCTGCCAAACCCAGTCATTTGAATCAAAACTAGAGAAGAATACTGTTGACCGCAAAGAAAAGTCTTGCAACAATGCGATTGCTACAAACAGATTACTGTGGAGAAGTCTAGTGTTAGTCAAGGTAATTAATTTTTTTTATTTTTATTTTTGGTTTTGCATGAGTGAGACATTGAATAAAGCAAAGAATACAAGGGAAAGAAAGAAAGGTTACTGGTGGATGATTTATGGCTTACATCTTCTTATTATATATATATATTATTATTATAGTTGCCACATTTGATAAAAATGATGCAGAAAAAATCAGAGGCAAAAGCAAGCAGACGGCCGTGGAAGGAACATAAAGGAGGCTTTAAAGATGATGTGGTTGAAAAAGAGGTAAGATAAGATGGGATACCAAAGAAGTTAACAGCTAATATTAATATGCATTTATTTATTTATGTTTATTATTTGGTAGCTTAATCCATTGGAATCCTCTCTTCTTGAGCTTAAAGCATTTACTGGTCTGTTGAATGCCTGTAGTCCGCCTGCCTGTTGTTCAGATTTCTATGCACCGTCTTCCCAGTCTTCGGACCTGGTGGACAAGCTTGGACGTGGGTCGACAGAAGACGAGGACGATGCGTTGATGACCCTGATAAACACAATATCAGATGATTTTAATACGCCTACTGTTACCAAAGCAATTCGATCAATTAGCACCGAAAGTATTTTCTTGAATATGGTTCATGTCTGCGAAAGCTACGGGTTTATTCGACCTCATGTGGTACGAATCCTGTCCTGTTCATCTTCTGCTGCCGGTGGTAGTGGTAGTGCTACTGTTTCTTCTTCTGTTAATAAAACCGAATGTGACACCACAACTGATCTTATGGACACTGATATCCTGGACATGGACTCACCCCTGGGTAACAACAATAGCAACAGTAAGACCCACCGAAATCTAATGGAAGACCCAGAAGACTGTTCGATGGACAGTATCGAAATAATCCGACAGGTAAATGAAATAGACACAAAGACACAATGATGATGAGAATAAAGTGAACCTCTTGGTTTGCCAGCCCAAGAAAGAAAATAAAAAGAAGTGTGAATTCATTTGTTGTGTATTAAACTTTCTGTTTGTAAATAGAATATTGAAGCAAGAATGGAATCAATTCTGATCGAGTGCAGTATGACAGCAGTGCGAGAACTCTTGGAGATTTCGATAGTATCGCTTGTCCACCTCCGAAGAATTATTGATTTTTTGATTGATGTAAGTTAAGGGACCACTTTAAGCCAATCAGCCATTCTGAGTCTATAATCTCATCCCACTTTTTTCATTTTCAATTTCATTTTTGTGCTTGTGTTTCTGTGTTTTTACCACTATTACTACTGCTACTAATACTATTGTTATTGTTATTGTATATTTTCAGTTACTTCAACAGAAAGCTAGTTTAGGAGACATTGAGACAATAGCTCAGATCTGTAGTGCAATGAACGCATATCCATGTATAGTTGATCTGATAATCCAGCTCTATTCCCCCCTTGCGTTCATGGGACCGTTTGAGGAATTGTGTAATGGCTGGTCTCCTTCAGACAGTGGAATGTTTATTGACGAGGAAGAGGAGGTCAAGAGTGCCAAGAGTCTCTATAACGAATTTGGTACGATATGGATATTCGTGAGTTTTGTAGTTGACAGATTCAATGTAAGTAATAAATAAATAAATAAATTTAAACAGATGATGATAAATAGTAATGATGACGAGTGTTGTGGCGTGGTAAACTAATTGTTCAGTTTCTCTCTCTTTGTTCTTTCTTTGTCTTCCTCTTTGTTTAATTATTATATGTATTCTGGAATGAGTAGCTCATACGTGATCTGGATCGGGTATTTCGTGTCAGGGAAGGATTCTGCTACCAGTTCTTTTCACAAGGCCCAGTAGTGTACGGGATTGATGCTTCTGTTCCAGATATGGAGGTCTGGGTGAGCAAATGGCAGAATGCCCTGTTTGAAAATGATGTTACTGGTGAACTATTGAGGTAAGTCAAATCCAAACTAGACTCCAAAGCTCATAAAGATATAGGGAAATGACACCACAGAGATTGTTGGCTATTGGACCTACGATAATCAAACGAGTGATGATGTCTTTTGAAGAAGACGAGATGGGAGTGAGTCTGTTGCCTAGTGTGCTTGACTATTTGCAGGAGCCCTATCTGCATTTTACACTCGGACCAATTTTGATGCTGCTGTGTGATGAGCTTATGAGCACACAATACCGAACAGCGCTGATGTGTTTGGACCGACTGATTATTGAAGGGAACCTCCCTGAACTTCTGGTGCGACAATGCGGAGGAGTTATTTTGGGTTCACTGGAAAGTATAGCAGGAGAGAATCAGACTTATAACAATGGTGAGAATGATGCCGAAGAAAATGAAAGAAAACGTGCACGAATGAATCGGATTAAGACGAGGGTTGAGTCAATAATGGAGATTGAGGACAGTGATGCAAGGTTTCCGCCGACTGAGACGGTTACCACACGTGTCACTCGTCATTCGTTATTTTCCAAAACGCAGGAGATGTTCCGGGCGATCGTGAAGGGCGGACGGTCAATGTTTATGAGAGATATGGATGCAGACACACATGCGTTGTGGGATCAGTCCAAAGGCACAACTCAGATGGTAGCACACTATCTTGATATGGTTTTATTCCAGACAGCCTTGGAGATGGGAGGTCCGCGATGGTTTATTTCGATGATTGTACAAGAGGTTCTTGAGGCAGGCAAGAGTGGAGGTGCTGTTAGAGCCGGTAAGCAACAAAAAAATCATTCGTTTTTTTTTTTTTTTTTTTAAAATTTTTTTTTTTTTTTACACATTGGGTTGTTTAAACTAAATTGAGAAATAACTTTTTTTATTTATTTATTATTTTTATAGCTGAATTGGGATCATGCTTGATAGCCATTCCACTGTCATTTTCGTCGCATGGACACAATGGATGTGTATATTTACTCCAGTGTCTTTTGCAAGACATTCTTCCGTCCAGTCTTCGGCAGTCTGCAGCAAACAATGGGTCGTTCTTTCAAGGCCAGACACTTGGGGTTTTTACGAGCGACTGCCTTGTGCTGATGCATGGACGGCCATTGGATGACAAGCTAGATGACACTGATGACAGGATGGTTAGGGCACTTGGACGGATATTCCTCAACAGTCTTGGAATGGAAGGACATGAGACAAGCCAGCCAAGTGAGGCTGACGTGATGGAGTGTGGCCAGTTTGCAGAGTGGACTGGAGATATTACCAAGAGTGCGGTTTGGAGAGGGTTTATCAAGGGGTTAATGAGTAACCCATCGATCAATGATGCATGGCCAGATGCTTTTATTTATTGATAATAATATATTTATATATTGAAAACTTTAATTATCGGTTAATTCCGAAAAAAAAAGGTTTCTTTTTTTCTTTTTATATTATTTTGCACCAATCCAAATGCAGAAATAGCAAAAGAGCAAAAGAGCAAAAGACCAATAAGTAATATTTAGATATATAGTAATAGACTATAGTAATAGAGTAGAGTAGAATAGAAAGCAAGTCACATCAAGAAGTAATATATTATGCTATGCTATGCTATACCATACCATACTATGCTTATAATAATAATGGTAAGAATAAGAATAAGCATAAGAAATAATGAACCAAAAGAGTGTGGGAAATGGAAGTATCGGTTGATGATGCTGAGTAGACAGTCAACCGCGGTCTTTTTTTTTTTTTTTTTCTTTCTCTCTTTTCCATATATATATATATATATATATTGTATTGTATTATAAATTAATAATCATCATCATTATCAATACCATAAATATCCTCTTCATTTCTCCATGTAATCTTTTTTTTGTGCTTTTTTCTTTTCATTCCTTTTCTCTTTCTGCGAGGATATTCGGCTTCAAAGGCCATTATTAGGTCCCGGGTAAAAAAAGTAAAAAAAAAAATTAAAAAATTAAAATAATTTTGTTATCTATGTTTTGTTTGATCTTTTTTTTTTATATCTATTTTTCATCAACCGATCATTGGTTAAGATTAGGCTCAGCAAAAAAAAAAATACTAATAGATATCTGATTCTTATTGCTGCTTTTTTGTGTTGATACTGTTAGCAATTGCAATGGTATTAGCAGTAGTAGTATAGCTAAAAATTACTATGTGTATATATATATATATATACTTTTTATAAATATCTTTGATTTTTTTCTTTTTTTTTTTTTGCTGATAATCAATCAATTAATCAATCAATCAATCAATCAATCAATCAATTAATCAATTAATCAATTAATCGCTCACTCACTCACTCACTGACTCACTGACTCAGTTAGTTAGTCAGTAAAATCAAGTCAAGTCAAATAGAATAGAATAGAATAGAATGGAATGGAATGGGATTATAGAATATTGTACATGCAAGGTTATTAAGCACTTGAACTCATAGCACTGTATTATGGATATAGTGGTATGGTTTATGTGGATCTAATAAAGAAAGTAAAAGAGAAAGAAAGAGAGAAAGAAAGTATTAGATAGTTCAATTTTTTTTTATTGTTTAAAAGAAACAGACGTATCGTTAGTTTTGCATTTCGTACCATTTAAAGCAATCTGTACCTAATTTTCTGATTAAACAATTAACATTTTTAGACAGCTTATATACATATATATAATATAATATAATATTGTATTTGTATTTTTATGAGTGTGTGAGTGTAGTGTGTAAAGTGTACATACTTGGATACAGATATATAGATTTTTATATATAAATATATTAAAGATAAAGTGTGTGCATATATATATATATTTTATACTTTTATACATATATGTATATTTATATAGAATATAATATTACAATACAATACAATACAATACAATAGTATAATAAATATTTATGTACACAAAAAAAAAAAAAAGAAAAAAAAATTGTGCACAAATGAATGAAAAAATAAAACGAGGGTTAATCAGATTATCGATGGCGGAGTGATCTATTTTAAACATCCGTCCAAAAGTATTTTATAATAAGCTATATACAATCTGATGGAAGATCAAAAACGCCCCCCCTTTTTTTTATATTTTGTTATTTTTTTTTCGTTTTTTATCTGATTGTCGAATAATCCAGCCTGTCTTTTTTTTTTTTTTTTTTTTTTTTTTTTTGATTGCTATTATTGCTATTACTATTATTATTGTTATTATTTCTCTTTCATCTTCTTTTCTTTCCCCTTTTTGTTACAAGAAATATTTCTCTCTTGCTTGCTTTCTTTCCCCCCCCCCCCCCACAAATAATAGTATTTTTTATATATATAAATATAAATATAAATATAAATATATATTATATAATATAAAATAATACAGTACAATATAGAGAGAGAAAGGAAATATATTTATATAGGTTAAATAAATAAATAATAAAAGCAATGGCACTTTACCATCCAACATTTCCTCTCGACACATCCATCTCACGGTCATCAAGTCCATCGCAGGATGTCATCATTCAAGACCAGATGAAACCAAAGAAATCCAAAGATGTCTCGCCAAACGTGGTCTCAGCTACCCTGTGTGCAAACTGCGGCACAACAACAACCCCACTCTGGAGAAGGGCTCCCAACGGCGACACAATCTGTAACGCATGTGGACTCTATCTCAAAGCACGCAACACTCTCAGACCACCCACAATGAAAAGAAGTCTGGTCAGAAAAGACGGCTCCGGCACCAGTGACTGCGGCGGTGGTCCTGGAAACGGTGGCTCCTGTCCAGGTGGTGGCCGCTGCGATGGAACCGGTGGCTCTGCGTCCTGTGCAGGGTGCCCAGCATTCAACCAGCAGCAGGTCAACAAACAAACCCTCATGTGTGCAAACTGTCGCACCACCACAACCCCACTCTGGCGCCGAGACGAGGCTGGAAACACTATCTGCAATGCATGTGGTCTCTACTACAAACTGCACAACGTACACCGGCCTGTCAGCATGAAACGAAGCGTCATCAAACGTCGAAAACGAATCGCAATCAACGAAGGCATCAGCGATGAAGACATTGAACTCGAAGACCCACTCGCACTCACCTTAAAACAGACATCCATCGAACAAAAAGACAAGACCGAAAAAGCAGAGGATACAGCAGAGGATAAAGAGATGGGCATCAATACTAATACTAATTCTAATAACAATAACAATACTACCACCACCACCACCACCACCACCACCACTACGACTACGACTACGACTGACATGAACAACAATGAAACCATTGTCGTGCCTTCAAATCAGGACATTGGCTCAGAAACTCCTCTTCTGCCCTCTCCCGCTCGTCTGTCTGTCATTCGAAAACGTAAAGTAAAGGATACTGAAAAGAAAGAAAAACGTCCCCGCCACATGTCATCAACACAATCACAATCACAATCACAATCAAAATCAGGCTCTGGAATGAGCTGTGGCGTACCTGCCATAGAAGACTACATCATTCCAAAACGACTCGATGCCCCGCCCGTCATAGACCAGCCTAAGCCAATGACGCCTCCACCAGAAACCGAAGCCTGTCCGAGTGTCATGATCCATCATCAGCCCAGATCTTCCTTACAATCTTCATCACAACCCTTGCAAGATATCCTTACCCCAGCCAGCAATGCGCCACAGACTCCTCCAATGGTACAAGCAAGACATTTTGTATTGCCACCAATCGATCAAATCCAAATCCAAATCCAATCCAATTCACACTACCAGCACAATCAACAACAAAACCATTCTTCTCAAGAGTTACCCAGACATAGTCTATTCTTTGATGAACACATGTCATTGCCACCAATCTCTCTTGACCGTCAGGCAGTCAGACTCGAATCGTTCTTTGGCCGTCGTCGTTCATCGTCCTCATCTTCCTCATACTCCTTACCCCACCTGACTCTGCCTCCCGCTTCACCCAATCCGCCGTCCCCAACTCTTCTCTCTGGTCTCCGCCTCCCGTCCTCGTCTTTCACCACAGCCTCTGGCTCATCTTCTCCGATATCAACCCCTCTAGTCCGAGACTCTAGTCCAATCGAAGACCTCGAAAGTCTTGTGGACCGTCTGGATCGCGTTCGGAAACAAGCGCGACACGAACATTCGCATGCTCTTTCCCAAATCATTCAACTCCTTGGTCCAATTGTCACCCAGGCAGAAGCAGCAATTCATTCATAAAAAAAGAAAAAGAAAAAAAAATATACACACACAAGAAAAAACAAAACAAAACAAAACAAAACACCAAAAAAAAAAACACGTTTTATTTTTATTTTTATTTTTATTTTTATAATTTTACTTTCATATACACACTTTTTTTTTTTTTTTTTTTTCTGTCGATACCTCCCCCTCTATCTATCACTTTACTTTACTTTACTTAGTATCTTTCTACCTTTCATTGTAAACCATCTTCTTCTTTTCTTTAGCATTTATTGTTCTCTTTTCTTCTTCTTTCCTTTATATACATCATACAATACAATACAATACAATACAATACAATACAATACAACTCTCTCTCTTTCTTTTTTATATATATTATATATACATATATATAATACACACTCACACAATATATAACATGTAACATATACACCATACATATATGTATTATACTTTTTATTATACTTTTTATTATTATTTTTGATCTTAAAAGGGGTGTTCAAACAACTGAATCTTATTTTGAACAATTCTTTCTTTTTCTTAATTGATCACAAATACAATAACACACATTATTATTGCTTGGTTTGAAAGACCCTTTTTGTTTTTGGCTTTAATTGAGAGACTTGACTACTTCTTTAACTCCAAAATTCGCCCATCTTTTGTTTTTTGTTCTTAGTCTATGTCTATGTCTTTTGAGTTTTGTATAAATAATAGTAATGATGATTTGATTCGTTTAATTCGTTTAATTTGTTTTTTGTTTGTTTGTTTGTTTGTATGTATGTATATTATATTATATTATATATTTCCCTCTCTTTCTTTCTTTCTTTCTTTCTTTTCACTTTATTCCCCTTTTTGTTTTGTTCTTTACTGTCCAAAGTTAAAACCTCCCTGGGGTGCTCCCATCTGCTGGTACGAGAACTGGCCATTCTCCATCTCGGCTGCCATCTCACCCTGGTCTTCATCCTCGTCTAAGCTAAAGTACTTGTCGATCACATGATATGCCTTCTTGTAGATTTCTGCGTTCTTGTGGGACTGGAGGGCGTGGATGTAGTCAATACCATTGCACTCCTCGATCAGAAGCGCGTAGGGGTTCAGGCCATCGGCGGTGTGGGTCTTCTCCATCTCGCCGGCCTTCAGGATGTTCTCCAGACCGTCGAGCGCAACCATCGAGATCTTGTTGTCCATGGCGGTCAGGATATCGCACAGAGGCTTGATGCAGCCGTTCTGGACAAGGTACTTGATCTGTTCAGGACGGTTGAGTCCACCCGAGGTGGCGTTGCAGATCGCCCAGCAGGCCTCCTTCTTGGTCTTAAAATCACCGTAGGCCAGGATCTGGATGAGGGGTTGCATGATGCCGGCATCAATGATGGCCTGGATCTGGTTGGTGTTTCCGGCCGTGATGTTTGAGATCGTCCAGCAGGCTTCTTTGCGGATACCCTCCTTGGGGCTCGACAGAAGCTGCAGCAGAGCAGGAATGGCTCCCTGGTTGATGATCTCCTGGGTCTGCAGGTCGTCGCCGGTCACAATGTTACCGACCGAACGCAGAGCTGGTGTCTGGACATTGGTCGACGGGTGGTTCAAAAGCTCGATGAGCTGTCCACACACCCCAGACTCAACCACGGCCTGGATACGCTCGTTGATTCCGTCCGAAAGGTAAGAAATTGCCCAGCAGGTGTCTACCAAAACCTCGTCGTCGTTGGAGTAAATCAGCTTGGAAAGAGCTCCCAATGCAGGCTCAATCTATTACCCAATTCACAAAGAGATAAACAAAAGAATAAACAAAAGAATAATTTGATTTGATTTGGATATATATATATTACCAAATTCCAGTCAGGTTGAGGGTTCTTTCCACGGCAAAAGTTGGATAGTGTCCAGGTAGCGTTACGGATCATGGACATCTTTTCTTCAGACTGGAAGATGTTGAGCAGGGGAGGGAGTGCGTTTGCCTGGAGAACAAAATCACGGCAGTTGGGACTGTCACCAGCAATGTTACCCAAAGCCCAGACAGCCTGTTCCTTTACGTCGCTCTGAGCACTGCTCAACAGTTGAACAAAATAAGGAACTGCGCCAGCCTCAATCACAATCTGTGTTTGGTGTGAAGATCCAGAAGCGATGTTGGTCAATGCCCATGCTGCCTCAAACTATTAAAAATTAAAACAAAACACAGAGGAGTTTGATTGATTAGAATGATTATGATAATAATTTCTAAAAATTATCTCTCATGTCAAGATTGAATCAAGATTGATTTGGAATTCAATCATTTATTGTCAAATATATATATATTATATTTACCTGAAGGTTAGGGCTATCTGAAGCCAAAAACTCGACAAAACGGGGAACAACACCACAAGCAATAACCTGTTCGATAGGAGGGTTCTTTTCTCTAGAAAGAAGCTTTCTGAACTGACCAGTGGCAGCAAGTGCGGCTTCAATATCGTTTGAGAATACACCTTCGACCATGGCAGGTAGAATGTCGACAAGCTATATAAATTCACACACAAGCACACAAGAGTATTTTTTGTTAATCCATCAAGTATGTCAGAAAGATGTAATTAAGCAATAAAAGGTGTCAATCGAACTATAATAATTTATGGTCTTTAATCTTGAAATTCTGTCTGTCTGTCTGTCTCTTTTTGTTGTTGTCGTTTTATAGTAATAAATAAAGCAAAAAAGAAAAAAGAGATTAAGTTGATATTTACTTGAGCATCAAGTGCAATAATGTCTACTTCGTCTTCGGAATCTTCATCGACAGTCTCTGCATTGAAAACTCTGCGCTTTGCCAGATTCTCTTCCTTCTTTTGTTTTCTAATCTCAATCTGGGCAGTTTCTCTTCTGCGTCTGACTTCTTCAGGCTTAAAGTGACTACGAGCCTTGAATGTTCCACGGCGTACTTCTGATGTAGGATCCATAATATTTAGAAAGAAAAAAAAAATTAAAGGTAGAAGCGTAATATATATATATATATAATATATATATATATATTACGTGTATATACTTTAATATTATAAAAATTAAAATTTATATATATATATGTATATATATTATATGTATACCTATATATATATATATACAAAAAAAAATTAAAAAAAGAAACGCGCTTAGATAGAATAAACTGAGTTTTTTTTTTTTTTTTTTTTTTGAAAAACAAATAGCAACGTCATTGTTCCTTCCTTCATACATTACTTTGCCTACTTACTTTTTATTTATCTATTTTATCGTCATTATTCTTCTTTAAGTGTCTTTTACGTGTTTTATGTATATATATATAGATATATATATATATCTTTAATTGCTGTTGTTCTTTTACTACAAAAATAAATAAAGACCAATACCAAGCGTGGTTTAATGGCTGTTTAAAGTGAAATTGTTTATAATAGAAAAAAGTGTATTAAAGGAAAAATATTTTTCGAATATTGTAGTGTAGTGTAATATATATTTGTTTGTTTGTTTGTTCGTTTGTTTGTGCGCGCGTATGTGTGTGTGTGGATTGTGAGTATTTTGGCTTTGTTTTTTTTTAAAAAAAAAAAAAGATATATAAAAAATAATAAAGAGACAAAAAAGATATATATATATATAAGTATATATATATATATATATATATGTGTGTGTGTGTATGTATGTATAGATAGATAGATATTAAAAAAAAAAAAGATATCTAAATTATATATTTAGAGCATCATCTTCAAAGGGTTCTCCATGTACTCTCTAAAGGCCTGGAGCCAGGTGGCACCAACAGCACCATCAACCACACGATGGTCAGCACTGAGAGTGACTTCCATCACGTTGCGGACGCCAAAGCCGGTTTCCTTTGTTTCGTCAACGACAACCTTTTGAGAAGCACCACCGATAGCAAGGATGCAGGACTGGGGAGGGTTGATGATGGCAGTGAAGTTCGAGACACCAAACATACCCAAGTTGGAGATGGTGAAGCTACCGCCCTGGTATTCAGCAGGTGCCAACTTGCCGCTGCGTGCGCGGGTGGCCATGTCCTTGACCTGGGCAGAGATGGCAGACAGACCCTTGGTCTCAGCGCTGGCAACAATGGGAGTAATCAATCCAGTAGGTGTGGCTACTGCGACACAGATATCCGCGCTGTTGTATCTATAACAGAATTATATATAAAAGATTAGTATTTTAGATTACATATTGATTTTTGTGTTTTGGGTGTACTCGAAAAATACAATCAAAGAAAGCAAATCATAAGGGGAACTTGATTTGATTTGATTTCCTCATCTAAATGGTATTTGGATTGCACTACTATTACTTACTGGCGGATATAATCACCCTGCCATGCAGAGTTAACCTCGGGAACCTTCTTGAGAGCAAGAGCAGATGCCTTGATGATAAAATCGTTGACAGACAACTTGTACTTTCCATCGGCAGACTTGTTAAGAACCTCACGGAGCTTGTTGGTCTTGTCCATGTTGATCTCGACAGTGATGTAGTAGTGGGGAACGGTCTGCTTAGACTCGGTCAAGCGGGAAGCAATGATCTTGCGCATGTTGGTAGTGGGGATGTCAACAAAGGCATCACCAGTAGCAGACTTGGGAGCATAAGCAGCGGGAATGGGGGCAGCAGCAGCAGGAGCAGCGGCAGCGGCAGGAGTAGGAGCAGCAGGAGCAGCAGCGACTGTTTGTATATAATATTATTATTATCATTATCATTATATAGTCATTAAAATTAAACCAATTCTATAAAGACAGGCAGATTCTTCTTCTTCTTTTTTGAATCCTTATCCCAAAAACATTAAACTTACCAGGCTTATAGTTGTCAACATCCTCCTTTACAACACGACCATTAGGGCCAGTACCCTTGATTAAAGAAATATCAATACCACGCTCTCTAGCGACGGTCTAAAAAAAAGAAGAAGAAAAAAGAACAGCCATAGTATGGAATATCAGAAACCCACAAATACACTCTTTTTATTTTTGATTTTAATAAAGCCAAAACATACCTTTGCATAGGGACTTGCCTTGACTTCACCTGTGGAACCCAATACACACACACGCAGAGAGAGATATAATACATAAAGAGAAAGCATAAGTCTCTATGATCTTTAAAAGGTACCCGGATTTTACCCATCCCATTCATTTTGAAATTTATATATATATATATATATGTATATTATGCCCTATCTCTCTATCTCTCTTACCATTGGCTGAGCCTGAAGAGGCCTGGGCGGGAGCCTCTTCTTTAGCGGGAGCCTCTTCCTTGGCGGGAGAATCCTCCTTGGCGGGAGATTCTTCCTTTGCAGGAGCAGCGGAACCAGCAGCAGCACCACCGGCATCCTCGATAGAGAAGTCTTCAAATGCAGCGACATCATCAGCGTTCTCGACGAGAATAGCAATAGGCTATCGAAATATAAAATATGAGATAAATATATATATATTATTCTTTGACGCACAAGATCTTTTTCTTTTTCTCTTTTTTTGGTAATGTGATGTGATGTGATTTGATTTGATTTGATTTGATTTGATATATGTATGTATATAGCTATATTACCTTTCCAACAGGAACATCCTTATCACCAGTCTTTGCAAAGATCTTGGCTACAAAACCCTCATCCTGGCACTCAAAGTCCATCTGGGCCTTGTCGGTTTCGATCTCTACCAAGACATCTCCAGGCTGGATTTCATCACCGACCTTCTTCTGCCAGACGCCAATACCACCCTGTGTCATGCTGTACAAATATAAATATAAGTATATATATATAAAAGATTTAGATTAGATTGACGTGATTTTGCTTGCTTGCTTAATTAATCAATCGATCGATTGACTGGCTGACTGACTGACTGACTGACTGACTGACTAATTTGTATATAAATATATATGTATTTGGTTGTCCTTACGTGGGGGAAAGGGCGGGCATGGCAATGACATTATGGGAAGGATAGGCTATACCATATCAATATGACAGCAACGAGATATAAAGACCATAATAAAAAAACAAACAAAAAAAAACAGGCGAGAGGTATTTTTTTTTTGGTTTAGTTTCAGAGTTCCCGGGAAAACAAAACAAAATAAAATAAAATAAAATGTTGGGTCTCTCGCGTCAAACTTCTTTTTTTTCTTCTTTGGTTCTTTTACCTTTTGCACTGTAGAGTCTGACTTCCTTTGCAACAGCTGCCTGTGCCCATGCACGGAGAGCAACAAAGCTAGAAGGGCTATAAAAGTGTTTTTTTTTTGGTTATATGATATTCTCTTGTCTCTGCCCTTTGTGTATTGTTTTGTGGTATGCGTGTATATATATATATATATACCTTGAGGAAGAGAATGCACGGGCACTGCTCTGGGCCAAGAGAGGGAGGGCTCTGGCAGTGGCTCTGGTTGCAGTGAGACGGGCAGTGGTGGACAGACCAGTAGAGGCTCTGAGAATTTGACGTCTAGCAGCGGACATGTTCAAGATTTATCTATGAGTAAATAGAGAAAGAGGGTGTGAAACGAAAGAAGAGTAGAAGAGAAAGAGATTTAAAATAAAAATAAAAAGAAGAAGGCCCAGGTTTTTTTTTGTATGTGTGTGTGTGTGTGTGCTGGTAAAATCATGGAAAAACACGGGAAGAAAAAAAAATTGATGCGCGACTGGAATAATAACCCCATCCCAACTACCCAAAGAAAAAGAAAAAAAAAAGTAGGGTGTTCGTGACTCTTCTATAGCCCTTTTTTTTTTAAGAAAAAAAAAGAAATGTATATATAGTAGATATACACGCCCTAATCATGCATTCATACAGTCAGTCAATAAAATACAGATCAAAGGGAGATGGTGTCAATAGAAAGCCCAATTGAAATACACTTGCTTGGTCATCTTCTTGAACAAATAGATAGACCCATCTAATCAAAGACCTAACCCCAAATACAGACTACACCAATAATCCAATAGTCCAATAATCCAATAAACTCCAAATTTACGGAACATTCTTTGGGTTGGCACAGTGAAAGCCTATCTGACGGGATACCAATTCTAATCCAACAAGTTGCCATGGTTAAATCAATGGCCTTTAGATTATCTCTTCTCTTTCTTTTTTTCTCTTTTCTGTCCCTTTTTTTATTATTTTTCATTAAGCGCCATACTCTCTCTGCCACTTCTACTGTCGTAATTACGACTATTGGCTCAATGATATGTTCCTTACAATAATGTATATTATAATAAATGCAATCATCACACCAAAAATCCAAAAAGAAAAATGGAAAAGATCGGAGTGAGCTCAAAAAAATAATATATGGGAAAAATAAAGTCCAGTATATGGAGATAGAGATAGAGAGAGATAGAGAGAGAGAGAGACAACAATATATATATATATATACATATACATATACATATATAGTCATATAAGCTGTATAATCACATAGTCACATAGTCACATAAGCTGTATAGTCACACAGCCACACAGTCACATAATCACCTAGATAGACAAGACAAACCTATTGACATATTGACATCTAATCATATAGACATTTATGTATAAGTATAAAGGATACTATACTATCTTTGATACCCTTTCTTATTCCCCCCTTTTTTTCTTTCTTTTTAAAAATCAAATTAAAAAAATAAAATACCAACAAAGTGTTTCATTTGTGTGAACGGACTGGTTTCTTTTTAGCCTGGTCTACAAAGAGCATTGGTCGACGTCATGTATGTGACGTCGAACTTTAGCTCCGACCCGCCCTTGTCGAATCCAAAAACAAAAAAGGGGTGAGCCTTTGTTTTCTGACCTTTAACGACCTTGAAAAAAGACCAAAAAAAAATAACTTCATTTCAATAATGGCTGGACACTACGTTATCGCTGGCAAGAAGGTTCCTTTCCACATCGTAAGTCGTTTTCTTAACACTACTATTTTTTCTTCTGTTTTTTTTTCTCGGTTTACCAAAAGCAAAATAAAAATAAAAGAGAAAGTTCGCGCCAAAAAAAATAAAAGAAAAGAAAAGAAAAGACGAATATATAAATCAACGACAACAATGACAACATCAATTAAACAGCAACAAGAGCAACAAACCAGCATACATTCTCTTCCTTGCAACTGTTTATCTCGGAAACAAAAGAAAACAGAAAAAGACCCTGTTACGTATTAAGACAGGATAATCAGCAACACGGTCATATTCTTTCTTGTTCGACACGCGCGCACAAGCAAGCAAGCAAGCAAGCAATCACAAAGACATACATATATCTATTGAACAACGAAGAAATTTATATAAATAAATTTGGATAATACACAAACATACGAAGATGTATACACGCGAATCCCAAAATAAGAAGCCAGAATTGAAAACAAAAAACAAGAGATTTGACGAGACAATTCATAACATAACATATATTATATTATATTATATTATGATCATTTTATTCTCTTAGCTTTCCATTGGATTTATCTCTGCCTACGCTATTGCTGGTACTGCTTATGCCATGAAGCCCAAGCCTGCCCAGCCTGCTACTCCCCCAATCAAGGCCAGCTCTTCCGACGAGGAGGCTTTCATCAAGCAGTTCCTTGCTGAGGCCGAGGCTGGTGAGAAGCTTTAAAAAAAAATGGAAAAAAAAATTATCAGTGAAGGGTTGTTTCCTACTTTTTTTTTCTGTCCGAAACGAACGAATAAGCAAGAAAGCAAGCAAGAACGTATCCTACGAATCTACGCACCTTACACACACACATACACACACACTTGCAAAAAAAAAACTTTTTTTTTTTGGTTGATCGAATAAAAAAAAATCACACACAGATTAAAGTAAATAATTAAGCGGTATACGGAAATAAGGAATTAAGAGAGAGAGAGAGAAAAGGGAACGAAGGCTTGAAACCTACCTACCTATGCCATGTGGAAATAAAGAAAGGACAGAAAGGAAAGGAAAGGAAAGAGGGCTCTGTATGTACATATGTACGTATGTGTGCGTGTGTATGGTAATATAGATTGCATAATTTCGAGGGTCTTTTTATAATCCCCCCTCCTTCTCCTTCCCCTCCTTTCCCTCGTCCCTTGCTTCTTTGCTTTCCTTTCTTCAATCTTTGTCCTCCTCTTTCCTCCTTTAAATATCTATATTGTATGGCATTTAGTAAGTAATTAGAGTGTAATTTGACCTATGAACAATACTTATAATAATAATAATAATAAAATAAGCTGTGGGCATTTATCTATCTATTTAAATGAAAAGGGAGTGGAAATGTAAAAGGGTGGGAGCAATCAAAAGATAAAGATAAAGAAGATGAAGAGCAAGAGCAAGAGCAAGGGGAAAGTGTAGGAGGGGAAGGATTCAAGGGTAGCTTATTTTACTTTATTTTGTTTGAATAAATAATATGCTTAATCTCTTTTTTATATATTATATTATATTATATTAATGAGAGAGGGGGGTGGATAATAAGAAATAAAGTGGCAACCCAAGAAACCCACAAATATCTAATAATTATTATAGATTATTAATTGAAGATAATAAATTATAATAAAGGAGGACCCTAATAATTCAAGTGTTCCCGCACAGACAAAAAAAAACTAATAATTTTACTACTACCATTATTGCTACCAAATCAAATTAAATCAAATGAAATCAAATTAAATCAAATATATAAAATACATTAAAATTTGATTTAGGAAAAAGGGTATTTTTTTGTTTTATTCTCTACTTTAACAAGAGCCAACGGAAGAGGTGTGTCTACCAGATATATAAGGGAAAGAAAAGAAAAGAAGTATATAATCATATCTCTACAATCAATATGATCGATACGATCGATACGACAGAAATGAAAGAAAAAGAAAGAAAGGGAAGTCTACTTTGGGGGAGGTGTGTGGAAGAATCTTTAACGAGATCCATATGAAGGATATCCGCGAGATGAGCCGCAACGAACAGAGGTCCAGCTGATGTCAAGTACGCCAACATCGAGGTTACCCTTGGGTGAGATCTTTTTAAAGGCGGCAGGTGTCAGATCAATTGCCTTTGCTATAGAATAGTTAGATCATATTGAAATCCCCCATTCACATGTTTAATAATTAAAAATTATATCTTTCTTACCAACTTTGCAGGCAGCACATTTATCAACAATCTTGACAATCACGCTGAGTTTTGGGTTTCGGTTGTTCACGATCTTCATACACTTGTAGCATTGCTCAAAGTCATTCATGGCCTATTTAACAATCGAATCTAAGTATGTGACTTCCGTTGTTCAATCTCAATTAAGCATACCATGGCTCCAATCATGTCATAGTTGGTTGCATGAAAGGGTGAAAGACCGTTACGATCATAGCAAGCTGCGTTACGAAGGTCTGCACCAGTGTACCTAACATTAAATTTATTTATTTTATTTTATTTTTTAAAAAAATTGTGAGTACATAAAAGTCCCCCTTGTAATAGTTATCTGCTTATATGTTATATATATATATATATATATATATTACCATGTTCCTCTATTGGCGCGTCTTTCAAGACCATCCTCTGTAGAATTGGCTGGTGCCTCGATATTCATAACGGTGGCAACACCTCGGTTCTTAAGTCTGGAAGCCGAAACACCGGACAACAGGACTGTAGACAAGCAAAGGTACAACATAAACATGGCAGACTTCATTATTGCGTGGTAATAAGATTGAATAATGAATGGAATGTGCAAAGTTGTCTGTTGTTTGTTGTTTGTTGTTTGTTGTTTGTTGTCTAGTACTAGTACAACTGCTACGATTGTGTTTAATTGCTGTTGTTGTGATTTAAAGAATAAGAATAAGAATAAGAATAATATGGTATTTTCGTTAAAGAAATAAAAATAAAAGAAAGGATTTTTATAGAAGAGGTAAAGAGAGATGTGTGCGGTCAACAATTGGTTTGGCGGATTGGAATTATATAGAGAAAATAAGGAGGTTCAAAAGGAGGTTAATAATATTAATATTAAATATAATCATAGTAATTTTATATCTTCTTTGAACAAGACTTTTTTTTTTTTTTGGGTTCCAGAGTAAGATTTGTGTTCTAATTTCTTTATAAAATGTATCTATACTGTATACACACATCTACATCTACATTTATATGTAATGTATGTAGATGTAATGCATATAATAAAATAAAATATAATAAAGAAATCAAAGCAGATGAAATTGACTGACTGACTGACTTGACTGACTTGACTGACTTGACTGATTTACTTGACTTGACTTGACTTGACTTGACTGAGAGAAAGAAAGAATACCAAAAGCAAGGGGTGAGGAACTACGATGAAAGGTCAGACTCGTGATGGCTTTATACCAAACTCGCTATCCTGCACTTGTCTATTCTTGGTGGTTCAAACGTGCAAGTAAAATTTTTTTTATTATTATTTTTATTTGTGGGGAATGCTGCTCAATCCAATATTATCTTATATAGTCGGTCTTTATCTTGTCCTACAGCCGATGGAAAACCCGGTAAAGATACTTCTTTATATAAAAATGGTAATATGATTAAAGGACGCACAGATTAAGGAAGCCAACATATCTAATTAAAGTATATTGAAGTCTTTAAGAAAATTTATTTATTTCTTTATTCATTCTTTTATTCTTTTATTCATTAATTCATTCATTCATTCATTTAATATTAAATCAAATTAAAAATAATAATAATATTATATATTATATTATGTATAACTTTTAATAATAATTAAAAAAAATAAAACGCTTTTTCTTTGTTTCAATATTTGCACCACATATAATACATTCATATTATCCTTCTTTTGATTGATGTTTATTTATGGAATCCTAAGGGAGGAGGTGGTGGTGGTGGTGGTGGTTGAGGGGGTTTTTAATAACAATTATTATTGTTTTTTTTTATATGTACAAAAAAGCTTCTTTTTATTTGACTTGTAAGAATATCAAGGGATGAAAATGATAATAATGCTAATAGTAATTATCCTGACTTGGCTTTCAAGAGGTTCTTTTTGGTCAATAAAAATTTAAAAGGGTTTCTGGCACATATAAGCTATTATAGTTAATGTACACTATAGTAAACTACGCACACTCACTAACTAACTCGCTAACTAACTAATGATACATAATTGTACTTTACATATTTACATCTTTATAACCTGATCAATCGATCTTGCTACTATCACTTTGCATCGTCCTTTTCGAGATGTCTACGCAAAAGGGCAAGAAAAGATAATAAAAAGGAAATAATAGTACAATAATAAAGACTCATAACTAGGGATATATTGGACCCATTCATAGTGCATATTATATATATATATATATTACTCACCAGTTCATTGGAGGACGTTGTAGATTGGCATGCCAGAGTAAGAAATGTAAAATAATAATAATATTATCATCATCATTTTTTTTTTTACTTCTTTATTTCTATAAAGTCCTCCTTAAGCACTCTCATTAACAGAAGAAAACAAGAAAAATAAAGAAAGAAAAAGTTCTAGACAGTTGTCCCTTTTCGAGCATTTGCCTTTTAATCATTCTCATTATTCATACGATAAATTTACATGCCAATTCCTATGGACCATCATTAAATAATATAGGCACATAGGCACATATAGACACATCAACCCCTCTTCATCTACATAGTATCATCCCTGGATCACTTGCTCGATCATCAAGACTCTTCTTATTTTTACTTTTGTGGCTGGATAACACAAGAAGGATCTTTTTAGACTTCAAGGTCTAAAATATCATCAGTCACCCCTCATCAAGTGGCAAATAATTATCCAGAAAATCTAAATATATATAAAAAAAAAGATATAAAGAGGTAAAGGTAAAGGTAAAGATAAAGGTAGAGGGAGAAAGGAAATTAAATAAATAAGTAAAGCAGAAGTCTAAAAAAAAAAGATAAGAAAAGAAAAGAAACAGAGATTCGTTACCATTACATTTCTTTCGTGTTTTGCCACCTTAATTCAACCGTTTGATGGTGTGTTTCAAGTGGCATAAAATAGAATTACAAGAAGGGGCTCCTTCCTTCCTTCCTTCCTTCCTTATCTCTCTCTCTTTGGGTGTGTATAATATTTATTTATTTCAAGGCAGAGAATAAGCAAATAAGCAAATAAGCAAATAAATAGCAATGTAGGAGCTCTAGAGGGCATTTGTGCATTTGGAAGGCTACTAGATACAATTGTCAATGTTTTCTTCTTGACGGATATCTGCTTGATTTAGACTCTCTGGTGTGCAGATCAAAAGCGCCGTATTCTTAATCTTTTGAGGTTATATCATTAATATTCCTTTTTTTTGGAGCAAGGAGTTCAATGCGTTGCTGAGACAATCCTTTTTGTATATAAATAAAATCTTTTAATGCCGTGTAGAATTAAATTGGCTGAGCGAATCAATATATATTGTGTGTAGACAAAGTTCTGATGGTTGTAATTATGTAGGAATAATATCAATCCCAAAAGTCTCCTTATTCGTCTCCGTGATGGCAGATCAGCTTTACCTATGTATGATGCACCTATTATATACTCAACATCACTATCACTCTATTAATCACTTTATCATCACAATCTTAACAGCCATATCAAACGATGCCAATAAGAACTTTTAATAATTTTTCTTTTCTTTAGTAAAATAGATGCCTTTGTACCAGACCAAGAATAAACCAATATAAGAAAATAAAGGAATTAAACTATCGGAAAACATCATTGTGTTTATCCAATGCAAGCCCAAGCAGCACAACCGTTGCATATTCAAAGTCATAGTCTGTGCAGCCTAATGCCGATTGCCACAACTCTCGACTTTTGGTGCGATCACCGAGCCCCCAACTTACAACACCTGCCTCTACAAACAAATTAACCAAAATAAAGAAAGAAAAATTAATATTCAGTTTCTAAAGCAAAAAGTAAAAAAAAAAAAAAAAAAGCAAGCAAGCAACTACCCCCCCCACCAACCAACCAACCAACCAAGGGACACAATTATTGAATTCAATTGTGAGCTTTTTGATAAGCTAAAAAAATCATAATCTCTCTCTCTCTCTCTCTCTCTCTCTCTGTTCCTTACCCCAGTAAGCCAACGGAACTATCCACCCTTCGGACTTGGCATGATCCTTGTTCCCTAGGATACAATCGAGATGAACCATGCTTTCCTTGTGATTGCCTAATGCATTAAGAACTGTAGCCATGATCAACAACAGAACTGCACGCTCGACATTATAGTTTGGCGGTGGATCAGACCCAAGACCTCGCATGATAAGTGCCTGTTCGATCCGCTCCTTTTCTGACAACACCCCGAGTGTCCTTTCAACAAGCCCAACACAGTTCTCGAGCGAAGTCTGAGGCATGGAACCAAATCCATGTAGTACTACCAAAAGTTCGAGTCCTGGAAGGCACACGTCCATATGTCTGTACTTGTTTTGTTTAAAGGCTTCCCGGCGTCGGTGACAATAAGCTCCTAGTGGATTGTTTGTAAAGGTTGACAAATCGGTATCACTATTATGATTATTATTTTCAGAATTATTATTATTATTATTATTATTATTATTATTATTGTAAATATTATGATTATTATGATTATTATTATTATGATTATTGGATGTAAAATATCCTATTTGTTCAAATGCATGGATCGATTCTCCTCGTCTCCCTAGCATTTCGAGGCAGGCAGCGGTAAAATACTTGTAGATGGCGGCTGACTCGTTATCATCTACGCTTCCGTTTACATTTGGATTTACATCTGCCAAGCTCTCAAAGCATGAAAGAGCCGCCTCCCATTCCAATCCCAACATATGGTTTAGTCCAATCTCATGGCTCACTCTGTTTTTCATCGCCACTTCAATCCATTCATCCCGCCGACCGGATTCCATCGCATATCCAAAAGATTTGTCAGAAAGGGGTATGTTGTTTGCCACCCTGGATATCTGAGCAGCGTAAAACAAAAAGAAGCACGAATTAGGGTAGAGCTTTTGTGCATCGAGTAGACAGTCGATCGAGTCCCGGAGAAGAGCCTTTCCATAAACTCGAGGGGCAAAGGAGGATATAAGAGAATGGTAGGCCAAGAGTCTAGATAAAAAGTAAAAGTAAAAAAAAAAAAATCAGCTCAAACTTCCTCTTTTTCTTCTTCTTCTTCTTCTACTACTACTACTACTTTTTCTTCGTATTTTCGGTCTCATTCATATCATACTACCTCTATTGGCCTGGTTTTCAGGACAAAGATGAAGAAAGAAAAAACTTACACTAGAGAGGCCAAAGGGGATCGGGTCCCTTTGCCTTTAATGCATGTCTTTAGCAAAGAATATCCCAAATCCTTATTGACATCCCATTCAGGAACCGAAAATATCTTGGTGATCCGGTCAGGTAAAGAAGACAGCAGGAGATTAATGGTGCCAATGCCAAACTCAGTGCCAGATATAGTCTCACTATCCATGAATTTACTACGACCCTGTCCCATCTTTTGATACTCTTCCCAAACAAGTGAATAGCTTTCATGGGCTATAATAATAATAATAATAATAATAATAATAATAATAATAATAAACACATACATACTACTTTGTAAGTAACAATAAAGATTGTGTGTTTTTTTTTATCTTGCATTTGTTTACCTCTTTTCAAGTTAAGCCCGGCTTTTAGGTAATTTGGCGCGGTTGCTTGACTGATTTGTAATAATGCCATCAGTAAACAGCTCTCAGCTTTGATCGCATGAGCTCGCAAGACACCGTTTGGAATTATCCCTGTAAATCCAGCTGAAGTCGGTGCAGGGGACAGAGGCTGACCAGAGTTATTTTCTGCAACATATGAAACAAAGTACTGCGAGAATTCATCGTTGAAAGGTTTTTTTTCTACAGATATAACAATCTGTGCATTTGCCATTGTATAAGCTACCACAAGTGTGTGCATAGCTGCATCTTGGTCTTCTTTTCGGGATGTCTACACAGCGCACGCACATACGCACATACGCACATCACGCACAGAACGCACAGAACGCACAGAACGCACAGCACATAGGCACGTACAATAGAAAAAGAGTTTATCAGCTCCAAATCTTTCTTTTTTTGATGATTTGTGTTTTGTACTTACCATAATAGCTAGTTGTTGTAGTTGTTTTTGGAGCAAAAAAAAAAGAAAATAATGTAACCAAAATCAGAGACAATACGAATGAAAAAGAGCGTTGTAATTCTGAGACTGGGTTCGCAAAAGGTGATACCAATATATTATACACTCACCTTTCATAAACGACATTGTACCCAATTTCAGTACAGAAAGCGGATCCCTACATAATTACACGCACGCACGCACGCACGCACACACGCACACACGTAAATATGAGGTTTATTCTTGGTTTATACGCATACACAGAGAATAAAAGAAAAAAACAAAAGAATTGCTTACGTTTCTGCCCTGGTTTGAAAGATGGCATTTGCTTTTGTAAATTTGTTTCTAAACATGAACTTTACACCATCTTTCACGTATTTATCTAAGAAATTACACAATATTTAGTCAATTAGAACCTGTCATCACACAAAAAGAAAGATACAAAGAGACTAAATACACATGTGCTTACCGGCCTCATTCTGATCATTAGAATTAAGATGGTTTTCTATAATCTTCTTTACATCTACTGCCCGTATAACGTCTGCATAGTCAGTTTCCATGTCAAGCTCAATAGAATCCATCCACTGCTCACTGCCGCTTGAGTCGGAGTCGGAGTCCGAAGGATCGTTGTTCTCTTGGATCCACATCATGTTTTTATTAGAGTGAGTAAGTGCAAGCGATTGGGGGCGGCGAACATGTCGAGCCAGCTGCTGTATGTCTGGCAGCTGAACATTTTTGTAGGTTCGAGTCTGACTGAAAAGCGACGTTGCAGCTGCTTCCGATTCAACCATAGGAATCGATACTTCTGTAGTGTCCACTTTTGAAGGTATCTGGGAAGGTATCTCTTTTACTGGTTTTGGTGCTGGCACTACTACTAAATTATTAGCAGTAGTAATGGGAATATGGTCTGAAACGACGGTATTATCGGACGCAGTTTCTTTTTCGGATACCACTTGATGTGGCTCAGAAATATCATGTAAAGTATCTAGAAGCACAGCTGCATCTGTATCAATAGGCTCAATTGGGGTATCTTCTTCTCTTGGTCCCTTCTTTGAGAAACACACATTTTTGGTCCCTGCTTCAGAATCACTGTGGCTCTCCTTTGATATTTCTTTTTTCAGCAGATCATCGTTCTCGGTCACCACCAATAACTCTTCCTTCATATCCACCTCAGCTATTATCGGTGGTTCAACTATTGCAGATTTCTTGGTTGGTACATCTTCTTTCAATGGATCCTCATTCTCGACAACCGTTTGTACAGCTTTTGTTAGATCCAGGTTTTCAGTCAATTGTGATTGATTTGATGTATAAAGCCCATCAGTTGGTGTGACTAGTTTTGACAAACCCTCAATCTTGACTATTATTGCTGCTGCTGCTGCAGTCGATGTTGCTGTTACTGGCGGTGTGGTGAGATATCTAACAGGATCTTCTTTTAGCTCCTGCGGGGATGTTTCCGGGGAGACATCCGGAGATGCCAAGTCCCACACATTCTTGCTTCCGCAATACGACATCGACATTGATCTTAGAGTTTGAGTTCTACGAGCTGAATGATGTTTACTTGCAGACGACAAAGGAAACACTATTTCAGAAAATGCGGATTTGTCTTTATCCTCGGTGCTTTCTGATGGCCCGCACATATCCGAAGCTTCCTTAAAAAATACTGTGGGCTCAACGGGCTTTCTCTGGACCTCTGCATTCCGTTGGGTTTCTTCGTCATTCAAGAGGTCTTCATCACCAATAGCCTGTCCTGCATCCCGGAGTGAACTCAGAATAGCGGACATACTGGCCCGGGCCTTCCGGACCTGTTCAACAGACCTCTTTGTGCCTTCGGGAGAATGAGGTCCTGTTTCTTGTTCTAGTTCTGGTCCTGGTTCTGGACTTGTACTTGTACTTGGACTTGGACTCGATGGGTCTTGGGTAAGAATGAGGTGATCATTAGGATGTCCAGCTGTGTGACTTGCAGGGGTAGTAGAAGTCTTTTCGGTACCAGCTGTCTCAAGTGAGGTTTGACTACCTCTTTGTGATTCTTCGCTTGAATCTGGGGTGTCGACAATATGTTCGTGTACTGGTTTTAAGGGTACTGTAGTGCTGTATTGCTTGACTGAATCAGCAGAAGACGAGGATCGTCTCGAGTCAAGTGATGGGAGGGACGAGATTGATGTCGGTCGGCTTGATTTAAGCTTTAGACTGATGCTTCTCCATGGTCCTTTTCTGGCTGGTTGGGCATCCTTTGGCTTTGTCATTTATTGTTGCTACTGTTGTTTTTTTCTTTTGCTTTGTTATTTTGTTATTATTAAGGTTGTTCAGTAATGAGTCGTATGGTTTTTTTTTCACGGTGCATCAACTCCTGGATTAAAATTGTGACAGTATAATATTTCTGGTTTTGGATGATGATTATAAGAAGAACAAGAAAAATAGTCGTTTTATTTGGGGTAGGACAGAAAAAGGTTAATTTGGTTAAACAGGCCAATAATGATAATAATAGTAATAGTATATGTGTAATTCATTCATTGAATAGAGTCTCTTGTGATATATTAAAATACTAGTACCAGCATTAGTTTCCAGTAGTATTTTTTCTTATTCAAATCTTTGATATCTTGACTGTTGATTAACAAGGTTAGATTCTGCAAATATGCGATTGTAGGTTTGTAGGTTAGACCAAGGGATCTTGGTTCGTTTACTTTGCGCTGAATACATATATATATATTTCTTCTGGTGTTTCCAAGGAGCCCTCAGACTGCCCCGTAATACTTTTAGGCTACAGAAACATATTATTATTAGTATTATTATTATTATTATTGGCTCTTGACTGTGGTTACCTCGTGTAGCTTTCTTTTTAATCATTAACACTTTATTATGCTAACCTTGTGGAATCAAAATTGCGTTTCTGAAGAATAAATAAATTAGCGGGGACTCTCCGAGCTGAATAGGGTCTTTCCTTACAGAAAACAGTTTTTAGCTTTAGTTTTAGTTTGACCTTGACCTCTTGCATTTTATTCTATTTTACTTTTCGTAGAGTCCTTATACCAGCATATTATATTCGATTCTTTTTTTCTTCTTTTTCTTTCCTCGTTTAGCTGACATCCAGTTTTATTGCCTGGCCCGAATAGTTTGAGTTTGAACTTTGAAGAAATGCTGATTGTACAATATCAAGCTCTAGGGTTTCTTGACTAGTTTTGATTTGGAGTTTATACACACGGCTCTTATTACAGGTGTTTTATTATGTTGACTTGGATTTTGTGAGTCAAAAAAGGCCATAGTTGATGTATATAATGTATTATAAAATAAAATCTGAGGTGCAAAACATTTTGGAGACAAGGTAACAAATCTTCAAACCAGAATCAAACCATTATGATTATTATTTATGATAGAAATGATAATAATAGAAGTCTATCCCTCACCCTCAATTTAATACATCAAACAGAAAAAGAAAAAGCAGGTGTATTTTGTTTTATCTTTATTCTTTTTTTTTTTTTTTTGAAAAAGAGTCAACCCTTTCAAGTATGGTGGTATAATCTAATGTACATGCAATCAGATAATTTTAACCTGACCAAGGCTATGTTTGACATTATAATAAATGTACCTTCTGTACCTTCTGTACCTTTTGTACCTGAACATGTACTCCAAATTATTTTATTTTATTTCATGTATCTTAGGAAAAATATGATGGCTGACTGACAGAAGCATACTTATTACTTGCAGGAATTAGGGAATTGCCAAAGAAGGTCAAAGAAATAGCTAAAGACGGTCTATTATAATGCTATGTAGAATGGAATTCACATGTGTCTCCTACAGTCGATTAAAGTTGAAATTGAAGCAAGTGGAAGCAATCAGTTTATCAAAGCAAAATAATAATAATAAAAAGGGGGGAATGGGAGTGGTGGATTAATTTGGAGCGTTTTGATCATATTCAACCGTGTCCTTCCTTGTTTCAACAAAAGATATTTGTCAGCAGCCTATTTAATCGATATGTCTCAACTCTGCAAAGAGTGTGAATAAGTAAAGTAGCAATAAACAAAGCTATCTTTTTTTTGTATTTTTTTTTTTGAATAATAATAATTAAAGAAAAAAAGATTCTTCATTTCTGGTTCATTAGTCAAACATGGAATTCTTTTCCAAGAATCATTTAATTTGGTACTACATTCTGGTACACTCTTCTTGTGTAGCACTTTGATCGAAACCCATGGACGATTGGGTTAATAGATTTCTGGTAAGAAAAAAAAAAGAAATTCAATTTTTCCCCACAATTTCTTTTGATTATATAAGAATTGTTGCCTGATATTCATACTTTTTTTTTTTGAAAAAAAAAGAGATAAGCTACTTAATTTAGGTATACACATATGTCTTTATTGATTTCAAAAGATTAGAGCCAGCTCCATTTACTTATTTACTTCTTTTTCCTTTTTTTTTTTTAAAAAAAAAGCTTAGTCGGTCTCGCGCAACATAAGACGCTTTCCAACCTTGCGAGTAGGGGAACGGGAAAGGTAACCGTCGATAGAACCAGATGAAGACTCTTTGTCCGATCCAAAGTTTTCTCCGTTATCAAAGTAGCTGTAACCATTGTTAAGTTCGTCCGCATTTTCCATAGCAAGAATTCGTTGTCTCTGGGAAATTCCTCCTGGGTATTTCTCCTTTTGTAACATAATCTGTATATCCAACAGATATTTCTCAAGTGTCTTTAAGAGACGCTCGGTTTGACGATGTTTAGACGACGCAGCAAACTATCAAACTAGTGTTAATTTCCCACGCTCGATTATCAAATATAGTCAATGTGCTACTTACGGAGATACCATCCTCTTTGATGATATAACCAATGCCAAAGCCATCCGATACTGTGGGACCAAAACCAAAGAGACGCAGTGCTGGATTTCCACAGTTGGAAGTACTGATCATTGTGTGACCGAGAACCTTCCACCCACTGTCAGTAAAGATCAAAGGCTTTTTGGTGTCTTTGTTCATACGGTTCCAGAGGCATTCAAGAGCAAACAAGTGGCGGTCTTGTCCTAAACCTTGGGCGCACTGGCGAGTGAGATTGGTGTGACTCTTGAGTGCTTTGCGCAGACTCTCGAGCTTGTCATGATCAGCTGCCTTTGAGTAATAAGTTTCGACAAAGTTGACCGAGGCATTGGTAACACTGCGGATAGCCTCAGTTCTTCCGTGTAAGAAAGTCTTTGTCATAGCTACAATAAAATAAAATAAAATAAATTATTATTATTATGTTAGCAAAAACCCTAATTTTTTTTCTTATCCAATCTAAAGTCGTACCTGGTTCATAGGTGCATTCTGACTTTCCGTAGAGACCATAATAGGCAGCTTGGAACGCCATCTGAAGAAGATCATAATTATAGATAATTATTTCATCATGGAAAATCATCATTAGTTCCCCGCTTATTTTATTTTTAAAAATCTCTGTTACTTTTCTTATGCTATTTACCTGGACAAAAGCATCCGGACTCATCTTCATGTCGGTAATAAAGTACTTTCCATAGTTGTTAAATTCGAGGACACGAACCTCGTTTTGCAAGATAAGGTCACTCAGTCTGGTCTCGGCGTATCTAACGCCAAGTGTGATTGGCTCAGTCATGTTCCACTCGATTCTGCGAGGGTTGATGTCGAATGAAAGACCAGTACCGAAACTATCTCGTCTGGCACGGTTAGCAGCACTATCCTTTTGCTTGTGAGAATGGAATATAGACTTTGTCTGGCTGTTGATTGTCTTTGCGAATCGAAGAATTGTGTCCGTGTAAATATCGGAGACGTAGCGCAGAACAGTGTGACCATCGACACCTGCCAATACCCCACATTACATAAGTAAATTTTTTTTTAAAAAAAAAAAGAATCGTAACACAAGCCTGAGCCCATATTCTCATCAACTTACCAGTGTGTTCAAAATTAATACCCGCACTACCGTTCTTACAGACAATGATCTATAAATGTGTTAGATTTTTTTTATATATATTATTTTGTTACACTGCTGTGATATTCAAACAATACATTATATATTGTTTGGTTCTTACCTGAAGCTTGTCGTACCAACGGTTGGTGCATGTGCCAACTTGTAACCCTTGATCTAGGCGATATGTGCCACACAGCATGTTTGAACTTAAATCCTCGATAGTTGTAGGCTCAACATGATCCAAGCACACAATAAAAAGTGCAGAATCGATTACTTTGAGAGACTGGCGATTGGTTGGGTCTGACTTTAGTTCGGCTCTGAGGCGGGCCCAGTTACGACGCTTCTCGGTCGTCAGTACACCAATGGCAGTCTTAGCAATATCGCTCACTGGAATACGAGCTGCGTCTCGAAGGATGGCCCTGAGGTTGGCCGCAATCTCCTTTTCGGTCAATGCAGTCTCGCCAAACTCATCAAAGACCTCAAAGTGGTAGGACTGGGAGTGAGCCATGACAACAATGTGTCTGGACTCGTTTCCCGGTGCCATATAGCAGCCATTGTCGGTCGGTACTCGAGCAGTTCCGAACAGGCGACTGAACTGGGACATGCATAGAGGTGTACCACGGAAGACATCTGGCTCAAGAGTCTTATCGTGAAGAGCATCAATGAATTTGAGAGTAGAATAGATGAGCGAGGACGCACGAATGACCTGGTCGTTTCTCAAAGGGGTAGGGTCATCTTCCAGTACAAAGAATGGGTTTAGGTTCAAGACCACTGGGTCAGAATGTTGGAGGTAAGAGTCATACCTTTTATATTTTATATATATATATACAAAAAGGATTTAGTATGTTCCAAAATGTTATCTTGATTACCAAATTCTTACCAAAACTCTTCAATGTAAGATGATTTATCGGTCGCATATGTTAATAGCTTGCTTTGCAACTTTGGGCCATCGTTTTCGAGAAAGTCCTTGACGGCAACCTTGCTTCTTTCATGCTCTTCAACAGACTACAAAAAAAGTTGTATTATTATTATTTTTTGGTGGGAGTCAGGGATAGGCTGTTTATTTATTTTCTTTCTTTGAAAATCTTACCTGTAGAGGTTGGATACTAGTCAAATAACGGGCCAATGTATCTTTGAGCTCAGGAATTGGTAACTTGGGGAGCTGTTCCTGGTATCTAAAGGTTTCGCCTCCACTTGGCTCGAAGTTTAGTGCGTTCTTATGTGCTTTAACGTTAGCCATTGGAAAGTAAAGAAAGTAAAGTAAAGTTGAAGAAGAGAAGCAAGAAAGCTGAAGAAGGTTCTTTTATAGATGGGAATTTTGGTAATGGTTTGCTGTGCTGTGCTGTGCTGTGCTGTACATGCATTGAATCCCAGTCATATGTGTGGGGTTAAGGTAAGGTATTTGAAGTAAAAATTGATTGGTTTTCATAAATAGTACTCATGGAAGCTGGTATTCAAATGATTTTCCTTGGGAGGCTGATAATGTGGGGGATTTACACAATTTGGTAATTTGGTAACTCAAGAGTAGGACAAGCAAGTGTCTTTGGCGGGGTACGCAAACGCATACAAGAAGACCCGGTAGTCTCTTGAGTATGCCCATACCCTTCCAAAGGAGTGTGACCTCCCTTATTTGTCCGATGCTATGGACTCCAACGTTTAGCCGCAATTCCTGCTGTAAAGGTAGTAGGGTACCCGAAACCGTGTAACGAGATGGTTAGATCACCGCGTTAAAGAGCCAGATAACCAAAAAAAAATACTTTCTATTTTCATATGGTCACTTGACAAATAAGATGAAGGTAAAATAGAGATGATATTTAAATAATAATAAAATGATATAAAGCTACTATTTCGAACGCCAGAAAAAAAGGGAAAATATAAAGATATAATAGAAGGAAGAGGTTGTAAATGGGAGAGATAGTGAGGTTGGGGAGGAGTGGAGGTTGTATCAGGAGAAATGATTATCTCATCAAAAAGATGAAAGCTAACTGCCTGACTGATTATTGTAGTCTTTAATCTGCCAATTGAGCTTGTGCTAATCTAGCTTCCAAACTGCGCAGTGCCTCTTCCTTGCTCGACAGTTCCGCTCTCTTTTCCTGGATTTCACGCTGAACCTTCAATTCGATCTCACGGAGCTATAGAGATATGAAATAAAGGAAGTATATGTTTATCAAAGCTGTCCCATAGAAAGCTGATTAGCAAGCTTAGGGGTGATCTTTTACCTTTTCTTCTTCCTTCTTCAATTGTTCCTCCTTCAGCCTTACACTCTGGCTGGCCATATCCTCAGCATTCAATGAAGCATCTCTGTTGGACAAAACATTCGCATATGGTTTAGCCGGACAGTTACCATTGTTTGCATATGTTATTAAATATATAACAAAAAAATACACTTACTCTTGGTCACCGCCGCTCACTGTACGACTGAGTTTCTCAGTACGGTAATTTTCATATAAGAAGTCGTGTGTGATTTCTTTAAGATCCTGGAGGTGTGAGCTAATTAATTATGGAAAAAATATTAGCAGTAAGTATTAGGAGTGAGAAATAGAACGAAATAAACTACGTAGACATTCACACAGTCTGACTGAATAAAGAGGTCTACATATCAATTGTTATTATTACTATTATTGGTCGCTTCGTTACCTCAACAGAGCAGATCTCAATCTACCAAAATCAGAATGTTTGGGGTTGTCGACTATTATACATTCATAAGATAATGATTAGATGTCGATTGATACATCTTTGTGTATCATACCTTCTACAGCACCCCATGGGTACTGGCGTCCACGGACAATGCGGCCATTGACATTTATTTCTTCATCGCTCCCAATGATAGCAAAGGGCAAGAGAGCCTATAGGAAAATAGATATACATATTAGAATATGGTTTGAATTTAAATACCATGACAATGATAATAAAGTATCTTACTCTCAACTCGCTGTTTTCTTCAACAGTGTCTTCATCATCTTCCTCAACATCATAGGGGAAGTTGTAGATTGGAATGCTGTAATGTTCAATATCTTCCATTATCTAAACAGAATTGAATAAATCAATGTCAATATTTGATCCATGTTTTTTTTTCTTTAAAAAAAGCAAATATAAAGATTATTTACTCTTCTTTTAAAATCCTTGAGCTCCTGAGGTGTGAGTGAATCTGCGCGGCCTACGACTGGGATTACATTGACACGCGGACTCAGACGACGCATCAATTCAATGTCAATCTCACGTAGACTGCATTGACAAGTTAGTTAGACAATAGATTGGTTTTATATTAAGGCTGTGACTTACGCGTGACCGGTTGGAGAGATAAAATACAGAAGAGCATGGACACGGTTGTCACGGAATCTAGCATTACGCTTGATCCGAGACTCTTCGGCCAATATGTCATCGTATTGTCGCTCGAGATAAGCGACGATCTCATGGAAGCTATTAGATCAATTGGGTCAATTAGATAAGATATAAATATATATATGTGTGTATGGGTATGGGTATGTGTATGTGTATGTAATTAATTAAGTATATATATTTTTATTATTGGTGTTGCAACTCACCATCGTTCATTATCGATATTGTCACCAAATCCAGGTGTGTCGACAATAGTCAAGGAGATTCTGCAAAAATTGAATGTAATGTGAGGAGCGCGTCTCACTTATTTTTTTTAACCCCTTTTTAATCCCAAGAGGCCTTTTGCTCTCCTGTTTTGATGCACTCTCCCTGAGTGCCTGGTTGGTACCCCCCCTGGATCTCATGGTATTGGTTCATTTACGCATGAAAAATAAGATAATAATCGATACTTTACCTTACCCCATCTTCATCAAGGTCTTTATTTATTTATTTATTTTATATATATATATATATATTTGTTAATTAAAAAAGAGATTATTATTAGAATTGATGTCCGATTGGTCAATATTAGCATATATCATACTCACCAACTGAGATCGGCTTGATGTTAATGCCTTCTTCAATATGAGCATCTTCAGGATTGTCACAGATCTTGTTTGGCAGAACGTTGGAATCGCACAGAGTATTGACAAAGGTTGTACGCCCAGTACCAGAAGTGCCTTTAATTTTATTTAAATAAATACATATAAGTTTTTTTTTTTTTAAAGATTAGGGAATCAATTTTTTTTAGAAATGTGTAAAATGCCATACCGACAACCATAAAGGTAAACTGGAATCCCTTCTTGACGTTCTTTCTGCGGCCACCAAGTCTCTATAGAGAAATTTCAGAAGGACTTGTTCGTGGAAACCATGGCGATCACTTACATGAGCCATTGTGAAGGGTTGTGAGTTGTTGAAAAAAGAGAAGAAAAGAGTGAAAGCACTTTAGGGAAACAGCCCTGAAATAGGAAGCTTATGGCAAGTTATACAGGTACCGCCTATTCCATCACGTGCTGTAAGTGACCTTTGAGTAGATCATGCCAGGTTAGTGATCTCCTCGCTTGGACCTCCCCCAAAACTGTCATAACCCAAAGCAATCCAACATTTATTGACCCTGAAATTCAGGTTATTTATGTATTTTTTTTTCTGTTTCCAAGATTAAGCATATAATATTGACTATTCTTTTTATATATAAAATATATATATAAAAAGAACTATTTAGATCTACTTGCAGTGAATGTTTGCTAGTTTGTGCCAGCTATTTAATTTGTATAAAGTTTCTTTATTTTTTGTCTATATTCTAATACATATCTTCTTTACAGCTTTGATGTACTTGCTTCTCTTTTGAGGGGTAAGAATACACCGAGTAAATAAATAAATAAATAAATAAGATATAATAGAATAGAATAAATAAGAATTTAAGTAAATAATACCTTCAGGAGGTATCATTAATGGCCAATAAGAGTCTTTATGGATCTGTGGAGATTTGTATTCAGATCCTTAGGATATCGACCTCCTATGCTCCTGTGATGAGAGAAACCTTGACCTTTGCTGTTGTCTGCAATCTAAATAAACATGAATGTAAGGTCTTGGTCCCCCTTACAGCTCCCTCTATAATATTGTCTTATATTGTCCAATACATCCCTGGTCTGTGCCCTACTCTCTCTCTTATGTATTGTTAAATGCTGTGAATCCTATTCAATTTTGCTGTCACATTCATCCCAAAGAGCTGGTCTTGGATTGTATTGGATTGAATTGAATTGAATTTTCTTAAAAAAGAAAAAAAAAAGAAAATTATAGAGAGCGAAAAACGAGAGCGAAAGAGAGATTAAAGTGAAAAATAAAATAAAATAATTTAGGACCAAATTTTGGTATGCAGCTTAGTGATGACCATGACGACTCTTAATGACAGTAGTTTTGCGACAGCCATTCAGTTTTGGAAAGGCGTGCATTTACCAGAGCTTCAAAAAGAATTAGATCAGCAAGGTCTTGCCGTAGTTGAGAACCAAAAAGACGGGCTAGTTTCTAGAAAGAAACTTGCTGAACAGACCAGAGGTAATGCCAAGAACCTAAAGGGCATCAGGTCCACCCCCCTTGTCGTCTCAGCTTATCCACAACAATAAAGTTTAATTGATGCATAGAGTTCAGAAAGATACCAGATGAAGAAAAACTGAGCCAATTCAAGAGTCTTCTCAAAGGTAATCTCCATCCATCCTTTCTTCATTGCTTAACAATCTTCCTAGGCTACCAATCAGAGATCGACAACATAACCCGACGAACAAAGTATTCCGAGAATGCGTTTTTAACCTTGTACAAGCTGCTCGTAAACGCCCCTGACCCTGCCCCTCTGTTTGAAGCAGCTGTCGTAGGTCTTATCCTACCTCTTTTCGCATCTGCTGACTTTATATTGGCAGGATCAAAGTGCAAAGGCAGTCGAGAACGATGGTGCTGCACAGGAAAACAAACGACTACAGCAAGAACTCAAAGAAGCAAACGAGAAACTTGCAAAGCTTCAGACTGTTGAGAAAGCCAATCTCGATCTGAAAGCAGCCTTGACCAAACTAGAAACTGTAGTAAGACCTTTTTTTTTCTTTTTCTTTTTCTTTTTTAATGCAATTGAGGAAAAGAGGGCAATCTTAAAGACGACGGGTTTGTGCGTAGGGAGAAGAGAAGCGAGCAGAAGATGTGTCCCAAAAGGAGCAAGACGTCAAGCAGCAATATGCCGATAAGATCAAATCGTACAAGGAACGGTATGTTTGTACGCATGTATTAGGAACACATTACTTAATTTACCTTTTAGTGAACACGGACTCCAGAGGCAACTCAATCAGGCTCTTGACCAGCTTACTCAACTCAGACATACCCATGATGATACTCAGGCACAACTATTAGATCATGATCAGAAATACGGCAAGTATAATATCAAAACCTCCCTTTGACTTGACAGATGTATCTCATGCGGCAAGACTACGCATCTAGATGAGGAGGTTGTAGGCAAGCTTGCAGAGCTCGATATTGTCACTATGGATCTCGAACGTGCCAATACAACCATCGCTAACCTGGAACGAAAACTGGTAATTTTAACAGAGACTACCAGCAACAATAAATCCTGTTTAGTTCAGTTGAAGCAAATGTTTCAAGTGTTCTGATATATTCTTAATTAGGAAGATCTCAAAGAACAGACTTCGTCGAACAAGACACTGGCAAAGGAAAAGGAAAAGTAAGGAGACACAAATAATACTGATAGAATCGGAATTGAATGGAGTTGAATCGCATCAAACTGGGCTGACATGGTGCAGTGCTGAGGATTTAGTGGAAACAGAGAAGCAGGATGCAGAAATGGCAAAATTGATTAAGGATGTGGAGACCTACAAGAATTTATTGCAAAAGACAGATACCAGACTCAACAAGCGAATCAAAGATCTTTCTAATGAAGTCAAAGCGTTGGTAAGTAACACAGAATACAACAGTAAAAGAAATGATTTTTTTCTTTCTCTTGTTGATTCCAACTTTCTCCCTTTTTCTATTTAGGCCGAAGAAAGGGATCTGCTGGCAAAAAAACTCAAGGAGTGTGAAGATTATGATGAGGTCAAGCGTGAATTGGCTATTATGAAGGTAAATCTTACATAAATATCCACATACACACGCATGTATTTAATGGGGAATACATTGTAAAAATTCAAATCCAGTATGTAGAGTTTGCCAACAATGACGAAGATAGCTTTGACGCCAAGGATGTTTTGAACAAAGAAGATAATGCGATTAGAAAGAGTCTTGAAGTCCAATTGATGGAGAAGAGCAAGCGACTCGAAACCGATTATACCCAACTCAAAATGTCGTTTTCTGATCTCCAAAACGATCTTCAGGCCCGTTCGGCTCTCTGCGAAGAGCTGCAGGCCAAGACATATGAGCAGACTGGATTGATCCAGAAATTAGAGGAAGATCTGGCTCGTGTAGGCCAGAAGCAGACAACAGATGTTTCCGAATCATTCTCGCGTCCATCTTCCTCAAACAATTTGGCTGCTATCGGAAGCATGACATCCACTCGCCCATCGCTTGAGGTTGTACATCGACAGAGTCAAGACACGATTGGTGGTGGAAAGGATGATAAGAGCATTTTGCCTATTGTGATGGGCCAGCGTGATCGCTTTAGACAGCGAAACACAGAGATGGAGGAGCAGGCCAGAAATATGGAGAGAAAGCTACAAGAAATGGAAAGTGAAATGGAAGGCCTGAAGGAAGATAATCTTAAGCTCTACGAGCGACTTCGCTTTGTACATGTCTGGAAGGATGAGCAAAGCAAGGGTTTAGTGGTAGGCTTTAGACACTGACGCATAAATTGTGTACAGGTTACATATTTATTGTTTACGCTTTTGCATTGCAGAATCGCTCGACTGCGGTGACTATGGAGAATTCAGATCCCTCACCACGCAATTTCAAGAAGAATGGTCCCAGAAACGGAACAATTCAGGATGAAGACCCCACAGATAAATATGGAAAGATATATGAAGAGACCATGAATCCATTTATGCAGTTTCATCGCAAGGTAATTTATTCTCCCATTAGGATTTAACGTTAATATATTTCATAAACTCACCCAAAATAGGAGGAGACACGTCGTTATCATGCATTAAATCCAGCCGAGAAGCTCTCTTACAACGTTACTCGCGTCCTCTTCTCACACAAGTGGTCGCGTTACTTTTTGATTTTCTATGCTCTCATGTTGCATCTCTTGGTAGTAGTGACTCTCTATCAGCTAAGTCTATGGGAGTGTCGCCACGATCATGAAGAAATCAACATGCCGACCGTTAAAGATGACACGGCTGCCTTCATGCCTATCCAGAACTAAACAACAATCTTTCTACTCTTTTTTTTGTGAATTAGCGATTTACTCATATATACATATATAAAAACAATGATAACTGCATGGCTAGAGGTGCAATAAATTTTCTTTCCATATCTCTTCTATCCAAACAATTCGGTTTTCCAAGCTTCTAGACTAGCGATTTCAATTTCAGGAATCCCTTTCTTTTTTCCAAAACTGATGAGCGTGTTTATCGTCTTTTCTTCTATCCGCGGTTGCATTGCATTTCTGCTAGTATATTCGGGCTTGGATCTCCTGGAATGTATCATAGGTTGTAAGTGTGGGCTAAGGGGTGGCATCATCTCATTTTTTGCCACACGTCGTGCGATATCAAACCCACGTCTACTACGTGTCGATCGACAGAGACACTCTATATAGGAATTAAAGTTGTTTGAATTCAATGCAAACTCATTGTCTCGTAATCTCTTCCAAATATCCTTAGCGAGGTGACCCAATCCATTATGGCCACAACTATCCAATACAATAGAAATTGTGGTGGCATCAATAGATGTAGTTGGACTAGAGGACATAATAAGAGTTTCCCAAATTTGGAGAACTGTTTCGCCTTCTCCGGATCGACTGTACGCATCCATGAGAGCATTATATACCGCAGTATCAGGGTCAAAATACAAGTCCATCTTCATGAGCTTATGGACCTGTTCGAGAACATACATATCCTTGTGCTGACCACACGCATGAAGGATTGCAGTGTAACAATAAGCATTGGGTTGTATCCGAAGCTGTCGCATGTCGTTAAACAAAGTTAATGCTGCCAAAAGGTTGGGATGAGAGCTATTGTCTAAACTATTCAGATCGTCTGCATTAAAGACTTGATAATCAATGATCGTATCGGATGTGTATGACGGCGAAGATGTGTCTTTTGTAGCAGGGGCGTTTGTAAGAGAAGATATCAAGATGGTGTAGAGATTAACGTCGAGTGAGATATGAGATTTATGATGTATAGAATGTCGTTTGCGTATGTCGTAATAAATTTCCATGGCTTCGTCAATGCGTTGATCGTTGATGTAGGATACAATAAGATTGGTATATGTAACGATATCGGGTACATGGCCTTTCTGGACAAATATTTCCTCGAAAAGTTCTTGAGCTTGCTCAGAAGAACCATCTTTAGACAGTCCACTCAACAGAGCATTGTAGGCTTTTACATCCAAAGTAAGTCCAATTGATGCATTAAGTTTCTTAACGATGTCGAAAACACATTGTACAGAAGACGCATCATTATGCTTATAGGCAGTTGCATTTGAGAGTCTTGTGACAATGCGTTCAGTAGGCATAATCCCTTTGGTACACATTTCTTTAAATATCTGAATAGCTCCATCAATATCTCCCATGCGTACTTCTGCGTCAATGATGGTTCCATAGGTTACTTCGTCAGGAGACAGGCCTACATCAACCATTTCTTTGTAAATCTTGTACGCTTTTGTTGGATTATTGAGTTTCAAGCAAGTGTCGAGCAGGATATTGTAGCTCACAGTGTCTAACTTAACACGAGGAAATAAGATTGAAGACTTGGCATAAAGATCGAGCATGCCAGAAAGATCTTGAGAAACAGATCCTTTGAAAAGTAACAATTCATTTACTAGCACAGTGTCTACATTAACTGCCAGCTTTTTTTGTGCTTGATTCAAGATCGTTTTGTATAGATCTTCGCCCATCTCAATGTCACCAGTCTTGTTGACTATTCGGAAGAGGATAGAGTAGGTATAAACGTCAGGAGATATACGTTCGTACGTCATTTGCTGCCAGAAATCATGAGCTTCTTCTATCATGTCATTTCGTAGGAGTAGATGAAAAATAATGTTGTAGGTACTCGCATCGCGCGCTATTCCATTTTGTTTCATTTCGTTTACTAACTGAATCGCTTTATCAACATCGTTCAGTCGTTTGTAATGACCAAGCAATGTATTGAAAGAATAAACGTTGGGGGATAAGCCCTTGGCTCGCATTCGCTGGAAAACTTGATACGCTTCATTACTTTTGTTGTGAAGGCACAATGCATGAATAAGCATATTATATTGATGGGGTTCTGGCGGAAAAGAAAATATTGATTTCATGTCGCGAATTACATCTTTGATAAACATGATGTTATGTGAATCTGTTGTTGTGGCAGCCAGTTCAAGGAGACTGCTTATACAGATGCGATCAATAGCACCATTAGATTTGATTATTTCTTTGTAAATTGTTTGTGCTTGATTGAGATCTCGTCTTTCAATTGCCTTTGTTAATCTTGCAGAAAGTAATTCACGCCCAGCTGCCATTTTACTATTGTGTCGCATGGAAGGCACGCTGGTTGGTGATGGGTACATTGGCATAGAATTCCGTATTTGACCACGCTGTTCTGATAAGGGTACCCTATGGGTCACCTTCCAATATACCCTTAGTATATTGGGCCGTATGCCTGTCCTCAGGAGCATAAGGAGAAGGAGACCTGACAAGTTTCTGTTGTCGATGTTTGCCGCAATAACACTTTGTGGCTTGTGTGTAATAGAAATTGTATAAACGTGAATCTAACTTTTATTACATCGTCCTTATCGCACACAAAGCCAACATTAATACATATGCAATTTTCTTAGTAACAAGAGATTATAGGTAAATTAAACGCATCCTCTAAACTTCTCAAAATAGACTTTTCTAGTATCTTTTATATAACCTACTCTTTTCTTCCTTTAATAAATCGTAATCAACAATAAATACAATGCTTGTCGTTTTTTAAAATTATAATAAAAATAATAATAATGGATATTACATATATATATATATGTATCGATATCACAAGCACCACCATATGTGAAGTATATATCACTACAAAAATCATGTAATTTCACTGAGTTGTAATGTCTGTTGAATTGCGGTAAAGAACTAATTTCTCTTTGATAAAAGAGGTCTTTCCCTTGGTTGGAAAGATGTATTTAATTATGTGAATGATGTATTTAATCCTGTGAATGATGTCTTTTATCTTGTGAAATACATCTGTTTAAGATTCCGCTTACATTTACAGATAGTTTTCCTTCAGCTTTTAAATACAAAAGAAGTCCATTGCATATTCTCATCAAATTTTGGGAATCACTTCTCAATTGGGGTGTTCAGTCCAAATATAAATGATATTCATGGACCAGTTATATCACATATTCCCCAGGCACTACTTAAATTCTATTGGTCAGATATCTCGAAATTTGGGGAAATAGGATGTGAAATAGGATGCGAAATAGGTTCAGAATTATAACCAGCCTTTTTGTTTGGCATTTCATACAGATCGATTTTATTATATAATATTTCAATTTTTGGTTTATTTCATAGAAAAAAATACTTTCTAGAAAAATTCTGATCCTGTGTTATCCATTCTGTTATGCGTATTGAACTACTGTATATTTCTTGCTTGGTTCCATCACTCATTAATTACCTGTACCAGATACTGAATACTAAATCGAAAGAAGAAGAAAAGGCACTGTTAAAAAGCATCATCATGAATAATTAGTGAATGAATAGTATAAAATATAAACTATAGAATATTATCTACAGTGTAAAATGTACTTGAGCAAAGTATAGATCAATAGATACTTTGAGATAATCAAGATATTAGAGCAATTTTTTATATTAGTACATATATTAAAATGTATAATTCTTAACACTGCATATATTAAAAGCATGCAGTATTTAAATTGTAGCGTGTATGGCTATATAGCTAAATTCGCATACATATATAATAAAATATATGAAAAGATGTACTCACATAAATGAGTAATGAGAAAAAGGTAAATTGGGAACTAAGAGACTTAACGATGTTTGATTGAGAGATTAGCGGACCTAATAAGAAAGGATGGTAATGAATAGAGGCACAGTATGTTCAATAAATAAGAGCTTTGAGAGAATAGCATTTCTACCTTGGTATATAGTGCTGAGTATTCCAAGTAAAAACGAGAGTTTATTCACCAACTATAAAAAAACCAAAAATATTGTAAAGATGTAAAGCTATAAAAAGAAGGAAGGAAAAAATTAGAAGACGGAAATTAATAACTAAAGTATTTTCAGTAACTTATGACAGCACAATAAAAGTGCATACAAAAAGAGGAAGTGAATCTCCCTAAGAAAGCCAGCTTCTTTACCACCCCTCATTTTCCTGTGAGACTCCCATTTGTTAGCTACATTTATTCTCCTCTTCCAAGATCTATAAGTAACTCCTGTCTTACTCCCCCTTCTCTTGGTCTTAACGACCAGACACTTCCCAATTTCCGGGACTTTTTCTTCTTCTTCTTTTTATCCTGCTCCTCTGTCTAGAGATTCTGGCGGGACTGCATCTCAACACTGCTTTATTCATTTCCATTATTTCCTAATAAGCACACCTTTGGCTGCTGGCTAATACCAATAAACACAAAAAAAAGATAAATCCTGTATACTATTAACACAAGCTCCTTATTCGCCTTTTCTAAACCTTCCTTAACATGGGTAGCTTTCCTGCACGTACAAAATGAGATTATAAAAGAATTAAGTGATGGGAATTTTAGACGTTGATCTAGGGTGATGATGTGACAATGATATGTTAATATTATATAGATGCATTATTGTCGTACATTTTAAATACCTTGTTATTCTCAGCAGTATAAAAAGGTATGAATAATTTTTTGAAGGCTTGCATCCTCCTTCGATAATTATATATTTTCCAACTGAGTATCTTCAGTCTCATGATAGCCTACGCATGCTTTTTGGTATTCAAAGAGGGAGATATGAGCTCTATAAATAGTGATTGCTAGATCATATTGATCAGCATAGACTTCAAGATACTTGCCTAGCTTTTGAGAACCTGCGTGTTATCGATTATTGGTTTAGTAGCCTCGCCTTACCAAAAACGTTTTTCTCAGTCCAATTTTGCAAATAATAGTGTAATAATTTCGCTTATTGTTTAGGTACGATAGAAAACATAGAGTATTGTTGATATTTTGCTTGACAAGGGAACTTTTAATATTATATATCTTTGTTCTCTTGCCTCTGATAATCCGAACCACTAATTGCTTATCTACCAAGTTTGGGAATATCGTTAAAGAAGATTTTTTACATCCCCTTAAGTAGGCCTTTGGGTTAAATCATGGCATTTCATCATTAATTCTTAACACCAAAATTGAGGCACTCTATTGCTGACTTATCAATACTCGTTGGTCTTTATCCTTTACCCTAATGTAATTCCTTCTTCTTCTCATAACTTCACATATTAGCGTGTTACTCTGGGTAAATTATATGCTTTTATATATTTTGGAATCACCCTCTTTTTTGCCTACACTTTTATTGATTCACATATCTGCATAACATTAACTGTTCTGATTAATCTACATAAAATACAATCTTTTCGTTACTCGAACTTCTTCTCTTAATATAATCTTCCTCTCTTAAAAGCTATATATGCTTAATTTGATCAATTTTTTTTTACCTTTCCTACAATTTTTTGAGTTCCATTAATCTTATATCTGTTACGGAAATTCTTGTATAATATTCTCCTTCTAGCTAAATTATAGAGTAGTATCTTTATCATAATTTCTAGTCCACAAACAATGATTAAACTTGCTCCTATTATGAACTTAATTATATAAAAAAATCTGTGGCTTCTTCATGGGTTATCTCGTTCTCTCTTGTTTATTGGCAAGTCGTGTTTCTTTACGTACAGCTTTCATATTTCTGGTTACACTTAACACATCACCCCTTTCACACTGACCAGAAAATCTTTGTATATTTTATTCAGGCTCACAAAAAATGTGCTCTTTAACATTATTAGATCCAACTGTTAGTACAAGTCATCGTGCATATATCTGGTCTGGTAATTCCTTGATCGTTATTTATTCTACGAGAAGAAGTGCAAGGCTTCAGTATTTGTTTAACTCTCTTATATGAAGACTATTGACTAACAAAAGATCACGCTTTTGGCTCTTCTTCCCATTTAATCTTAGCTGATGTTGACCGTTTTACAATTTTGAGAAAGTAGGGACTAACTTGTCAGCTTTTCTATTTCATCCGCTTTCCCTCGCATTAGTTTTCGTTTGTCAAAAAATACCATTTTACCCTTCTTGACACGCTGTTGGTGATAGTTATTTACTTCACATTAACCCTTGTTTTAACGCCATCTTGCATGTACCCCTTTCTTATGAATATCATTACATAATGCTTAAATGTCTTCTTGCTCGTGTTTCTGATCAAACCCTTAATATTAGACATATCCCAGATTACTGTTTACTTTCCTCTTACCTTTTAAAAATATGAGACTGATCTATATATGTACTTGGGCAATTCACTACATATATCATACCAGACCTTCTTGATCTTATGCTGAGTCACATTGCTCTTGTATCTCCCCTCGATCGTTCTAATTAACCTGTCTTTATTACAAACCCTACGTCAATCCACGAAAATTCAACAATTACAGTCCATCGTTAATATTCGTTCTTATTATTTCTCTCTGTTATTTTGTATTTCCAATATTCCACTTTTTCTGACCATATTGGTAGTTTAGAACCACACTTGTCCATAGAATTTTATATTATTCTACTTCTTCAATTCTGTGCTTGTTGACTTCATTTGTAGAACAGCAGCACATCTTTGTAAAGAAATCGATTTCGACTAACTCGTTTTGATAATGTAACTTCCATAAACAATCAAATAATGTACAAATTTGCAAAAGTGATAATAATTGGTCTAAGCCATCTTCATTCTACTTAATCAATAATTCTATAGCAAATCTGAACGCATTACACACCAAGCAAGCGATCATAAAAAGAAACCCAAAAAAAGTGTCACCGTCATTGTTGGGGGCGTGCCACAATATACTGTTTGTCTGAATTAATCTATGAAAGTGCAACCTAGGCACATGCGCACAGTATATTCAATATCTAAAAACTAGATAACCTTGTCGAGGGCAATACCAGAATAAGTATCTTAATGATCTCAACAGCCAATCAATAGACGACGATGACAAATGACATTCATCCCACGCCCAATCGTTCGTGGGTCACAAACCTAAAGAAGGGTGTGGCACTTAGATCGTAGATGTGGCCTTGAGCTGCGTTCGTATCATTACGGCTACTGTTTTGCTATTTATCTCACGAACCCCGCGTGGGACCACATAATTCTATGAGATAACATACCAATCAGCCTAATTTGGATCTAGTATACCCAAGTACACGCAAAGAAAGATTAAACTGTCAGTTAGCCAAACCAGCTGTTCAATCTTGCTATACTTGGCCTATCTTTTTAGTTTCTTATCATGTGGACTCGCCTATCAGTTATTCCAAATATAAAAAAGAAAAGGAAAAAAAGAAAACACTATAAAAGCATCTTGATCTATGCAACCTATTTTATTCACATTGTCTTCTTGTAACAGATTTTTTGTTCATATTTTATTTTATTTATTTTTTAACAAAAAGCGATGGGTTCAGCAGACGAAAAGCCAGATATAAATTTGGAAGAGGCGCCAGCTCACGTAATGGACGCCGATGAACTCCTACTCCAGTCTCTCGGTTACAAGCAGGTAACAAAAAAAACCATTTTATATTCTACCTCATTTCTACCAATTGAATTCTACCCAAAAAAAATAAACTAATAAAAATATTTCTTTTGCCCTTGTAGGATCTGAACCGTTCAATTTCTGCCTTTTCGAATTTTGCAATTGCATTTTCATGCTGCTCCGTCCTCTCGGGTCTTACACCTGTAAGCACACACCACTTACCGCCCAGCGAAAAAAAAACAAAGTGAATTTAATTTATTATCTATATAGATGTGGGGTGATGCCATGATTGATGCTGGTTCTCTTGGTGTTATCTGGGGCTGGGTTATTACTGGCATCTTCACCATGATTGTCGCCATGTCTTTAGCTGAAATTTGTAGTGCTTATCCAACCACTGGAGGTTAGTTAACCGTGAGATGGGAAGATCTCTCGAGTATCACAAAAGTTCTTATATGGATGTACCTTCTAGGTTTATATTTCTGGGTTTCACGACTATCAACATCGGAGTGGGTTCCTTTGGCTTGTTGGCTGACTGGATGGTGTAACTGGGTTGGTCTTGCTTGTAAGTAAAGAAACATGACAAAGGTAAAGATCAGACATACTAATTCCAACATCTACTAGTCGGTATTACTTCTGTTGATCTTGGTCTTGCACAGTTCATCGCTGGTGTAATCAACATTTGGTAAATTTGGATATAACTAAAAATTGCCATGTACGCCAAGTCTCATGTGTACCTTTTGTGAACCTATAGGAGCCCTGAAACAGATACATCTGTTTATATGCAGTACGGTATTTTTGTTGGTATATTAATCTGCCACGGAATCATCAACTCGATTGCTGTAAACTTGAACGGCATAATGAACCAGGCTGCTTGTAAGTTTGGGAGTAACCTAAAGAGTATCTAAAAGCGCAATGTTTATATTTATTTATTGTTATTTTTCTTTCGGTAGTCTGGCTTAATATGTTGGGTATCATTTTTATTGTTGTGGTTGGTTTGGCTATCACCAGACCTTTGGCTACTGGAGACTTTGTGGTAAGGAAAAGCTGTATTTAGAAATTTACTATATATCGATAACTAACAACGTATGAATTAGTTCACACAATTCTATAACGGATCAGGATTTTCTAGCAACGGATTTGCCTTTTTGCTGGTTATTTTGCAGTCCCAATATACTCTTTCCGGTTATGATAGTGCTGCTCACATGAGTGAAGGTAGATACATTAGAAATTACTGATCTTTATGAGCTGAGTGTAGAATACTAATATACATACAACCTTTTTTTTATATAGAAACCAAGAACTCCCAGACTGGATCTCCCTTTGGTATTCTTGTTGCAGTTGCTGCAAATGCTGTCTCTGGTCTGGTCTTTTTGATTGCCATTAGCTTTATGGTTACAGACTTTATGGGCCAGATCGTATCTGATGATGCTATTCAGCCTCAAATGATCCAAGTATTCTACAGCGGTGTAGGCCCTGCATGGACAATGGTCTTCTTAGTTTTCGTTATGCTCAGTATATTCTTCTGTGGATCTGCCTTAACCCTTGGAAGTTCTCGTATGGTGTACGCATTTGCTAGAGATGGAGCCATGCCTTTCTCTAAACAGCTCCACAGCATCAACCCCAAGACCAAGAGTCCAGTTTTTGCGGTCTGGTTCAATGTTACAGTTGCTGGTATTGTTGGGCTTTTGTACATCATCAACAGCACTGCCTATGAAGCTATTGTATCTGTCAACACAATTGGCTCTCAGATGTCTTATCTTATCCCTATCCTTTTACGTATCACTGTGTCGCGCAACAAATTTACACCTGGTAAGCTTTGATTTCGCGCTATCTATTTCTTTATCGTTATCTTTAATAATGATTTATATATTTAATTTTTATTATTTTTTTATTAATCACTCATTTTCTCCTATATTTTTTTCATGAAAAATAGGACCCTGGAACTTGGGACGCTATAGTGTTGCTGTTGGTTACATAGCTGCAGCATGGCTTATTTTTACCTGCTGTCTCTTCATCTGCCCTACAGAGGCACCTGTCACACCAGACAACATGAATTATGCAATTGTTCCCTTTGCTGCTATCATGCTGTTTTCTTCAGGTTACTACTTTATCTGGGGTCGTAAATGGTTTACTGGCCCTGTACGCATGATTGATGGTGAAGCCGTCATTCTTGAAGAAGGCGATGAGATCCCTGAAAAATCCTCACACTAACTTACTCATTAATTAATTACTTTTCTCTTGCTGATTATTTAATCGCTTGTGTATATATATACTTTTATTCCCATAATATAATAATAATATAATATAATATAAAATCTATAATAAACTTATTAATCTATTTCATTGAATCAAAGATATACATTTTTTTTTATTGTGTCGTGTTATATTTTTATGTATATATGTATATATAGTATTGCTTGTAAAGAGTATAATTGTGCCAGGATTTTTCAAAGAATATATAAATAAATAAAGGCTTTTGTGGGGAAATTAAGATTATTTTACATGGCCGCAAGATCATCCAAGGATTTGCCTTCAACACGGTGAATAATCCATTCTTGGTGAGGAACGGCTCCTAAAGCTTCGTAAAACTTGCGAGATGGCTCGTTCCAGTCAATTACAACCCATTCGTAGCGCCCACAGTCACGCTCCTTTGCTAATGCTGCAAGTTGAACTAACAAACGTTTACCAACGCCAAGGCCACGAAACTCGGGCTTTACGAACAAATCCTCAAGGTAGAGTCCTGGCTTTCCAAGGAATGTGCTAAAGTTGTGAAAGAAAAGAGCCATTCCAGCAGGAACCTTTTCTTCTCCAGGAGCCTTGGCGCAATAGGCAAAAATAACTTCAGCATAAGGACGTTCACCAAACAGGTTTTTGAGGATGAGTTCTTCTGTAACTACGGCTTCATGGGCAAGCTTTTCGTATTCGGCCAAATCTTTGATAAACTTGACGATTAATCCAGCATCTGCTGGAGTGGCTGGTCTGATATCGATAGGGGACATTTAAAAGAAGTGTGTGATTTGGAAAAGAAAGAAGAAAGGGGTATTCGCAGGCAGCAATTAACTTTTGCTTATGTGACAGACGTTACACCAACAGGCCTGTAAGTAGTGACTTGGTTCGTGGTAGAACAAGTCCGGCGATTTGAATCGGAAAAAAAAACGAACATGACTCACTTTGGATTAAAAGCGTTTGGATTTGACACTTATTTATTATCATTATTGTTATAGGTAAATAGATTGGTAAGAAGTTAGTGTTTGGGTTTCAGCCCAATCTAGGTACGTTTGCATTACCAAGCTGCTGTATATTATAATACATTATAATTACAGTAGAAGCTCTACTTGAACTATGAAAATATATATTACTGGGTTGTGTGTCCTTCAAAGACATACATAGTTTATATAATTTTTATAATTGCTTATAATTTTGGTCTTCAGAATGTGCAAAAGTGAAATTAGGTCAAAAACAACAACCAACCTTTGATGTTTTAACAATAAACTAGCTTTGTATATACATACCCATAGATACGTATATATTATTAATATGAAAGAATTAAACAAATAAAACGAATTTTCTTTAAAAAAAAATAGTAATAACATTATTTCAAATAAACATTCTTGTTGTATAATTGATATCTACTGATGTGACATTTTGACTCTACAAGGATAAGTCATCAGCAAGTGCCATGCTTCTATTTTCTCATCTAATACAATACATTGCTCTTCTGAGTGTATGAAAGTTTTTTAAAAAAAGTATTATGTACACATCTAATAATTAAAATTTAGACTCCAGCTTTTTGTCTTGTTAAAAGCAAAACTTTTCCATCTCACTCGCCTGTAAAGGTTAAGTTAGCCGATTCGCCAAAGCCATATCATTGATATTGTTGACCCACAGGGTTGCAGAATCTGGTAGCGAAGTTAAACAGCGGAATTCTCTATATGTTTCTCGAGCACCAGCCAGATCTCGGTCATTTAGTAAGGCAACAAGAGCATAATAATATGATCGGATAAGAAGTGGGGTATTTCCATTTGGGTCATCTTCTTCAGTCGTTATTTGGTTTGTCCTATTAGGTTTTGGCCGACATTCGAGACGCCATAATCGGCGAATACTCTCATCATCATACGCCATAGCTGAACTTAGGATCATCAAGTCAAAGGTGGCGACATCAGGAGTAATTTGAGTTGTGCTTTTGTTGAGGCTTGGAGATCTGACAGAGTCTTCAAAAATGGGCTGGCTCATCATATCTTCGAATAAATGCTTTGCTACAGGGTGCCATGACTTGTCCTCAGCAAATCCGGTGAGGAGAGCATTGTAGTGGTATGTGGAGATGTCAAGAAAATCTTTTTCTTTGGATAATTGGGTCCAAAAATCCCATGCACTTTCTAATTTTTGCAATCTTACGAATGCAGTAATGAGTGCGTTGACGGCGTAAGCATCGGGTTTTTCACCAGACTTGATTATTAAATCGTATGCTTCTTGGGCAGCTTGGGCATGCGCCTCGCACTGCAAAGCTACCTGCTTCTGACTGCTGCTATCTTCTTTGTAGTTATTAAGTGAAACAATATGCCTTGCCCCAGACATTCCGTGCGCTTCAATTAAGACTGTCAAGGCGGCTTGGTCCAGCTCAGGCACTTTTCCATTGACATCAGGTTTCAAAGACTTTCTCAGGTCACCCAGTAAGCTGATTGCACTCGTTTCTTTTTCAAAAGAAGAAGACTTTAATAACATATTGGCTAGAATCGTATATGTTACGCAGTCGGCTTGAATACCCTGATCGATCATTTCTCGAAATGTATTGTGGGCTTTATCGTATTCTGTTGCTGCAACATACCCTTCAATCAGAGGGGCAAATATGAAAGCAGTAGGACGTACGTTGAAAGGAGGTTTACTCATATAATGGAGGACATTTTGTGCTTTATCAAGTTCTCCGATCTTTGAGTATCCCCATACTAGATGAGCAAAGATATATATATTCGGCCGAATTCCACAATTCAGCATCCTTCGAAAAGCACTCTCAGCTTCTTGCATATCACATCTGGATGCTGCATCTCGGATGATATTGGCGTGTCTGATAATATCGGGCTGGAGACCAGATGTATCCAATGATTCAAGTAGAGATGATATAGTCTGTCTGGCTTTGTTGTCTGAATGCTGAGGCAGCTTACCAAGTATACCCAGAGCAGTGTTGTATGTTCGTTCGTTCGGTTTATGTTCTTTAGTAATCATTTGGTCAAATATCTCTGTTAAACGAGATACATCTACTTCAGAATGATTCGAGGGATCTTTAGCCAGTTTGAGATTGGCAAGTTGTGTGTTGTATGTCACGATATCGCCTTGTACGTTATCAATTAGCATGGTTCGAAGTCTTTGGAAGAGGGCTTCGGCGTGGTTGGGGTTTTTAAAGTAACCTTTGAGTAATATGTTGTAAATGTGGGTGTTACTAGATATCCCTTTCCGCTTCATTACATCGTAATATTTTATCGCTTCTGAAATATCTCCTTTTCCCATATAGTAGTTAATAAAACTGCCGTAAGTGACCGTGCTAGGAGAGAATCCGCGTGTCAGCATTACGTCGTACATTCGGAATGCTTCGTCAAGTTGATTACGCTTAAGTCGATAGTGAATAAGCGAATTAAATGTATATTCATCTGGGGAGATTTTTAATGGTTCTGGTTCGTCTGGAACGATCTTGGGAGCGGCCTGCCCACATCCGCCCGATGTCTTACCACATCCACACCCTGTAGATGGTTGAACTCCCAAAATAGTTATCATTTTTGTCATTTCAGCATCATCCTCTGCTGCAGTGTAGCATTTGATAAGTGCGTTTGCAGTGGTAGTATCTGGTTTGTGTCCCAATTGAATCATGATGTGGTAAAGACTCTTGATTGATTCTACAGACGACTTCATCTCCTCATATGACAAAATACGTGCATGATAGCTGACCTGTTCAGCGATTCCCACCAATACGCTGTTAAATGTTCGCAAATTAGGTACGATTCTAGCCTCTACCATCCTCTCCATCCACTGATCTGCAATTTGCAAATCTTTATCTGTGCGACAGTGCTTCAGATAACCATTCAAAAACACATTATAAGTCATTCGATCGGGTGTTCTTCCAGAATTAACCATACGAGCGTAGATGCTTTCTGCTTCTGCTAGATGGTTAGACTTCACTTTGGCAGCAATGGCGAGATTATAGCTCGCTGTGTCTGGGGGTGGTCCAGATCGTTCCATGGTGTGTAGCAGCGAGTTTATTTTCGAGAAGTAGCGCTTTCGTGATAATTCGTCCAAATTCTTGTATTTTCTCAAATAACCAGCCATAAGTCGGTTGTAGGTTTCTGCTGTTGGTGGCTCTACACAGTATGTCGACATGTTTCTGAATATGGTCTCTGCTCTTTCTACGGAATCGAGTTTTCCGAATAAATCAAGAATAATGTCGAGTTCGGGTCTAGTCCAAAAGTCTTGACTCTTTCGAACAGTTGCTAAAAGATGTTCTAGACGTCGCAGATAAAGAGTCGTGAGTTTATCCTTGTTGTTTCCAGTGTGTTGCAAAACATCGTTTCGTAACGAGGTAAGAAGGAGACTAGAGGTTGCATGAGGCAATGTATTTTTTTCTGAAAGTAAACCTAGGGAGTTGAATGATTCCCAGGCCTCTTGATACTGTTTATCTTCGAGTAGTTTATGGATTGACAGGACAGCTGGGGTACGAATATATTTATCCAAAGCTGAAGCGACATGCATCGGGATTCTCTTTCTTAATTCTTTCTTTTCGTTCGAAAATTTGAATGCTGACGTTTTTTCATCCATGGAATTTTCGACCTGGGAAATAATGTCATCACAGATACCTAAAAAGACCATATTTATTATTTCATCCTAATCTAGCCTATGTCTACATGTCTACCTTTTCGTGGGTGAGTGGCAAAAGGTCGTCTGGGGGATAAAATGGGCAGATCGCGACAGGGTATATCTAGAATAACTTTCCATTGAAGAATGGCACGTTGGTTACGTTGCTTAACACCTGGAGATAGGTGCTGACACAGGTGAACCATAAGGGAGGGTTGATCGTCCAAAGATGTCAACAGACTAGGTCTTTCTTTTGGTTGGCCCGTGGAGGGGACCTGTTATTTTGTCAGGTGATTGAAATTCATGAAATTTTGGAGCTGCGTCATCAAAACTGCTTCGCTTGTACCTTTTTTTGTGCACAGAAAGATTTTGGTATTCGAAATCCGAATATGATCCTCTGCGATCTGCATTTGATTCACTCAATGTACAAATATATATATATGTACGTATGTATGTATGTATGTATGTATGCTACTTTTTTTTTAAAAAAAAAGAAAAACTTGAGATCGAGACACTTCTCGAAAACAATTAGACAAATTATATATTCTTTTTTAGACATTTCTGCCTTTTCGATTGGACAAACAATATTAATGTCTAAAATGTCTTGTAATAATAAATAACAGTTAGCTTTGTAAGTCAGAAGATAAATAGCATGAAAAAGTTGGTATCAATGTTATATAAGCACTTCAAAAATAATAAATAACTGCTGGAACGTAGCTATATAGCAAATAGTAATTATAATAAATAAGAGGAGATGATATGAGAGGAGAGTAATTGGAGGACCCGATAAACTCAAATATATATATATATATATGTAATTTTATTAAGCTGTGGCTCTAAATACCTCTAGTGACTCTTCCTTCGCTCTTGAAAACTTTAAGAACCTGATGTTGTCTCACTGACTCCTCTGAAAGCACTATATTTGACACACTTCAATATATTTAAAAGATATTAATCAGACTATCCTTTAGTCAGTTAATCAATAGAAGGTGAATGCCGGATATATACAGAAGTCTACTATTATATTGTCGTAACCTTTAATTTTATTGCAAGTTCTTCTTTTTTCTGTTTTCTTTGTTTCATTAGGGGGTTTAATTATCTTTGCAAATACAGGCAACAGAGGTTAAAATGTGTAAACTATTGGCCAAGAGAAAGAGAGAGAGAAAGATCTACGTCGAGTTAAGAATTGTAAATTTCTGTCTGTCCGATCTTGATCTACCTTGCTACCATTGCTTTCATTCAAAAACTCAAATTCTGGAAAAATATTGCTCCCCTTCAATTAGCCATTTAATCGACCACGTTTTCAATTGTCTCCCCCAAGTTTTTCAAAAAGGCTAGTACGCGGTGTAATTTATGGACGTGCTTATTTGTATTGCTACGTGCTATTAACCAAATCATACTATCTTGCAAACTACGAGAACAAAAACCTCAGGGCCAAATATTTCTCAACTTTTTACCAAAATCCTGTCGCAAAAAAAAGCAAAAACAAATAAACCAGTGCTTCCCGAACCACGAAAACGTCTAGAGAACCTGTTCCCCGTGATCCCTTCCTTTTTCTTATTTGCGAAATTTCTACTGTTCCCTCTCAATTCGACTAATCTGCGTCTCATTAAAGCTGTGCCGAGCATGACTGATTTTGTTTGGCATTTCTGTATATTCGGGAACCATAAATGGATCTTCCGAGTTTCTAAAAGGGATTCCTCCTTCAAGTTATTTTTCCCGTTGAAATACGTTCCCAACTCTATTGCCGTCAGCACCTAGTTACTTATTCTTGACTGTTTGAAGACCTTTTCTTACTTTATATATATATATATATATATTCTATATTATTACCTGCTTTATTATTTATTTTAGTTTACTATTCTTTCTCAAAGGATGCGTTCTCAGCAGGGGTTTTCTGTGTTCTCATCATATTGCATTAATGCCCAGGTGCGCAAGACTTTGAACCACCCATAATAGAATATTTTTTATCTATCTTCGCAAGTTTTGGTGGTGAAATATCAGATATAAAAATAAAACTGATTAATTTTTATTTATTTTATATTGACTTTAACTGTATAGTAGTTTATGTTCTGGCGTCTGCATATACAGACATAATAAAATCCCTTGTTGTAATCTCATTGTACTCTATAGGACACGCATATAGTTAGAAGTCTTCATTATTTCCGAATAAATCAAACGGCCGTTTACTAGATCGCTACCCTTTGTAGTATCTATATAATATTGTTAATTTTGCTGCCTTCTCTCATAAACATCTACCTTTCTTTTTAATATTCACCTTTAAAATATTTAAGGTCCTTGTATAATCAATTATAAGATTAGTCGTTGATAGAAAAACTCAAGAAGGATCAAATAATGATTTGATTTTGCTGCTGTTGTTGTTGATTTTATTAATAGGTTTTTCTTGTTCAAGAAAAGATGAGCAAAGACGGTGGGTAAATTAAAAAACACTTGCAGACAAACAAAATCTTATGTGAAAGAGAAAAAGAAATGTCCATATGAAAAACAAAGGCAAACAAAAGATGCAAAATTGAAGGTAGTACATATACAGTACCTTAATGCATTTTAAGAGAACTGATTATCTGTATTACTGTTTTATTATTTGAAAGAGATATTTCCGACCTCCAAAAAAAACGAGTAAAAATCCATTAAAGCACTTGCCATTGCTTCTGATACAGGTATAAAAGGTAAATCTTATATCAAGTTTAAAAGGGTATTGTACTGGAGTTTTAGGCGCTTTATATCGAGCATTGAATAATAGCCGAAATGGTGGAGATCTTCTTGTAAATTATGCTTAAAAGCTCCAAACTTTCAAGGTAAACGCAAGAAACTTAGCACACATGTAAGGCTCTTAACATCACTTTTGTTTATTTACTTTCAAGATCTATCGCTCTTCTAATGAAAACAGTTTTTGAAAATGTATTAATTGATTTCAGAAGTATCCTTGCTTGTCAAAGTTTGGAGATGATGTGTAATAGAGAATGCGAATGTATCAAAAGGCATATTTCAAATAACAGAAGAGGCTTTAAAGAACTTTCATCGATGATCCCAGTTCTGTTGAGATGAATGGGTACTCTCTAAATCCTATATTAATGTATTGAAAAGAGTTTTTTTTCTCTGAAAAGAATTATATTTGTACAGGTAAATAGTCTACCAAATGATTCATATTAAATGCAGCAAACATGATCAGTGGATCAATTAACAGAATATAATTGCGTGATTATTTATATTATCAAACACACCATAAATTGTACTTGAAGGCTTGTGTAGTAAGCATTGCTTTTATTTGATGTATTATGGTTTGGTATTTATAAAAAAAAACACAAGTCCAAATAAAACCGTGTTCAGAGCCATTTTGACTGTTTTGAAATCTTGAACAAATAATACAAGTTTCGCCTTATATATATATGTATATGCTCAAAATCTAGACCTCTTTGAGAATAGAAGATTTGTAATCAATATTTATTACTCTCGTCCTTTTATTCTTTATTATGCTTTTTTATGTATAAATAGTAGTCGTAGTAAGTAATTAACTACACAACTTGTCTACATATTTACTTAAGCGGCCCAAATTTTCATCAGGAACATATTGTTATTGATATACAAAGTGAAATCCTAAATAGTCCTCGTACTAAAATGCATGAAAACTATACCATAATTTGAGTCACCTTTGGAACCACGCTGTTGCTGCGGTTCTGAAATTCATGTACACTTTACCTTGCTTCTTTTCTGGCTACAGCCAGGTCATATATCAATTTTTTTATAAAAAAAATTCCATTAAAGACGAGCACAAAAAGAACTGGACCAGGGCTGTAAAGACGGGTATAAAATATGCTTCCGTAGCTGTTATTGTTCCCTTGTTTTATTATCTGAAAAGGAAAAAGAAAACAGACCAACATTTGATAATATTCTGTAATGTTTTTTTTTGTCTTTGAATATTGTGACGGGAATTTTCTTCTTTTCTTGATTGAAGAATATTTAGGTTATGTATGTACTTGTATGCACGTACACTATTTTTGGGTCAAAAGAGTCAACGTTAGAAGATAAGGATAAAAAAAGGATAAAAAGGAAGAAGAGAAAGAAAAAAAAATAAGAAGAAGAAGAAGAAGAAAACTGTGAATTCATTGAATATTCTCATCAGATCCTTTAATTTGCATATTTCCAAACTGTTGTTGGAACTGAAAAGATCCCATACGTTCATGATGGCTACGACCATCAGAGCCCATCAAATGTACTGATTGTGAGTTATTCTGAGGGTATATAGCTTTGTGGCTTTCATTCTGATGAGGGTGTCTTTGTATCGTACAATCGTCTCGGATAGGTTTGATATCCGGTATCATTTCGCCTCTCTTGGCAGCTTCGATAAGCTGCTCCAGCTCTGCCATTCTATGCTGGCAACGGGATACTTCTTCGCGAAGTTCTTTGATGTGATCAACAGAGAGTTTTAGGATAGTACCCTTGTTGATGGCCCTGGCATTGATTCCGCCTTGGTGAGTAGATACAGACATCACATTGGAGGTTGTGGGTGCAGTTTCCAAAAGACGTTCGGGCAAGAGCATACACAGTTCTTTACATAATGTCATTATTTACCTAAGCTACACCCCAGTGCTACTCGTAGACCAGAGAACGATAAGCTCTTACCATGAATCCTCTCGTTGATATTGTCTCTTCGCTTTCGTTCGACTGCATTGTGAGACTCTCTTCTCCGACGTCTCTTCTCAAACATTTCCTGTAGACTGTGGGTGTGAGTTGGTTTATTGATCAAAGCTGGACATACTTTCTCTGTTGGCCTTCTTCTTCTTGACCATTGACGCCTTCCAAGTGTCCTGAAGAGGTTGAAGGTGATACGATGAAATCTCGCCCGGGGAAGATGGGAGATTGTCCGAATGACGAGCTTGTGGAATCTAAGCTCGTTCCGAACCAGTTTTGGTTTGCATCTGCAAATGTCATGCTGTGTCTGGATGGTACATTGGGTGGACTCATTGCAATGGATGCAGCACCAAAGCTGTCTTGTCTCTGGTGTATGCTGAAATTATTGGAAGAGTTGAACACTCGGTTATTACGTGTGACAGGGACCGCTCCGACTGTGGTATGTGGCGTACCCATGGAAGTCATAGGAGGTGAAAAGCGACCAGTTGGTTCGAGTTGGAAGTCTTGCTGTGGTGAATACATGAGAGAGAGAAAGAGAGAGAAAGCGGAGGCGATGAAACTAGTGAAATCCACTATAATTTTTTTTTGTGTGTGTGTGTATGTACGTGTTTTTTTTCCCTTAACTTTGTTCAACTATGCAGTTTGCTTTTTTTTTTGTTCAACTTGTAATTTCCCACCCATCTCTGTGTAGTAAGATAATAGTAATAATCATAACGATAATCATAATAGTACTAAAAAACAAAGGAAAAAGGAAATCTGGCTTGTCTATACTCCTCTTACGGAAACTCCCCCTTATTCAATCTTATTTTATTTCCTTTATTTCTTTATTTCTTTATTCTATAATAAAGGAAGCATAAGATTTCTTGGTGTGCAATGTGCGTTTGAAACTGGTGGTTTAAACTTGGTTGAACGGCATCGGCATTTCAACACCCCTTTTCCTTTTATCAATGCACGGGCCATGGCCATGACTAACAGTTTACTTATATTTACACTTATATTTACACTTATATTTACACTTATATTTATATTTATATTTTATTTTATTTTTGGTCTTCAAAGCCATGGTGTTCGTGCAACGCCCCATGCACGATATGGAACCTCTTGTCGTGGTTTACATGCTTTCATTGTGATGAGAACTAGAGTTTGTATCACAACTTGAAACACTCCATACTGACCTTTCTATCCGCCGATCGCACAAATGTCAATGATTCTTTCAGTACCAGCTACCAATGATCCAATGCTCGATAGGGTACTACCCTGATCGGTTTCTTGGCTCTCTCAACTTGCCATGGCCCATAAATAGACTCCATGTGGTTTCTACTCTCTAGACTACTGACATTCACTGTCGGGATAATCGTTCGGATCTCTAGGCTACCCACAAATGCTGCTAGCTCACGAAAACTTGAGTGTTCCGAGTAAGGAACGCTGTAGATTTTCACCTTTTCAGGGCCCGTGTTTATCTTAATCTTTGGCTCAGCAAAAGGCTGTTTAAATAAACTTTCCAAAGATAAATCTTTGGTTAAGATTGCAGCCGGAGGATAAAAAGACCACCCCGTAGGACGAATGGCAATCAAAGATGTAAAATGAGGCTCAAGGCTAGCAAGATATGGTTTGAGGTGCTATTGTTATCTCTCAGTTAATATCAACCTCTCTTTTCCTTTTACTTATTTTTATTTTTATTTTTTACTAACCTCTTGTTTAATATGACCCAACGGAATCACATGTACCTGTGCTTCGTGCTGATCTCGGGTTAAAAGCGTCTCCAATTCAGGGTTTTCCTGACAGAGTATAATTCGCTTCTTTTCACTCGTCACATAAATTTTGGAGTTGATTCTTTTTGCAATATCTAATAAATAAATAAAAGTATAAATAAACAGGATTGAGTTAAGTGGTGTGGGCAGTAAAGCCAAGGCAAAAAAAAAATTACCATAAAATATACGTTCTTTTCCAATCGTATAAGTCCCAACAACTATCAGCAACTTCTTGTTATCTTGTTTTTTAGTAAACGATAACCACATATCAAGCTTAGTCAGAGGAGCACCATGTTTCTCTAGTTTCACGTGCTCTTCCACTAGATCAGACACAACATTGATACATTCTTGTTGAGCTGGGAAAATATGATTGGGTGCCATATATGTTGTGTCGAGATAGAGACAGTCGATAGGTGGGTTATCTGGTTGTCGGATATGAGGATGAAGGCACATTCGAGGATTAGCCCGAAAATCGCCAGTGTGTAGGTGCCGTAATGTCCGTCCCTTCTTTTTGATAGTAAAAAGGAACAATACAGATCCTGGGCAGTGGTTTGCATCCACAAGTACTACCGTCGTATCTTTATCCACAACAAAGGGAACATCCATAGGAATCACAACAATATAGCTCGGATCAACCTTGAGCTTCATTTTCACCAGATTGGCAGTGACTTTGGAGCAATATATTGGTCCGTGCGCCCATGATTTAGTGAGACCCATATAATGATCGGCGTGGTAATGGGTCAAGAAATACCCTTCGCAGCCATTGACCTTCCCAAATGAAAATGCATCTACTAAATAGGGTGTATCTGATATACTTATTGAATTAAATACCTTAATATGTATACATGACCATTTAAGTCGTAAGATAAACAAACAGTACCTCTCATCCATTTGTAGGCCGGGCATTGTCTTTCTTTCTTAATATTCGATTCCTTCGAAGGAGTGCTGCGGACACTATTCTTATCCCTTCCAAGTGACATGATACTACCAGCAACTTTGATTTCTTTCTGCTTGGGTTGCATCAGTAGATCGGTCCAAGAAATAGTGGAACTTTTGGCTGGGTCTACCTTTACTACTTTAGATGAGTCGTCTTGAGAAAGAGTTTCTGAAAGCTGTTTATCCAGGCAGTTGTTCACATGAATATCCATTGCCTTATCGTCTAGCTTCATCTTAATATCGCATACAGGGCACGATCTTTCCTCCTTTAGATTGGCTGTTGATAGTTTTATGGCCTTTTGGAGATCGTCTTCAAAGGAATCTTTTGAATTAAGATCTAGATCAGGATCATTTTTTTGGGATCCACAATCGAGATTAGATCGCTTAACAGAATTCAACTCTGGGTCTAGGTCTAAACATGGTCTTTTAATCCCAATAGAAGGGCAAATCAAATCGTTTTGAAAGCTGTCCTGACTAGAGTTCATATTTAACAGACAAGAAGAAGTAGTTTCTTAAGCTTTGATTATAATAATTATTATAATAATTATTATTTTTAGTCTTTGGGAGACTTGTACACGTGATAAAAGCCATATTCTAAGGTTGTCCATTTTTATTCGATCTTTACATCGACGGAGTGCGCTCTTGTTCTTTATTTTTTGTAAGAATATAAAAAAAAAAAAAATAGAAAATAGAATATATAAAAATCATAATATATTAAAGATCTCTTATCATGAAGGGTGAACATGACAATGGGGCAGAACTTCTTAAACTATTTTCCTTAGAGCTGGTAAGACCAGACGCTCTTCAAGTCTACATACATAGAAAGGTAGAAAAGGTGGAAGAAATTTATAAGAAAAAAAAATTGTTAATTGACAGCCACAGCCACAGACACAAAATTAATTACTATTTTTGGCTGAATTATAATCATATTTTATGTTAACTTACAACCATCCTGGGTGGCGAGACGGTTAAGGGAGTCATCAGCCTCGGCGTTCTTACGGACAAAGCCGCAGAGAGCGTAGGTGGCAAAGGACTTGGTGGAGCGACCTTCGGCATCAACGTTGGCAACGTTGAGCTGGATGGAAGAGTGGTCCTTGGCAGTGATGAGGCGGTTGGTGGCCGAGCTAAGGCAGAATGACAGAATGTTTGAATGATGGTATGGCAAAGTGGGGAAAGGAAGTAAAAGGTTGCTAGTCGTACCATTTGCGGGGGACGTAAAGATCGACAAATCTACCCTCAGAGTTCTCCATTGTTGGTTTTTCCAAAAAGTTAAGGTAGGTTAAACCGGAAGGAAGAGAAAGAAAGAAAGATCCATGGACTTGTTTGTGTCTGTGTTTTATTCAAACGAATTAATCATTTTGATTGGCTGATTAACTTGTACGTGCAAATTTTTTTTTGTCTTCTCTGGACAGAGAAAAAAAAATAAGTCAAGTCAAAATTCATTTAAGACATTTGATCCCAAAGCCCATTAAAGCATAAAAGCCAAGAGGCGCTAAAACAAAACAAAAAATACAAAATGAATGAATAAATGAATGATAAACAGCTCTATAGTTTTATATATATATATCTATAGAGCATGTCTCTGGCCTGATATAAATACAGTTCATTTAGGATAAAGTTGGAAAACTACTCTCTTCATGAAGAACATTACCATCTTTCTCGGATTGCTTGTATTTTTGGCACTCGGCCAAAGCACAGAAGGTAAGTATGTATTATTTTTGAGACATAAAACTAAGGACATAACCATAGGATCTTCTGGATCCTCGCACACTCAGCTGGTGAATCCTTCCAAAGAAGCTACTCCAAAGAAGCACATATCTCCTCGTCAAGGTGTTGAAGCTCCACCTATCCCTCCAATTCCTCCAATTCCTCCAATTCCGTCTATCCCTCCTATCCCTCCAATTCCACCTATTCCACCTATTCCACCTATTCCTCCAATCCCCAATGGACCGGAAGTTCCCTCAGTGCCAGCAGTTCCGTCTGTCCCAGCAGTTCCCACTGTCCCAGCAGTTCCCTCGGTAAACACACACACAAAAAGTATGGAGATGTCTTCCAAATGCTTCTCCTCTAAAACAACAAGCATTGTCTCATCCATCTCTTTGGTTCAGTCAACAAGCACAGACACTCCTCTACCCACAGGCTCCTCTACCTCTGAGTCGATCTCTAGTGATGGCTGTACAATGAGAAGCACGCTGAAATACACAGTCTTTATTGTGCTCTTAAATGCAATGATTTTTGCTCTCAACTAGCTCACTTTGCTTCTTTCTTTCTTCTTGGCACTGAACAATATGTATATATATATATATCAAATATGAATCTTAATATAAATAAAAGAAACTATCGCACTGTCGTATTAAGTGTACTGCATTATATAAATCTCAATTGGTACACATTTCAAATGGCAAAGTAGTAAAATATTGCTCATAGAGCTCTCAATCAGCCAGCTCACCACAAGTTTCAAGTAATACAACAATGACCCCCCTCTCTTCATTATTATTTTCTCTTAATAATATTAATAAACAGAAAGTCTATTTAAAGTGTATGTTTTACTTTTCTTTTATTGTTTAACAATAATAAGGTGTGATGTCTTGCTAGGAATTTTCCACTGATTGTTTCTTCTCTACTGACATTATCACAGGGGAGGTATTACAGCCAGACTGTTTCATATTATGGCACTTAATCAAAAAAAAATCTATCAAATCTTGGCTATTTGAATGTATTAGACCGCGAATTTACTAGTAAGCCTTGTAAGATCTCAAAAATACACCATTCAATGCATACCACTACACCATCAAATTGGCAACATCTATTTCTCTTCTTCTTCTTTTCTATTACTAATACTTAATTCATCCTTTTTTTTTGTCCAAATCAAAAGCTTGGCTGATATATGGCATTTATTCACGTACTTTATTTTATTAGTATTATTATTATTATTATTTAAAGAAAGATGTTATTTTGTGGCTACATATATATCTATTGAAATACGAGGCCTATTTATCAAATATATGTATTAAACATGAAAATATAGCAAAAAGAAGGGGATATGGAGAGATCGTACAGCAAATTAGGTGTACTTCATCATCATTCCCACGTTGCGCACTTCTCCGCCTGGTCCGATTAAGAGACATTTTGACAGTTCGCCGCACTCGCCTTCTCCATCTTGCATCGCCATTCTCCTCCGCTCAATACTGACCATACTGCTGCCAAGTGGCTCTCCGCCGCAAGGAACTAAATGCCAGTCTGGCCCAAGATGAAAAACACCGACTTGTCTACCGTGTCGCATCTGGAATACTTTGAGTAACCCTCTCCGAGATGAATAAATAACAAGAAAGAGCAAAATCCGCGCAGGACCACTCTTCATCTGTCTTCCTGTACTATTTGCCAAATCGCCTTCAAAGACCTCAAGCCAACCACATGTCGCGTCTCGCACGCCTTTCCACATCCGGATCATCTCGGCTTCCACAACATCCCACAAGATGACTCGTCCTAACACGTCGCTTGTAACAGCTAGGCGGTGACGCTGTGAACTTGAATATGCAGGGGAAAGGCTAATCTGTGTTATACGGCGGTATGGATCTGCAAAAGAAACAGACGATTGGATGGGAGTTGCGGGCTCAATACTGGCCGCTAGAGTGGCTGCATCCTGGTAAGGAGAGGGGGAACCTGACCGAGAAGACGCATTTGAAGTGGCCGTTGACCCTCCTCCGCCTTGGCTGCCACCCCACCATGATTTTGCGAACGAAAAGACAGGCGTGGCAACACGTGAGACCATGTAACTGGCCATAGATACAGCAGACATGAGTGGCCGGGTGGACTCTCGAGTAGAATAGAAAGATAACATTGGCTGATTTCCAACCGCAACAAAACGAGCCGTGGCAGGTGTGCAGAACACGCGCGTTGATAGACTTGAATGTTGATCCACGAGGGGGTGCTGTGCATATCCTGGAGAAGGTCCAAGGCTGACAACATCTCGGATGCCTTCTTGCTGTTGAAACTCCCATTTTTTGTAGGTGAAGGATCTTGATCCGTCTATATATATATAAATGAAAATAGTGAGAATTTATATATTATATCAAGTTATTGTACCATTAATCTACCTGATGTGCCATCTCTGTCAGATGCCCTGAGTGCCGTCCACAAACTATGTCCATCAATACTGACCACTTTGTTCGATTCAAATAACAAAGTAATTTCTTCATCTTCTTCGTTAATGTCCTTTTGGAATGATACTTTGAAAATTGGTGGCGGTGTGCGTAGCTTAATAGTTAATATGGGGGCCATTTCCAATAGTTGAGCCATTAACAAGACGCCGGACTAATACAAGATTCCAATCCAGAGAAGGATTAATTGATTAATTATTTACATTCTTGATGCAGACCTCTATGTTTTTTTTTGTATATCACCTCTGAAAAGATACGTAACCATCCAGTATTGTAACCAACCATCACATATATCTCACTGCAATCGATTATGAACAGCCAAGTCTTTTACAAGGAATCCTCACTTACTTTCTTCGTATCGATGGCACAAACCGTGGCAGACATAGAATGGCGGTGATGCTCTCCCTCATGACGAGAAAAGATATTCAAATATACTCAATAGGGATTGAGAATAATAAAGACATCGTCTGCCCTTTTCTCGCTCTCTCTCTCTCTCTCTTTTGTTTTTGTTTCCTTTTTCCTCATCTTAGCCTTTCACATATGTACTTACCCAGCAGACTCACAGCCAGATCCCTGCCCTGTAGCAGCATATTCACCCTCATTCTCGTTGGCTTCTACCATTACAAATTTAGTCTTGTAAGCAAGGACAAGGTGACGACCTCCTGCCGATGCGGATACAAGATACGATTCCTTTGTAGGTGCCAGGCCCTGAGTTTCGGTACCAAGATCGACTGGACTTTGTTTGTCTAGCTTTGGTTTGGGCTCCTAATGTTATTTTACAAGAGTAATAATAAATATATATATATAAAAGAAGCAAAAGCAAAAACAAAGGCAAAACTTGATTTTATTCAAGTACACAGTCAGCCAAAAAAAAACTGAAAACCTACGTCTTCAACAGCCCATCCCCAGTCTTTCTCCCAGCTATCTCCTGTAGGCTGTGTTGATTAGAAACTGATGGTTGGGATGTGGAGTAAGAATGATATGACACAACTTGCCCTGATCATCTCTGCCATCGAGTCTTCCTGATCCAGTCGAGACTTCATCCGTAACGTCTTGTATAGACGTTGAGACTTGAGGAAGTCTTCCGACTAATATTGACAGAAGGGGAGCTGGTACTGGGTAATGAGGCTCTAGTATACATTTCAGACTCATGTTGAACAAAAAGACAAGATGGGGGTTGTTCTGCAGTAAAATTGCATAAAGAGGGCCACCAGGCTATGTCATCAGAGCAAGATAATTCAAAGTACGACAATTCCCTTTTTTGGGTGGACAGAAAGGGTGCGTGTTTTAAAGAAGTATAAAAAAAAAGAATGAAGTAGAAGAATAGGAATATGAATAGGAAAAAGTAAAAGAAACTACAAGATATTCTTTTTTGTCAAATAATCGAATCGTTTGTAAGTGTATCCAACAAAGGCAAGATCCTTTTGAGCATTCACAGCATCTGTATGGTATCCTATAGTGATGTAATGTGAGTTGAGATTCTTATATCTATGTATATAAAAGGACATGAAGTAGTATATTTACCACTAGGATTATTGTCAACCACTTCGGGCACATTCTCAAGCTCTTCTGTTGGGAAGTAGCTTGTGTCGGTAATGCTCTTGAGTTGAGGAACATGAGGAGAAGGTTCTGACCGAATTGTATCCCAATTTACACCATAGAAGAAAGGATGTGATTTTGTCTCATTAGCACCATTGCGACCGATACGATGTTCTGGATCGCAAATGAGCCTAAAAGATATATATATATAATATATACACACACCGAAATGCGTATTTGTTTAACATTTATCGTTTAATGATTCACCAAATGCTAGATTATTTAATCCTACCTTCGGATAAGGTCCTCTGCTTCACGGCTGATAGGTTGGTCTTCTGGGAACTGAAGAGTATCGCGCCAGTTCATAATCTTTCGGTAGGTTTCGTGTGGGTTCTCTGAGCAGAAAGGTGGGTAACCACACAGGCACTCAAACATAATTGCTCCCAAAGACCACCAGTCGCATTCTTGTCCATATCCACGCTGCAAGAAGATTTCGGGTGCAATATAATCGGGCGTACCAACTGTTGAGTATGCCAATGCACGTCTGTTTTTTTTCCATGTAGCAATCTTTTCTTTAGTGCTTAGGATATTGAGATTGATACTTTCAGTGCCACCGTTGTTTTGGGCACCTTCCAATAGTCTTTGGTAATATTGAGAATCGTGAGTTTTGTGGAAACCGGTTGAGAGACCAAAATCGGAAAGCTTGACATGACCATCTTTGTCAATCAAGATATTATCAGGCTTAATATCTCTATAACTTGTATTAGAAAACTGTCTATTTCTTGGAGAAATGTTCTTTTCTCTCTCTCTCTCTTTTTTTTTTTTTTTTTTTTTGGGGGGGGGGGGGGGGGGGGGGGGGGGGGGGGCTTTTTTTTTTTTTTTAAAAA